ACAAAGCCCCCACTCACTTAATTTCAATTCACAACTCTTCAAATTCTTCCCAAGCCAATTGCACACCGCCAAAATTAATTATCCACTAAATTCTCTCCACTTCCCCACTATCATTAGTTAACCGTCATTAAGGTTAATTAATCATCATTAACGGTTACTAAACCGTGCAAATTCCTCAAAACAAAAGTTTAAATTATTTTCATTTGCTTCCCTCCAAATCTCTCAGCAGCTGAAACCCGACCCGTTATCCTCACGAATCGGGTCTGGGGGAGCAAGTTGTTTGAGGTCCAAATAACTTATATTTGGGCCCAGTCCACAAATGAAAATAAATAAAGCCCAATAGGCAAGGTTCAACCCTCATACTCTAAAGCCAAGTCAAGTAAAGCACGACCCAGTCATATGGCAGCCCATTTGACTACTTAAGCCCAATCCACTCAATTGGAACAAGGTATAAAAGCTCATATTTTTGCATAATTACGGTCATTCACACAAATTGCCTCAAGCAGCAAATTATCTTGCATAGTTTTCCTCTCATTACCTTACATCCGTACTGACTTCGGCATCGGAGGGGCCTTCCTCGGCACAACCCCCGAGGCCAGTTTACGTGTGTTCAGCTGTGCAGGAAATCCTCAATTCGGTCATCACTCGAATTGGGCTTCATCTCCACTCATCCGAAGGACCTGCTGAAGGTCCATTGTTTCCTAACCGAAACAACTAGCATCACTTTTTTTTTAAGGACGGTAAGAACTAAGCCCTGTTCAACAAAAAAAGTATTCATAAAATATGAAATATAATATGATTGATAAGTTCATATTTTATATAGTTTATTACATCATTTTAATGCTATTTTAGAGTATAAATTATGTGTTTATATAGATTTTAATGTTTTATTATGAGATTTATTTTGTTAAGCTTAAATGATTACTTATAGTCACTTATGCTCTAATATGTTAATCATGACAAGTTTAGAAAAGGAATTTTAAAAATCCATTTTTATTATTGTTTACAGGTTAATTGCAAGAATATAGAGAATTATAAGAAAAGAAAAGGCAAGTTAAGCCCACATTCTCACAACTCACGTGCAACATATTAAGAAAAGTAATGGGTTTTAAAGTTTTTCAACCCACTAACTCAAAAGCCCCAAATACTCTACGAGGCAGCCGCACAAAGTGGTGAACCAGAGAAAACCCTCACCAAGCCATAAGCAGCGTCCAACTTCTGAAATTCGAGTTTACTCTTCTCTATTTAAGTTTATGCAATTGACGATGTTAATTATTATTGATTGTGTTTTCTTAATTGTGATATTTGGCTAAACTCTCTTGTTCTAGGTTAGGGATGTAGTCTTTTATATTTCTATTAATGAATTGAATTATTTTGTTTGGGTTTGATTTATATAATTGCAATTTGATAATCTTGTTTTATTTCGTATGATTAATCTGGCCATTTGATTATATGTTTAAGGTATTGATTTATTAGCGGGAGTGAACTTTCTGTACTAGTTCGTGGGATTATCAGACGTCAAGTAGTATAATTTTAGGAATAGTTATACACTTGGGGTGGTCTTATTTGAATTCCTGTTTTTAATGAGTTTATTTCATTTGTTGTGATCACGAGAGTAGACATGAGATTGATTTAAATATACGTGTTCTACCTTGAGAGAGGAGATTACATACTATTGAAAATTCAATCATTGCTATGTTATATATGTTCAACTCTGCAATTAGTTTAATTTCATTATTACAGAGAGTAATTAGCGAAATCCGAAACCTAGAACTATTTTTCATTCTTGTTTGTCATTTTTATTAGTTTGAACTCTTATTGTTTATAGCTTTAGTAGTATTTTTCTCATATTTTCCTTCGTCTAATTAATATTTTAGTTTCTTAACTTGGTAATTGTTTAGTCCTCCTCGTGAATACGATACCTTGCTCACCCTATATTTATAGTATTTGATCCGTACACTTGCGGTAGATTTAGTCCCGACCAATGATCAATAAATTTTACTCCATAAATATATTTTAAAACTTACAAATTAAAATGAGTCAAGTGATGACGTAAATGGAATGACAATCCCTTCATCCCAAGTCTTAAGATGATTTTGTTCAGTTGTTCCTTCACACAATGTCAAGGTTTTAAACTATTTAAAGCCTATCAAATTCAAGACAAACCTAATCACCCATTGAAAACTGAGCCCCCCATTACAACAATTAAGGAGGATTGAAACTTAATCATTCAGAATTGAATTCGAATTCGAATTAGCCTGGGTGAACCCGGTAAAAACACTAAAAAAAAAATCAAGACAAACCTTTAACAATTTCTAGGCATAAAAATAGAGAAAATACACAAACAAGGAGGGGAGATAGATTGACAAGTGAGGTTACTTCCATGCTCAATATATATAGAAGAAAAAAATGACCAAACCATAATGAGTTAATGACCATAAAAAAATAAATAAATAAATAAATAAGCATTAACCTATCTTGCCATGCTCAATAGAAGAATTAATGACAAAACCATGATAATACAAAACTCAATACTATACCCATCTAAAAGTCAACAAAAATGAAGTACATGCCATCACACAGAGTATGTACGTACATTAGTTATCCAATTAGTTGCATTATTATCACCTTATATAATCTCCGTTCTATATTAGATGACACGTTTTATTTAGGCACGTTTGTCAATGCATACTTTATAATGCAAATATTTTTTATTACATATTAGCAAAAATTATAAAAATTTGATATATAAAAGCTAGATGTTGAGACTAATCTAACAAGACTCCACATGACTATATTTTTTCTAATCACGAAATCACAAAACTAAGTCAAAGCAAATAATGTGAATAGTACACAAAGTTAAACTGTGTCATCTAATTTGAAACGTAGGATGTACTTCGTAATAAATTAATGTTGAAATTTAATAATAAAATAAAATAAAATAAAAAACAAACTTTTCAAATTAGAAGCAAAAATACTATGTATGTATTCCCTCCGTCTCTTATTTTTTGCTTCATTGCAAAAATATAGGTCAAATTTTTAAAACTTTGACCATGAATTTTCGTTATCTATAAGTGATACTAGTAATATATTTATATGAAATCTTGTTAGAATCATCTCATTGTATGGTTTATTAATATCAAATTTTAATAAGTTTTACACCTATAAAAAATAGAGATATATACGTTTAACGCATTTTTGAAACCGAGAAAAGTCAAATGGGGCAAAAAAATAAGGGATGGGAGGAGTAGTATACAAGTACGAAGTATATTTTAAACACCATTTGAGATTGAAAGTCCGATGATTTTGGCGTCTATAATATTGTAGAGAACGTGCCTATTTTTGTAACGACTAATGTGGAGTCCAATGATTTACGCTAATACTAAAGCAGCCACTTCCCGATTTGCCATGTGTTTAAACCCTAATAAGTAATAATAATATTATTATTACTAGCTTTAACAGGTTCTTAATAGCGGAAACTAAGGCCAATTATAGCCATCCACTCAGGAATGTTTAGGTTGACTTTAATACCATCTGTTTTTAGTGTCTATCAAAAATTTGGGTGTCTTCCCATCATTTTTGGGTCAATTATTATTTATTAAATCAATAAAAAAAATAAAATTGAATCCTATCATATATACGAAGTACTTAATATCTATTTTATAACATAGTACCTATTTCATCACACTCAATCTTTAAGACTCATGTTTGACCATTAATATCTTTTTATTACGCATTAATAATAAAAATTATAACACTGTACTACACATTAAGACGTATCCAATGATATCTCACATGTTCACATGATTATTGATTATGGATTGTATTTTGTAATCCCACCGTTTCTTTTTGGTTACGCACTTATATGGTTAATTACCATGGTCAAATACGTACATTTAAGTTTAGGAGAGGGGAAAATAAAGAAGATGTGAAAGTGACGCATAAAAAACATTATGAAAGTAAAAGGTAATGGATCCTTATTGTATAAATGTAAGTTATAAGTGAAAAAATTTAAAAAGAATTGAAACATTTAAAAAAGAAAATTGAGTAAATAAAAATAAAACAAAAGGAGCATGTATATATAATTGATGAGAATTTGTGTCAAATGTTTTATAGTTTGATAATAAACACAGGAATATGAATTATATTATGAGACGAAAAGAGTATGCAACGTATGATATACAAAGTATATGTTCAACTCATTGATCCAAAAATTAAAGTATGTAAATTTCAATATGAATATTTGAAAACACGTACAATAGTATCTATTTCAATACCATTTTGCTCCATACTATTCTTAAAATAATACTATTCCTTAATCTTCGACATAAACACTTTTGAATATTACATTGTTAATATATGGAGTACTAATTTAATTGATGACTCAATGTTTAAAATTTCATAGATCTTTGTACAATTGTACATATAATTTTTGAAATTCCATGCATGCTTACAACCTAACCTAAAATTATATAATTTTTATACGAGTAATTTTAAAAAACAGTAAATAATTCAAGCTATCAATCATAAAATTTAGGTACTACTCCATAGTAATAATCCTAGAAATTAAATTACTCTACAGATTAAAAAGCGATGGACTTTTTATTTTTCTGTCAATAGACTCAATTCTACGGTATAAACTATAAACTACTTCGCTTGTGTACAAAAATGTCAAGACGGCCTACAACTTGCCAACAAAATAATTTTATTTAAAAAAAAATTTGATAGGAATGCAATAAAAATCATAAAAAAATATAATAACAAGAGATTATTATTTAATAATTTGTTGACCAACTATGAATGACGATTAATAATCTGACCACTATCTTCCATTATCGCATTTCCAGCGTGTTATTCAACTTGTTAATATTGAATTGACCAATAAATGATAACACAAAAAAATTAGACTTATACTACGTAGTATATTAGTATCTTCCTTGAAATTTCCAGCTTTGCTTTAATTTCAGCCTGCCAAGACTACTATAAATATATGGACTTACTCTAAGTTTGATATATACCTTTATCATATACTTGTATACATTTTTACAAAGAAGAAACATATATAACGTTACATTTATTTTTTCGTGTACCATTATTATTTGTTCGTTTATTTCTTAGATAATTAAAAAAAAAAAAAAAAAAAAACATGAAGCAAGGTCAGCATGCAATGGGAGTTCCAATTTCAGCTCCACCAAATCAATCATTTGTTGCTGGAGAGTTTTCTAGTGGTCTTTGTGATTGTTTCTCTGATTGTTCTCTTTGTAAGTCCGTCTCATCTCTATCATAAATATATATTCGTCAGTTATCTTTAATTGTCGCCATATGTTAAATTACTATACCATGAACAGCCCGTGCACCCTTGTTATGTTTGTTACTTAAAATTTAAACAATATATATATACACGCGCAGGTTGTTTGACATGTTGGTGTCCATGCATCACCTTTGGACGTATAGCAGAGATTGTTGACAAAGGCTCATCATGTAAGTATACAAGTCCTATACATGTACATTATCGAGCAATCGATCGATCAACTAACTCAATTCCATCAATTATAATGTAGCAAGAAGTATATTTGGTTTAATTTTGATTTTGTGTAAATTAATGCAGCATGTGGTGTAAGTGGAGCATTGTACTCACTACTTTTGGCCTTTACTGGTTGTCAATGGATATATTCATGCGCATATCGTTCAAAGTTGAAGGCTCAACTCGGAATGCCAGAGAATAGTTGTGGAGATTGTTGTACTCACTTTTGGTGTGAAGCTTGTGCCTTGTGCCAAGAGTACCGTGAGCTTCAACATCGTGGCTACGATCTTGCCCTCGGTAATAATCATTCATCTATTCTCTCTTTACTTAATTTTCGCATTAGGAATCCCCCTCGAAACAAAGAATTATAATAGTAAATGTTAATTTTTTTAATAGAGTTGACTCGTGCCTATATTAACAATATGGGTTAAAAGGGGACGGGAATTTATTGACGATTAAACATTGAACTTATATTAGTTTATTTGTAATTGTTATGTTTATAGGTTGGCAAGGTAATGTGGAGAGGCAAAACCAGGGGATGGTCCCTCCATCAATGGCAGGTGGCATGACTAGATAAGCTGGTTGAGATTTGATGAGCATCCAATCATCCATTGAATAATAATTCAAAATTAAAGAATAAAATATTGTGTTGTATACTTGTATTGTACTATTGTACTCGTAGACATGAATAAATTCTTAAGTAATTTTTAAATTTGTTTGTATCAAAAGTCTAATTTTAACTTCATTCCTTTGTTTAATTTAATTAAGTGTGAGGTTTTACGTATTTATGAGGTTTCACCCTTTTTCTATAGAGAAGAATTGAAGGTGTGAATGTGTGAGCATGTGTACATTTTTTGTTCCCGGGGGTTGATGTGTAAATAAAATCTACTATATATTCTTTAATTATTACTATTTTGTATGTATAATTTTTTGTTGTTCTATTATACGTTATTTGTTTAATGATATTACATATCAATCTACCATACTAATATAGCTTTTTAAAACTATTCCACATCAACTTTACAATTTTCTAGACTATTGTGAGAGCTGGAATATCAAAACTCCAAGTTTCTAAATTATTTTGCATGCGATACTATGCAAGAAAATATTCACTAACGAATTTACGAATACATGATAATTAAGTAAGACATTAATATATACTCCGTAGTCGGTTTACTTTGACCGTTAATATATTTAATTGTCTATAATATTAATATAGATTATATAATGTTGATATAATTATATACTTGGTACATTATAACCAATCTAAGCTAACAACTTATTATATGATAATTATACATTAAATAAAAAAAATGTTAAATGGATTAAAAACAAATCATTTGCAATATAAGTTCCTTTGAAAACTGCGTTGTAAGGTCCATCCAAATTTTACTACGTAAGTTCTTTTTGCCATCGATTATTGAATTTCAATTCTAATCGCATTGATCTTGAAATTACGTACCACTTTCTTCGTTTTTACTACTACAACATATAAAAATTAAAGTTCATCGTTTATACATAACCTTCAGGTGTTCACTTTTTCAAGTTGTGCCCCCCTTTTAAAAGTTCCACGCTGTAACCTCAAGGTCTATTTACTGACTATGCTATAACCTTGCCGTTAACCCTCCGTTACATGTTGTTTTTCCAAGGATGTAACGTTGGAATGGGTTAAGTTTGGAGGGAAAATTTCCGTCCACAAGCACAGTATTCCACCCTCCTCCTTAAATATCTCTTCTTCTTCTTCTTCTTCTTCTCTGTTTTTATTATAGGGTTTGATTTTTTTATTTTTTTTTTTCGAATTTTTCCACATAGCGGCTCTTCTCACGCGTGCACCATGTCAAGTTCTCGATCGTCCTTTCAATCCAATTCAAATTGTGCGCTTCAGTTTTTGCCCCTACGTTGCTGTTGCGAGCCTCCTAAATTTGCGAAGATCAAGATATCAACAACCAATCGCAACCTAGGGAAAGCTTTCTTTAAGTGCAATGACTGTAGGTTCTTCAAATGGTTGGATGAAGGTGATATTCAAGGGCTGGGCAGTATGCAGAGTAGTGATATTCAAACACATCTTCTTAAGAAATTAGCTGATTTGATTTGTTACATTAAGGATGTAATTAAAATAGGCCTTTTTAAGTATATCATGTTGTTGGTGATTATCTTGATTAAAGTAGGGTGAATTGATAGCTAGGAATGACGTATTAGCAAAAAAAAATCTAAGTTATCAGGTAACATCCAACAACATTTTAAGTTATCATGTATGAAGTTCAATGTTGTTATTTATGAACTATTTGAATATGATTTGCAAATTATGCATATAGTTGATATTATACGATCCAATTAAGATAAGGAAAGATCAATTGAAGGAGTACCATTTCATAATAAAAGATAATATCAGCTTCACCATTTTTACACCCAAAAAATTAACCCTCCAACATAATTACATAATAATCAATCCAAAAAATTACCCCCTTCAACATAATTACATGTTAATCAACCCAAAATATTAACTCCCTCCAATAAAATTTGTTAACATTTAACCCTAAAAAAACCATTGTTTTGAAAAAGACCATATGACATTGGATAAAATCAGAGCATGGACAACCTCTTCAATATTTTCCTCCCCTTTGGGCTAATGTATCCTTCCTCATTGTGTGTTGGTGTTGCAGTGGATGGTGGAGGTTGACTGGAAGCTTCTCCTTGGAATGGTACTTGTTTGCTTCTGGTTCTCGGAATGCTGGTTGAAAGCACAGGTTGGCTTGAGCAGGCTCTGGGAGCATGTTGTGGGGTTGATGGTTGACTGACCATCATTTCAATCAGGTTCACCTCACCTGTATCTTGTGAGCTGTGTTTCCTTGTGCTCTTTCTTGCCTTGGCAGGTTCTTTTATCTTGAGCATATCTGATTTTTCTTACAATTCCTTCTTAGTTGGTCCACCCCTACAAGTCAAGGTATTATGTCCAAACTCCATACAGTTCCCACACTGGACAATTGAGCTCCTCTTTCCCTTTCTCTGTTCACCCTCCTCTCTCCTCCTATTCCTAGAAGGTCTCCCAACACTTCTTTTCTTAGGTGGGGGGATCAGCTTAGGAACATCTAGGTCAGGCCATTGATCTGGATCAGGTATGGGCAAGATATTGTCTTTGTAAGCTACCTTGTACCTAGAAACAGAGTACCATTCACTTACAAAATCTAGAGGCTCTTTCCCAGCATCCAATATAGCTCTAACTTCATGCCTACATGGAATTCCACAAATTTTCCACCTACCACAGACACAGCTCTTAGTGTTCAGAGAAACAGGTAGCATGCTTCTCCCATCTGATATCTCATACTCCCCCCTCCCTGATGGATATGCATGACAAAGTCTTGACTCCCTTCTTAGAACTCTAACCATTTCTCTAATGCAAGGACAGACTCCCTCCTCCACCCATTGCTCTAACAGTTGTTGTCTTGTGGCATGTCTGACCATAGCAATTTTTCTCACACCTGCACATAAAAACATTACTTGAGCATGTCAAACTGTAAGGGTGAGTGCATTAAGTTAAAGTAAGTGGTATTTTTGCCACCTTATAGTAAAGTAAGAATAGGGTATGCCTTGTCAACACTTATGGTATTGTTGAAACTCTCCACAAAGTTGTTAGTGTTCTCATCATAGCACAAGGTTGGTTCAAACTTGAACCTTGTCCATCTCTCAAGTGGGCCTAGATCTTTGAATCATTTCACTGCTCTAAGTCCTGAAGCTTCTGAACTTGCCGAAGAGCTGTTTTGAAGCTAAATACTGAGTATGCATTAGTTACAGCCCAGAAGAGTTTATGCATGACCACACCAGGATATTGATCCAATGATGGATCAATTCCCTTCCAAGGAAAAGAAAAAAAAGGACTGCTAGTGACTAGGCATTACATAGATAAAGAATGCAAAGGAAGTAAAATGCAAGGAGAAGTGGCAAAACCTTCTGCCTGTCACTCATTATTGTCCAGTCCTCTCTTCCTAACTAAGTGAGTATGTTCTTCAAATGTGTAAAAAATCAACTCCAGCTACTTTTATTCTCTGAGTCAACCACTGCAACTACAAGAGGGAATATCTCAGTATTCCCATCCAATGAGACAGCATAGAGTAGTACTCCTCCATAGTTTCCTTTCAAGTGGCAACCATCCACACCTACTAAGCCCCTACAACCATTGATGAGCCCATTAAACTAAGTAGCAAAACTTATGAATATGCATCTGAATTGAAGAGCTCTCTCGGGTTGCTGTAGTGTTTTCCATAAGCAAAATGCTATAGAACCTTGGTTTCTGCCCTTAATCATCTCACAATAGTCAGGTAGCTTCCCATAGGATTCATCATGACCACCTTGTATCATTTCCATTACCAAACCCTTCATCTTGTATAAGCTTGAACGTGCCATTTTCACACCAAATTTCTCCCAAAGCAGGTTATTAAGTGCTTTACCTCTAATGTTAGGTGTAGCCCTAATATCTTTCACCAGTTTATGAGCTGCCTAGGCATAGGTGCACATTGGATTGTTAACCATGTTCAAATCACAAGAATGACCATTCTTTATGCTTTTTAATTATAGCCCAAGTGCAACCATCAATCAACATACTTGCATGAATTCTCCAACTACATCTACTGTTAGCACACTCATCTGTGTATATGTCATGTTCAGACTTCCTGATAACCAAGCTAAAACCTTCCTGCACACAGTAATCTCTAAGGGCATCCTTGAAATGCTCCCTATCAACAAACAACTGCCAAGGCTTTAACCTAATCTTTCCAATCTTTGCATCATCAAACACCTCCCCATTCTTGTACAACTTACTCACATAATCACCAGCATCCTCATACAAAGCCTCACTGCACCTAAATGGCTCCTAATTACCATCAACAAAATTCTGATTCAGCAAATCCATTGAGTTCTCTTTATCTAATCCTTCCTCATCTTGACTAGGAATATCTTCCTCATCTTTCTCTAAAGGTGGTTGATACTCACCATCAGAGTCACTCTCTGACCCACTATCCCTATCAGAAGCACTCCCTGAATCACTTTGTCCATGTTCAACAACCACATGTGAAACCCTCTTCCTAAGCCTACTCCTACTACTTTCACCTACAATGACATTGGATTGTGAAGACTGGGTTGACTGGATTGGTACACCCTTAAACCTAGCAATGGAATGTGTCAGTTTCTTACCATGAGGAAAAAGGAGAACTTGCTTCTGACCCTAGTCTTTTTAGTAGGAGGGGACCAGTTGGGATTGGCTTAGTTTGGTTCACAGGGGCTTTCTTAAGGTTAGGGCTTGGAACACCTTGTAAAAACCTAGGGCTTCTTCCGGGTGGAGGTGATGAAAGCTGAGACTTAGAGATGTTCAAGTTATCAGAAGGTTCAGACAATGACACATGAGGAGGAGAGTCAGGAGAAATCTCTTTTAAAAGTCTTGGTAGTTTCCTACTGAGCATGCAAAAAAGGGGTCTGAATTGTTTTTGGGTTTTTTCTTATAGGAAGTTTTTGTGTTGGTTGTTTAGAAGGGCCTGCAGCAATAAAGTGTTGGACATGTGTGGGAGGTGGTTGTGGGCCAGACTTAATTGTGGCCATGTGAGGGGTTTGGTTTGGGGCAGGAATCATTTGTGGGCCAGAATCATTGTTGGGTGCAGCCTATATATTCTGGACAACAGTGAGGTTTTGTTGTGGGGCAATAGTTGGATTTTGTGCTTTTCTCACAGTTTGGCAAGAGTCCAAATGAAAGTAGGTTTAGCTAAGCAATCAACCCATACATCAATTTCTTTCACTGTAATATTCTCAAACATCTTCGTCAAAGTCCCATCATCTACCAAAGATATACTCTTTCCACTAAAACAATAGTGTAACCCAGGCTACGTTGATAACTCAAATTGTCTTTTTTGAAACTCCTCAGACATCTCATTAAGAACATCAATTAACAAACATCTATCTATATCATCAACCTTTACACATACACAATTAGCACGATAATAGATTTTAAGAATTCTCTCTTCCATCTGCAACATACAACATGCAAAAACTCTTAAAACACTACCAATTACACCAATTACGAAGCATTAACTCAACAACATTACAAATACAACAACCACATTAAACAATTACCATCTGATGATAACGACACAAACATGCAATCAAACATGGAATTATAACTCCAACCACAAAATTTATGCATGAAAAACATTAATTCAATTACATCTGATACTATTTTCACCCAATTATACATCTAAACCCTAAAATTAACATCTTTATGCAAAATTCGACAATTAAAAAGAGGGGAAATTAGGGATTCGGTGACTTACCTTCGACAATCCTTTTCTGTAAAAATTACCACAACCTTCAGCTCGTTGATCTCCAACTTAATGGTGATTTCGCTCTGCAAATTTTCCCAGCAAAAATTCTCCTTTCGCAAATCGCATGTGTTTAGGGTTTTTGATTAGAGACAGGTGAGGTCATGAATGAAATAGAGAGTTTGAGGGGCGGAATTAAATGGAAAGAGAGGGAAAGTACAAGAGTTATGTGACGGCATTAACTATCTCTGACGTCCGTCATTTATGGTGACTTGGTAATGTTACAGCGTAAACACTTGTAGGACCTTGAGATTACAGCGTGGAACTTTTAAAAGGGGGGCATAGCTTGAAAAAGTGAACACCTGAGGGTTACTGTGTAGAATTTTCCTTATAAATTTCTATATAAAATTAAACAAAAATAATAATCGTATTATATAAATATCACACTAGGAGAGGACTATGTGCATATGAAGTATGGACCATCTCCACTTTAAATGGGATTGGCGGCTTTAGCGAGACCATAACTCTTTCGTGTTGACTTTGATTAATTTGGCACAATAACTGTACCCTGCCTTTTCCTCCATAACAATCTTAAGACTTCTTACAAGATAAGTTAGATTGACTTAGAATACTACGTACATTAATTATTGACCAATTCCTCGTCACAAAATAATACTCACAATCACATAGATTACGAGTATTTTAAGATGATTAAATAGTTTTAGGAATACGGCTATATAACTTAAAGATATACTTGCAGTACCTAAAACTTGATGATAAATTCTACCTACATCATTAGTTTAATATATAACCTCCGCTAAAACAATATACACACAAAACGAAACAAAAAAAATGAGAAAAAAAAAAAAAAAAAAAAAAAAAAAAAAAAAAAAAAAAAAAAAAAGCTTCATATATATCCTATGCACTTCTTGACCTTAAAAACCTTAACCTTAATCTTAAGCTCCTATTACAAAAAACAAAATTTTCTTGTTTGTTTATCAAATAATAATTAGTTGACCAATAATGACTAAGAAAAATCAAACCAATTTCCTATCCAAATTCTAACGTGTTAATCAAGCTGCTAATAATTACTGCACATAGTAAGGGGACCCTCTTAATACACTTGCTAAAACCTTGCCATACCATTCTTCTTCCTTGAATTTTCTATCCTAATTAAGCAGCCACCACTCACTTCTGATTTATCATAAATAATGAAATAAATATAAAGTAGCCACCACTTACTATATATATTCTCATAATTCTAATCTTTTTTGTTCATTCTCCAATACTATTACAACTTACTCTATTCTATCTTAGGAATTGTTTCTTGCACATATACATTTTTAAGCATTGAATCATGAAGCAACAACAGCCTGCAATGAGAATTCCGGTGGCCGACCCGAATGCTCCTCCATTTGCTCCCCTGAATCAACCAACTAATGGTGGTGCTGTTGGAGAGTTCTCTACTGGCCTTTGTGATTGTTTCTCTGATATTCCTCTATGTAAGTCCTTTTTTTTTTTTATTAAAAACTTCAAATCTTATTGTATTAAATTATTCTGCATGATAATAATTGGTAAATTTCAAAATAATGCAGGCTGTTTGACATGCTGGTGCCCCTGCATCACCTTTGGACGTATAGCAGAGATTGTTGACAAAGGCTCATCATGTAAGTAGCAGTATAAAATGTTACTCCTTTCGTCTTATGTCTCACAAAAAAAATGGTATTTATTGAATTAGTATAAATTGTTGGATGCAGCATGTGGGGTAAGTGGAGCGTTATATTCATTAAACATGGTAGTTGCGGGATGTCAATGGAGATATTCATGTACATATCGATCAAAGATGAAGGCTCAATATGGAATACCAGAGAACAGTTGTGCAGATTGTTGTACCCATTTCTGGTGTGAGTCTTGTGCATTATGCCAAGAGTCAGTGGCGGACCCAGGAATTTCCGACTGGTGGTTCACAATCGATAATCAAGTATGTAAAAAAAAATTTACCGAACAACCAAATAATAGTACTAAAAAATAAATCCAAATATTCAAACAGTACAAAATACAACCAAATGTTCATATAATACTACAAAAGACAACTAAATAGTAATGCAAACTTATTACAATAGTTCTCGATGAGTTTTCATGTTTTGATATCGATTCATGATATCTTTCATGCTAACATTCAAAAACAAATCATTCTCCAAATAAGTAATTAAACAATCATTCAACATTTGATCTCCCATGCTATTTCGTAGTTTTTCTTTCACTTGCTTCATGCCAGAAAATACCCTTTCCACACTTGCCGTTGCGACGGGAAGAAGCAACACCAACTTCAAAAGTAAATAGACCCTATCATGAGTTTCAGACAATCCCGTTTCAACCAATTTGATTGAAAGCTCACTAAGACCCTTCAAATTCCAAAACCTTTCATCTCCTCTAACAGAACAAATGTAACTCTCAAGTGTATGACCAAATACTATCAATTCTGAACTTGGAAATTCATTAGGATAGAATTTCGCAAGCTTAATCAATTTTACCTTGTCAAACTTAGAAAAACGATCCACAGGACTCAAACAAGACATACACACAAGTAGTTCTTTAGTTATTTCGGGAATCGATTTTCAAGTTCTTGCAATTGAAGATCAATGACACCAAAAAAAACTTCAACTCGAAAATGATGTAAATTAGACACTTGTGGGCATTTACCTCGAAACAACCTCCTCCCGGGAACAACATATTTAGCCTCCATATCTGGAACTGCAATGTTATAGTCACCAATAAAAGAAATGACCTGTTCCATATGAGAATCCCATCCTTCATCTCTCATTTTTTGCAAATTAGTCTTGGTTACATTAACCATGGCCATTGCATTCACAATGTCTTGATCGTGCTTTTGTAAGGCCACATTCAAAGCATTTGTTATCGCAAATATACTAAACATCAAGTGTGCCACAAACACAAAATCAAAGGACATCAGAAGATTTGTAAGTGTTTGAGCTCTATTAGAATCTATTGTATCAGATACTTTTGCAATATACTTTTGCAAAATCAAAGGACAAGGCTTTCTTTGAATGTAAATTCTTCTCACTAAATCTCTATCATCTTTATGAAATTGACTCATCTTTCTCCTCTTTCCTGGATCTTGTGGAAGATTAGCAAATTCATGTTCACTTAATCTTTCACCAAAGATTGGGGCATTAGGAGAACATTGGCCTTGTTCATTTTGAGGGGAATTTTGAGTTGAATAATTAGATGGAGATGAATGTTGTTCACTTTCTTGAGGTGGAGATGTAGTTTGTTCACTTTGTTGAGGTGGAGATATAGTTTGTTCATTTTGTGTTGGATGTGGAAGAGAAGTTGAAGTAGGATTCTTTTTAGCAAAGAAGCTAGTAATGTTTTGCATTTCATTTTGAGTGTGTTTTCTCTTCATTCTGAAAATTGAATGAATAATCAACTAAATCAAACAATATTCCTCAGAAAAATTATTTACAAAGATCATTAGATCATCCAAATAGAAAATTGACAAGATTACAATCCTAACTAATAATTAACAAGCTTAAAATTGACAAGACTAAAATCAACAAACTAATATCTCCACTAATCTATACGACTATACGGAACTTCAAGCTGAATATGCGACTAGCACCACTAAGCACTAACCAGTCCACACTGTAATCTAATTATAAATTTATAATCCTCCTTACACTAATAGTTAAATAGTCTAATTGCTGTCTTACACAATGTCCGACAATACCGGCATCACATATTCACAATTTCAAATAATGACATAAACAGTAAAACAGATAAACTAATAAGTTCAATTTAACAATCAAAACACAATTTACACAAATAATGCAAATTCAATGAACATTCACCGTATATACTAATTTTAAGAGACAAGTAATGCAAATTTGATCAAAAATTCACAAAAAAAAAAAAGAATAAATTGATGAACCTACCTTGCCGGACTGCCGTGCCGGAGGCGGCAGACGCTGAATGAGGCGACTAGGCGAGCAGCGGAGCAGCCAGCAGCACAGCCCGCACAACGGAATAGCGAATTGGCTGAATTAAAGACAAGATTGCGAAGTTTAATAAAATTAACTAAATAGACTGAATTGAATTGAAGATTAGAAATTTTAAATAAAAATTACAAACTTACTCTTTGATGAAGAAGTGAAGAACTGGAGTGGAGAACTGGAGTTGGAGTCTTGGAGATGATTGATGAAGGATTGAAGGCCGAAGGGAAGAGGCGAATTGGCGAAAAGAAGAACTGAAGAAGGCTAGGGCTTGAACTGACTTCGTGATTTGGTCATTTGGGGAAAACTGATTTTAGTTTTTTTTTTTTTAAAATAACTTAAAAAAAAAATTTGGGCCTGGTGAGTCACTTGACCCACCAGGTCTAAGCCCAAGTCCGCCACTGCCAAGAGTACCGCGAGCTTGAACACCGTGGCTACAATGTTTCCCTTGGTACGTTATCAATCCTCTTTTACTAGTACTCCTTACGTCCACAAATAATTTTGGCAACTGATCGTGCCATTTGAAATTTGTCATTAATGGAATTTGTATTTATGTTATTTGTTATGTATCTATAGGATGGCATGGTAACATGGAGAGGCAAAACCAAGGGATGGTGGTTCCTCCACCAATGCCGGGTGGCATGACCCGATAAGCTCAACACAACACATGGAAGATTTCAAGATTATTACATACATGTTCATATGTGAAATTACTCCATTTGAATACTGTACTTATTTGTTATTTTTTACTTCGTACATCGTTTTTGCGATCCTAAAATGTATGTCCTATATTTCGAGAATTTGAGTGTTTTATGCCTTCATATCAATGTGTAAATTTTGTGTCATATCATAGCAAAGATTTCTGAATAAAAACAATATGTTTCATCTTATTTTATTCGTGTTTAAACACATAACTGTTTCATCTCCTTAACCAAACATAAACAGAGGTCAGGGCAGCGGGAAGCCGAGAACAAAACCACTGTTTATTATTTATGGAGTTTTAGATTATTACAATTGACAATAAAAGGTCCGTGATAAGAACATTGGTTTCATATATAGCTTATAACTCATCATCATCAGCTTGCCATTTAACAATAGCCAAAGTATGTCGACCACCACAAGCTATAAGGTTAGCCCGCCAACGCGCTTCGGCTTTCTCCTCCTCACCGACACTTTTTGGAGGTGGGAGATTTATTGGTACTTCCATAGGATGACCGGTTGTGACCTTCCGTCCATATCCTAAACGGCCATGGTCACCTCGCCCGAACTGCAAACAGAAAATGAAGAAACAGCTGACAACAAAAACTGGGAAATAAAAGACTGGACTCTGTAAAATGGCATAAAATCCATCTCAATGCAATATTAAGATAATCACTCAAAATGATCTTATGCAATGATCCGAATACCGGCGTAGTATAATTCTGATCTATTTAAGACGAACAGCCAAAAAAATGACTAAGAATTTTTCCACCCAGCTTCCACTAGCCAGTTATGTGGAGTAAAACATTGATTAAACATGCAAATTGAAACTGGAATCCACATAAAGTTTAGTGCATTAACATACAGCATTTGAAATTTTCGAACACATAGCCAAAAAACCAAGCCATTGATCAAACACCTCAGAGTGCAGTAGTCACTCAAAGGAGAGGAGCGAAGGGTGCTTACAGTAAATATTCGTCCATCTCGTGTCATTGTAACTGAATGAGTTCCTCCACAAGATACCTGATGATAAAAATAAATAAATAAATAAATAAAACTTAAGTCATTCATATAAAAGCAGCAACAGGATTCCCATGAAAGTTAAAAAGTTTATAGAAGCTTAAACTAGTTTCTCAACATACTACTGTTCTACTGAGTATCTATTTTGTACTACACACAACCGCCAAAAAATCATCACAGTGTACAAAACCTTCAACCATTTAACTCTTTGAATTAGGATATCCCACAAGCTCACATGAGGTATGAGCTCAAAACCAAGCTCATAAGTCACATATAATATCTTTAATGTTTTACAATCAGCAATTCATGCCAAATGAAGCATGCACAATTGCACACTAAAAAGAGCTTAAAATCTGGAGAAACATAAGCATTTGATGATGGATATCTTTATGGAAGCTATTGGGAAATTCCCCCCCCCCCCCCCCCCCACAAAAAAAAAAGAAAAAAAAAGGCCAAAGGGCGAGCAAAGGCCCAAGTTAGTGCGAACATAAGTATTAAAACCATTTATGAGGAAGATAAGGGTCGATTACATTCTAAGCAATCAAGTTTTCCTAAAGAAAGTGGTTCTTGCTGAATTATCCTGAGAAAATGTCATAATGGAGATTGCTTTGAAGCTTGAAAGATCATACCTGAACTATATCTTCATTGGCTAAAAGCTGCACCTTCTGTGGCAACATTTTACTGCTCTTGTCATCTCCAAATCCAAGCCGTCCATGCTCTCCTCTACCCCACCCGTACACCTTGAAGTAGTAGCATTCAATGAGGAATGTGCTCAGCAGCCAAAAAGATTAAAGGAAAATATATGTCCAGCAAAGTAATGTAAAAAAAAAAAAAGTGCGAGAAGCATCACATTTCCCTGTGTTTTTGTAGCCTGCACTACATGGCACATAAAATACAGAGTATAAAGCATCATGATCTAGGAATGCATGCATCTTGACAAAGTATTGTGATTTATGTGCACATAACACATGATATGCTATGAGCATGGTAGTTAGAAGAGTCAAGGAATAAGCAGCAGTAAAGAGTCACAAAGCATCATGGCAGAGAGAAAATGACAATATGAATCATTACGAGTTGGTTCAACATTTGCCAGGATGAATAAGTTTACTGTAGATGAAAGTGCATACCTCTCCAGCACTCGTCAGAGCAGTAGAATGCCAACCACCAGCAGCAATATCAACCTAGTCCCTCACAGACATCAGCAGTTAGACTCAATGTATAAGTTCCTTCTTAAACAAAAGCAACAAGCCAGCAAAGCATCTAAGCATCATATATGACATAACGATAAATGCAAATGGACCAAATTTGACCAAAGAATCTATTACTCATTTGTAATTGCTAGCTACCTCAACCTTTGAAGTGCTATCTCCAACCTTTATCTTATCAATCAATCAATCAAAGCCTTAATCCCATAAGTGGGGTCAGCTACATGAACCAAAAATAATTATTCTGTATAGTCATCCACAAAAATCTTCCTCCTCCATCCCTTACGATCAAATGCCTCGTGCTCAAGCAAATCCATATACTTCATATCCTTCCTAACGCCTTCCAACCAAGTCATTTTCGGTCATAGCAGTAATATAATAAAGTTTAAGAGAAATTGTAAAGATATGAATGTCATTAATAAGAACCACCATTTAGCAAAGAAGATGGTAAGGTAAAATCCAAGAAATATTACATCTCCAACCATCAGGCATACTACTCAATTGCAGTTATACCGATGACTAGGGAGAGAACTCCAAAACGTAGGATAGAATTCATAGAAACACCAAAATATATGATAAAGCAGTATGGGTATAAGAAACCGTGACACCTACCAGTGTAAGACCAGAAAGCCCCTGTACACGAATAGGCTGTGACCTAGGTTGAGTATCTCCAGTTCCAAGCTGCCCATACTCGTTATTACCCCATGCCCATAAGGTCCCATCTTCTTCAAGAGCCAAATTATGAAATGCTCCCACTGCAATCAATCGCACCTTTTCAGGTCCTTGTACTCTAACTGGAACAAAAATTTGCTTTCTGATGGAAATGGAAGACAAGACACAAGGATAAGAATAGGAAAGAAAAGATAGCACAACACTTAAGCATGAACAATTAGTCTAGCATAACAAAGGGAGACTGGCATCTTCTGTCTTACAAAACAACAAAAGATTATTATATGCAGCAGAAGGAATCGAGAGGAACCTACATATCTCCAGGTGGCCATGGCTGACCCCAAGTCCATACATGTCCTTCACGTGTAAGTACCACTGAATGCGTTCCTCCAGCAGCCACCTAAAAGGATTGAACAGTAACTAAAATTACTAGGTCCAGCATAATAAAGACCCTATATATTAGCAAATAGGCACCAGTTAAAAGCAGATTTTCTACTCCCCCTCAAACTTGAAATTTGAAGATTAGTTATTTCTAGTAGATCTCATATCCCCCTCAAACTTGGGAGCTAAACGGGTAGCATTATCATTGCACAAGATCTATACAAGTATACAACTAAGAAACAAAAATCCAATTATCCAACAACCATCCTAGTCAAAAACAGCATCAAGAACATGATCATGAATAACCGAAAGTAGCAAGAAATTAAGTGCCTGGCAAATTACTAGTACCCAACCTGGCGAACTTTAAGCTTAGGTGCACAGCGTTGAGGAATCACAATATCCCTTCGCAAAAGCCTGCCAGTTTCATCCTTTTCGGGATCTTCACCACATTGCCCATACTCATTACCACCTACATCAAACCCATACATTTATGCTCAGACATTTAGATGATTTTGCTTCGCAATAGCAAAACAATTTCGTTTAAAGATCTTAAAAACTCCCATTCGAACCTCTGGATTACCCATTCCCATTTCAACAATGGTGTTTGTGATGATATCAAAGAACAGCTAAATGGTACACATATGTGCGCTAACTAACTGCTCACTCATCAAGATTTGCTATATAACAATTAAAGATTAAACAAATTTCTTATCTTATAATAAAAATCCTTCAGCTATAAAATCCTTATGTAAGAAACCAAATTAAGAACAAGAACTATAATAAAAACACATACCCCAAGCATAAGCACGGCCTTGATCATCAACAGCCAAGCAATGCCACCCGCCAATGGCCGCCTGAAATCGAACACAATCCATCCACATTACTTCCACTAACAAAAACAGAATTCACCAAGACAACCCACAGAAAAAATTCAAGCAAATTTATAGACTTCACCTGTACAATTTTCACATTGGCAAGAGCTTTAACCTGAGTAGGCACATTCTCAGCCTTAGTCTCAGGTGGTTGCCCTAAAGTCCCTCTTTGATTCCATCCCCATGTAAATAACTATTAAAAAAAATCAACAAAATCCAATCAATTCAGCTGATTAAATTACTCCCACGTTCTAAATTTGTTGCATAAAATGAAATTTTCAGCAAAACCCATTAAAATTAAGATCAACTTCAAACAAGAAATAAAGAATTTAGCACAACCCAGATGATAATATCTAATCTTTAATCCGGAAAAATTCTAAAAATCAAAAATTAACCTTGCCATCTTCACAAAGAGCAAGAGAGTTGCGACTACCAGCAACAACAGAGGAAACAGTGTAATTTTGAAGAGCTTTAACTTGGCAAACCCATTCTTTATCTTCATTGTTGCCTATACCTAATTGTCCATCTTCGCCTGAACCCCTGCCACCATTAACAAGCAACTTCATTAGCATTCAACTAATCAATTATTAGTAAAATAACCCAGAAAATAAAATAGCTGAATACACAGAAGAATAATGGAAGAAGAAGAAGTAAAGAGACCAAGCGATAACGGCGGTATCTGAAGGCATAGAGTTGAGGAGAGAGAAATGAAGAGAACAGCGGGAGTAACGGGGTTTTTTTAATGTGAGGAAGCTATGAAACGAGTAATTGAGTAGTGAGGTTGTTTGATTGAAGCTTAAACCTCTGTGCTTGCCCTGCTTGGTATTTAGATTATGCACACGGGTGAAACATGTTCGCTAACTCATTATGCACTGGAATGAACATAGTTCCTCCGTTTTTTTTTTTTTTTTTTTTTAAAGAAAACTATATTTTAATTAGCTTTTATGATTTATATCTATGAGCCTACAATAAAGTATAGTCATGTGGTTTTAAAAAAAAAAAAATATATATATATATATATATATAATATATAGTCATTTGGAATGTAGTTGAATTGTTTAAAGGTAAATTTTATTAATACTCCTTATCCATTTTATACGGAATATAAATTTACAATGTTGATAATTAAATATTAATCGTTCAACTTGTGCGTTGGCAACTAAAAACGAAGGTAGTAATGTTGTATGCATAGTAACAAAAGATATATTTATTTAATCAAATTTACATTCAAACGTGCTTCGAAAAAGCATAATGTTGAATAAAAGAACAAAATATATTTTAGGAGAATAAATTGTGAGATATTAACGTGTAGATAGTATTTGTTCAAAAAAAATTGCTAATTCGTTCAAAATTTGTGTATGAATTTGCAATCATAGTAGTACTCCATACATATTTTTTTCAAATGTACAATGAGTCGAGTGCGTCATCTAGCAATTGAACATAGAGAGATTGAATTGCGTATTTGTCATTCCGGTTGGCATTAAATTGATGAAATTAGAAAAGTTGGACTTTCATGGGAAGTTTATGTGTCACCTAAAGTTATTACAGAGTTTTATGCGTTGTTGAAGCAAATTTCAAATTTATATCTACAATTAGCTGAATTTTACCAAAATCAACTTTAAATTTACAATATATTGCGTGAAAGGCTAAAGATTATATTAAACCAAATATAAGAAACTAAATGACTTCAAAATTTTCATATAAATATATATAACTTAAAATCACCTTAGGAATCGTAATTTAAGGCACATTTAAATGATGACTAAGCATGTTAATTAGATGAACAAACATTGAGACTTGAAGTCATTAAATGTCTTTGCACAATAGTATTCCTTAATCTTATCAAAAGTTGATTAATGGTGTCTTTTATACCTACTAATCATTTGTATCAACAAGTGTATAATCCAACAAGTCATTGGTTGAAGACTTGAAGTTAGCTATAATTTGATTCAAAGTACAAATTTTCCTGTCGAACCAAACATAATATCGATGTACTCGTATGACTATAAGGTCATTAATATTTTATACTCCATTCATTTTAAAAGATCAATTACATTGAGATGTCTCCTCTAGATTAACAAATGAATATTAGGAGTATTGTAAACCAATGAAGGCACTACTCTAAAGTCCAATTTGTATGAGCAGATGAGCAGATGGCTCAATTAAGCACCTATTTAGTGTAGTGGACAGACCACATATGACATATCCTATCAATGGCTCAAACATGGTCGATGCCAGATGCCCAAATCCATCTACTCCTAAAAAGAAATTGGTAGTGGACATCAAGTCAGCAACCACCTTATACTAAATGTTATCACAAGAACATAAAGCTAAACCGTACCCAACCACATCATTGAAAAAAACCCGAAGAAAAAGCCAAAAAAGCACATCCAAAAAAGAAAACTTAATCTGCCTTGTTTGTATCATGCACAATGTATAATCGATTGTACATACCAAAAAAAAAAAAAAAAGTTTTCTTATGTTTGTTTGGTTGCATCGAGGAATGATTACATTGAGCTTGAAACAAAAGCAATTTATTAAAAAACATATACTTTCTCTGTTTTTTATTACTTAACCAGGAAAAGTTGAAAAGAAAACTAAAAGACCATATTGCCCTTACCCACTATTCCTGCTCACTGACCAAACCCCCCTACCCTTCCCCGTCACTGTCACCCACCTCACCACTGCAACTCTACAACCTCCACCACAAATACAACACCTTCACCACCGGCTAACCCTTTTCTGTCCTCTACGGCGACGACCAATCCCCTCAAACCATTTCATCACCAAATTCGACCACCACATAAATGTCGTCAACAACAATCACCGGCTTACGACGGCAAGACCAACTGTCATCACGTCAAAACTACTACTCCAATATGCCGTCGTAATTTTATCACCTTCTTCAATACCCTTGAGCGTAATTTTTTACCGAATTAAATACCCACACTCCACCAACCACCGTCCATGAGCATATTTTTCAGAAATTGAGAGCTTGGTGGCCGAATTTGGCTATGGTGGTTTCAGATCTACATTTGTTGGCCAAATTCGACCATCATAGCCTCGATTTTGGTGAACTTTAAGCGTCGCATATATGTGCATTTTTTTCAAAAATTGAAGGTCAAATTTGGTTGTGGTGGTTCTAGATCGTGCGTTTGGTAAACTTTGAGTACTTCAACGGTGGTGGAAACGGCCGGAGGTGATGAGATTGTGTGTGATGGGAGAAGTGTGGAGGCCATTGTCGATGAAGAGGAGAGATAGGACGGTGATGGAGGTGGTGGCTTCCATGGTTAAAGTGGAGGAAAGAGGGAGGATGCGGTGGTGGCTGGTAATCAATTAACTATGGGGTTGACTGAGGTGAGGAAGAAGGAAAGGTTAAAGACTCAAGGATATAGTACTATAGTGTCCTATTATGTTGAAATGGTTATGAGGGGTAAATAAGTAAAAGTGTAGTGTTATATTTGCCATAAAAAGAAACTTCCCAAAAAGGAATACAGGTCAAGTTATAAAGATCGGAGGAAGTAATTATTAAACATTGGCAAACAATCAGAGAGTACACCAAACCTTGAGGATGACAAAAATCAAATACTCCCTCGCCAAGCAAAGGTTAAATATGCAACTACATCTCACACATTGAACATAAAATAAAAAATAGCACAATGCTGTGTTTTTAAGTGTCTAAGATGAAAAAGAGAGTACTAACTTCGTACTGATAATACCCAGAACTAAAAACCATGTGATTCTAATATATTAACCTAGCTACTACGATCCAAATAACAACTACTATACTGGAGTCTCATGCCAAAAATACATAGCACAATTCTCCAACTTATCACTGTTCGCCTGATTTTCCAGCAGTTTCTTTAATCTCATCACCGCCCTCCTCCTGAATAAATAGATATATTTGGGCATGGTCAGATAAACAGAGGTGTAGGGGTCACAATTAAAGCTTAAGATGATAATAATATGAGTATGAAATAAAGACAGCAATAAACTTCAAAGACAGCCAAAACAAGAGGTGAAACAGGTTGACTGCAAACAAGTACAAAGGCTTCTCAAGCAAACATGATACATGTTCTAAAATGATACAGAGAGGGTATTCATAAACATCAGGCATTAGCAAAGATTAATATACAACTACTAACCCCCAAAATAATGATCAAATTTCTTAGGCAATCATGCTTCTGTAGTTTGGTTCATGATGATGCAAGATTCTATTACATACATTGACAAATAAAATGGTGGAAGGGTGCCCTAGACTATAGTAAGATGATCATTTCCCATAAGAAAAGTCCTACATGTCATCCCATACTTGTCTGGTTAGCATTCCATTACTGACTAATTTAAACTAAGATAGTATATAAAGAAATGTATGCTGCCAGATGTCAAAATTCCTAAAAACGTTCGAAATGCTCAAGATAAGGTATTTAAGGTACTCAAAGCCTCAGACAATGACTCGGGTTATTTTCCTATGTAACCACTAAATCAGAAAACAATTGGCAGCTTGAAGCAGTGTATGATCCCTTATAGCTTCAGACAATAGCCTATTTTGACTACTCTCAGCCAATCTACAGATTATAAAGTCTCACTAAACCTTCCATCCTTGCAGTAGCAACCAATTCTAAATTTCATATTTATTACTTGTTAACCTATCTTAAACAATGGAATAATAATTCTATCTTTAATCAAATCAAGGATAGGGAAAACCATAAAAGAGCCCAAAAAGAGAATCCAGCAGCACATTGGGCGAGAATAAATCAGATTTAAGTGAACTTAACAGTAGGCTACAAAAGGCATAAACAGACTCCTTAGGAACAGATAGATACCGCATTGTCTGAAGTCCACAGGGTCAAATTGTCTCGCAGCAGCTGCATGATCAATGTGCTGTCCTTGTATGAATCCTCACCCAATGTGTCCAGCTCAGAGATAGCCTCGTCAAAAGCCTACATAATATACATTATTTGAAAGTCAGAAAACAGGACAATTTACACCAGAGCATAGCCAACAACCTCATAAAAGGCAGAATAAGGGACAGTCCATAGAAGCTTAAATGGTAAAATACTTCCAATATTTTAGTAACCTTTTTAACATAGATCATTATGTTAGGGCTTGATACAGCATAAACCTTCCACAATTACAATGCACTTGATAAGCTAAAAGGTTCAGAATATTCAACAAATTTTTCTAACTGCCAACAAAACAATTATTTGTTCTCTCTAACACAAAATAACTTAAGTTAATTCATAACCAAATAGTCATATAAAGCAAGGCTTTACAAGCATATAATTGTTTTAAAGCATGTGAAGAAATAATGATTTATTTGGAAAATAAAATTCATCAACAGGATCAGTGAACAAACTAATACTAATAAAACAAAACTAGTATACAATGTAATACCTGCTTGGCAAGATTGCAGGCACGGTCAGGAGAATTCAAAATCTCATAATAAAATACGGAGAAGTTAAGAGCAAGCCCAAGCCTAATTGGATGAGTAGGAGGCAATTCAGCAAGAGCAATATCCTGTATATAAGGGAAAAAAAAATCATATAAAATAAGTCAGCAAATCTCATCCACAAAAACAAATGAGAAAAGGAAATATATTGAAGAACCAACCTGAGCGGACTTGTAAGCCAACAGGGTGTTCTCAGCAGCCTCCTTCCGCTCAGCTCCTGTCTTGAACTCAGCAAGGTACCTGTGATAGTCACCCTTCATCTTCTGGTAGAATACCTTAGACTCGGCAGAGGAAGCCGAAGGGATGAGGTGCGACTCAAGAAGGTTCAAAATCCCATCACAGATCTTGCTAAGCTCGGTCTCAATCTTACCCCTGTACTCCTTGATGTTTGTAACATGATCTTCGTTTCCTCTACTTTCCTCCTTTTGCTCAATCGAAGAAATGATCCTCCAAGAAGCCCTCCTTGCACCAATCACATTCTTGTAAGCCACGGACAAGAGGTTCCTCTCTTCCACAGTAAGCTCCTCGGCATCTGTCATCTTTGCAACTTTCTCCATGAACTCCACCATTTCCTCATACCGCTCAGCCTGCTCGGCCAACTTAGCCATGTAAACACTGTCTTCCCTTGATTCAGTAGCCATTTCCACCATTCACAGCAAAAATAAAAATCTGGCAGCACAAAAGCACAACACATGAGACATACTTTTCTTGTAAGCTAATAGAAATAGCAAAAAAATAAAAAATCCTACAAACTAGAGACAAGTGCACCAGAACCATTCCACTATTCAAATGCAAATCTCAAAACTCATTACAGCAAATTTCATACCAAATCTAATCACTAACAAACCAACCAATCAAATCATCGAAAATATCATACAACATTATATTTCCTTCAATCTCACAAGCTAAAGAACTACAAATCCAACCAAAAACGCATTGCCCATACCGATTGACCTGTGATTTTGTCAAAAAATCCTAAACTAATATTAAAAGTTACTTTGTTTCACATTAGTCTTCCTTATCAAAAGAACATAAAATATTAAATTACCAACCCAACTTTAATTATAATAATAATTTCTGTAAAATTTGGTAGATGAGGGGGTCAAAGTAATACATGTCACCCAATTATTTGGTAAACAAAAAAAAAAAAAAAAAAAAAAACACTCGTACTTTATTATGCCAAAGCTTAAAGGGCAACTATTAATAAATAAATTATGAAAAAATTAAAAAGCAAGCAAATTTCCCAAAAAAAAAACAAAAAAAAACCATAATTTATTCAATTGCCAAAATTTTCAGCGATCATCCATGATAATTCTATTGTATCTGAATTTTAATAAACAAACAATGGGGCAATTAATGATATAACGGTTTCCGATTAAACATGATAAACAAAATTAATTAACATAACATACAATCATTAGATTAATTTCATACGCAATTAATAATCGACAATAATCTACAGCAAAAACGTAAAAGTTGACCAAAGTACAACACCAAAAAGAAAATTAATTTTAAAATAATAAAAATCACAAAAGTCGAATGTTCACACACATTTACGAAACCGGAATCTCGCAAACAAAGATCTGAGACAAATTGAAAATCACAATAATTAAACAAAATATAAAAATTAGTGGATTCGATGAGAAGGAAGAATGAAGCACAAACCCTAAAAATGAAAGGGAAAAGGGAGGAGAGAGAAAAGGGACGTACCAGAGAAAGAGAGGGAGAGGAAGAGGGAGAGTGGAAGGTCAGAAGAAAAGGGAAAGGGAGATTAAATATGGCGAGAATATCATTTCAATTATTAATTTATTGATTAATATGATATAAAATAGAGGGTCCAATTGAAACCTGACACCTGGTTGGGAACCATGGAATCCCATTTTTTTTATTGCAACATTTTTTATTTAATTTTAATTTAATTGCTAAAAAAAATATACTACTCGTACTTCTGTTCTTGAATGTTTATTTCATTTGATATTACTGGAGCAATTAACGCCTGCGATAATAACTAGTCATGTTCGGAATTCCTTTTATTTTGTCATCGTTAGTAGCGTTAATTAGAGAAAATATGTAAACAAATATTTTTTAGGGCAAATATGTAAATACAAATTTTAGAGACATAATCGTCTCAACACTAGTCATAAAGTGTGGTTCTCATACTTTTTAAATGGGTAAATACATAAATAAACATTTTTAGGGGCATAGTAATCCTCAACATTATTCATAAGAGTTCACTCGTACTTTTAAAAAACATTTTATGAACATAATCGTCTCAACACTATTCATAAAGTGTGGTCATCGTACTTTTAAAAGGGGTAAATACATAAATAAACATTTTTAGGGGCATAATAGTCTCAACACTAATTATAAGAGTTCACTCATACTTTTAAAAAACATTTTAGGGACATAATCGTCTCGACACTATTATACATAAATAATTTATAATTTTTTTGGAAAAAATATATTTCAAAAAAATTATAAATATGAATAACTACGTAATTATAAAATATAAATTATAAATTATATGAATAACTACGTAATTATAATTATAAATATGGCCATGTATCACAATTTTTATTTTTTTTTAGTGTATCATTGATTTACCATTAAAGCTTTTAAATCAGGTATTTTTCATATTCGGTTGTAATATTTTTGTATATGTTTGTGATTTTGTTAATGAAATTAAGAAAGTAAAAAACTACTAAAATTAGGACACAATAGAAAATTAGAAACTATACTATACAAGGGAATCTTAAAGTGAATTCAGATCAATGTTAGCAAAGTCTTAGAACTTACAGATTTTACAAAGCCTCTGTAACCCATTTGCAAGCTAAGCCATATATTACAAATGGTCCTATTAGGCCAATAATATAATCTATTGATTTTACGTGTAAGAAAAATAATAATTACTTTTAATTTTTTATTTATTTTATTATCTTTTTACCGACGCACTCTTCTTTTCACAAAATTATACTCCCCCTATTATTTTAGTGTCCCCATTGAGATTTAGCACATATGTCGACATAGAACTTTGATAAACAATATCTTAATTATTTATATATATATATATATATATATATATATATATATTTATGTATAATTCACAAACATTGGTCGAAGTAGACCAAGTGAATATAGTGCAACTTACAAAAATATAAAATAATAATAAACGCTAAAAAAGAATAATAGGTAGTGTTTATACTCTCTTTTTTTATCTAACATTTGAAATAAAATATAAATAATAATGATAATAATAATAATAATTATTATTATTATTATTATTATTATTATTATTATTATTATTATAATTATAATTATAATTATGATACAAAGCATGCCTACAATTACATACACTCTTTAAATGGGTATCTTGGACAACGCCCGGGGTACGTACTAGTATATAATAAAAGTTAAAGTGTTAATCCTGGTTGGAGCAAAAAAAACTTTCAAATGAAAAAATACGATGTAGAATGATATAGAGTATGGGAGTAGTACATTATTCTAATAATATTACCTTATATACGTAGTATATGTTGTTTATTATACAAAATACCTATTATAAAATATATTAAAGATATGTTAAAATATTTTCATTGAATGCATATAGAATATACTTATAATATAGTGTTTTTTTTTTTTGACAAGACTTAGAATATAGTTGCCAAATTGAAAGTTAGATATTATAGGATATATCAGTTAATATGCATGAAGATTTGAAAAAAAAAAAATGCTTTAAATAATACGACAGCCACCCCGCACAACAGCTACCCCTGCTTTTCTCACCCCTGTCATCTCCGCAACACACCGAAACAGAGCCACCAGCAGCCCCTGCGACCTGCACCTCCCCTCCACCAACCCGCACAACAATCCACAGCATCTCCAATAGCCCCACCTGCCCTCACCATCAGCCGCCTCCCCCACTCAACAAATCGCACAACCAAAACAGAGCTCCGGCCAGCAGAGCCTAACCGCAACCATCAACGGTCGTCGCAGCACCACCAATTAGCAACAAGTTCTTCGGAGCCTCGCAATTCACCCACAAAACCCCCATTTTAGCTAAATCAATTATCATCCCACCGTCTTGCTTTGATGGGGCTTGAGATTGCTTCATCAGTCCATATAAAACTTCAACGATCTTAATTTCAATGGTGTCTTGTGTCGACGGCGACAATTTCGAAGACGATTTTGGTGGCCGTTGTTGTTTCGGTCCATTAGCCGCCTTCTACACCGGATTAGAACATAGTCAAATCCACAAAAACACATACAAACATCACTGGAGAAGAAGGGGATGAATTTGGGTTGGCTGGGGTTGGGATGCCGACAGTGGCAGTGGTGGTGGTGGGGCTGGTTTACGGTTAGGGATGGGTTTATTCTTTTTTTTTTTTAAATTTTTTTTAACCAATATAACAATAATTTTAAAAAGTTAAAAACATTATATATATATATATATATATATATATATATATATATATGAGACCAATAAAATGATGACACGTGTCCATATAACCTATTAATCAGGTTACCAACAGGTTACAGTCTGTTTAAAGCGGACACCCCCCAAAGGTGGTATTATTCTGGGATAATCAAAAGATGGACTTGTTTTTAGCGGACGGGCTAAAGGTCATATTATTTAAAACAATTTTTCTAAAAAAAAAAAGGAAAGTGAAAGTGGCGGGCAATTTTTTTAATCAGAACATGTTAAGTATCATGTCAGTTTCGCTTTTAGTATTATGTTATTGATTGATTGATTGATACCATGTGTATTTATTACTCCGTAATGGTCAAGTGAAGGCAATGAAGATCACGTACAAGCAAAATGGGCAGAAGTTTACAGGGCAAAGCTGCAATATATTCTTTATCGTACTTTAGGCCCTTGCTACTTGTTTTCGCAAAGTTATCACTAGTTATTTAGAAAAGTTCGAAAGTCCACTAAAAGTTGTACAACCACGTTAAAGATCCAAAGAGATTCGTCATTAAACCTAATATTATCTTCAAATGAAAACAACTCGCTCCATGAGACAATAAACAACTTCATTACATTTACAAAAACAAAACCAGAAATAGCTAGACTCCATCAATATATCATTCAGCCGGTTAAAACTTGAAAGTTATAAAGTAAACCTCTTTCAAAAAAAAGTGAACCAAATCAATAGCCAAGCGGAAGTTATAATTAACAATACAAATGAATCAGCCGATAGCCGAACGGGCAAGGCCCAAAAGGGCCAACACTAAAAAAAAATATACGTATGACAGAAATAAACACAGAAAGCAAAACGCTGTGGTTCAACCATTTATGAGTTCTGACTTTCACTAATCAAATTTTGGTTGCAATTCTGAACCCTCTTCAACTATCCACAAAGCCAAGGTAAACACGTCATTGATTCGATTAAAGGGTTGCAATTTTTTGCTGGAAATTTTGATCAGTCAAATGGGTATTCTCCAAGAAGCCAGAGAAAATCATGTCAAGAAGAAGGTTGAAGAAGGTGAGAGATTTGTATTATCCTTTAATTGCACTTTCTTAAACCCTAATTATCCCCTATTTTTTCTAATCATCCCCTTGATTTTTAGATTGTAGGTGAAAATTGCAGTGTTTTAATTGAAAATTACATTTATTATAGTTATCTGGGTATCAAGAAATTTCATTTTTATAGTTTGATTTGCTTAATTTTTGCATGTTTCTCTTATTTTCTTGTTGTAATCTATCAATGCTTATGATTTCGCATTGGGGTTATATTGTTTGTTTAGGTTTAATTGATTAGAAGGCTGAGTTTGAAGTAGTTGGTAGATTAAGTAGGAGATAAAAAGGGTGTGATTTTAGGTTTGGTAAAAGATTGTATGATTTCAAGTTTAAAGAAATAAAATGAAAAGAAATTTCAGATTAGTATAATGAGAAATGCAGCTTGTAGTTTAGAAAAATGCAGTGAAAAAGCCTGAATTAGATGTTTACCATGTGGGTATTGTCCTATATTTTGGTCACCACATTTGCAACTGAGCAAGTAGTAGATACGCTCTTACACCTCTGCATAGACTCATGGAGAAATGAGATAAACGGTTACATATGCTGGGCGTCTCTCATTTAACTCTAGCCTAGATACCTCTTGCATTCGTGACCTTGTGATGTAATTTTTTTGATTTTGATGTGTGCTTTCCTCACACACTTGTAGTCTTTGTTCCAAGGATTAGGCTCAGGTAGGCATTGTATCTCTACGTCCAGTGAACTATGTAGAATTCACGATTTATGTAATTGTATTCATTGTCTTTTTTTTGGATTTTGACTTTGCTAATTGTATGTTAACCTAACTTCCAGCTTTACGCAGCAAAATGAAGGCGAAGGCACTAAAAGAATGTGATACTTATACTTCAAAGTATGCTGAATGTGCTTATGGAAGGACTCTATCCGTTGTTTGGAAGTGTAGGCAACAAGCAAAGGAATTGAATAATTGCCTTCATCAATAGTAAGTGCACTCAGTTTACAATGCTTGTCTATTAAGTAATGGTTGTAAAGTCAAAATTGAAGTCAGTAGTCTTAAATGTAACAAATTTTGGAGGCGTATATGAAGTTTTAATATTTACATTTATGCCAGGTTGACAACCCTGTAGGCTAATCATGACTGATAGCATTCTTGTAAAGAAACCTTTGTGTAAACTAATTGCAAGGTTATTATGTCTTCTGGAAGGCATATGCATCACAACTAACCTTTCTCAATTATTCATTATCTTCATTCTCTTTATGTGGATGATTCTCTTATTTTCTATTGCATACTTTACGATAGAGTTTGAGACAGACCTTTTTATTTTTTGAAGCAATGTTTGGCTTGAGTTGCGAGGTTCTTAATTTGGAGACTTTGCTGATTTATTTGGCTTGGAGTAGACTCTCTTCCATCTTCCTATCTTGGCTTCTAGTTGGGGCTCTGCTCCATCATGTAAATCTGTTTGGTTGATTAACGTTGTTGAATACATGTTATGCTGTGTGCTATTTTACTATTATGTTCGTGTTCGGTATTCCGGCAAGTATGTGCTAAAGGCTTAAAGCCAAAGGATGTTTGAGTGATACTTCATTGGCTATCAAAGATTGAAATAAACGACTTTCATTGGGTTAAGTGGGAAGATGTGTGTCACCCCAAGCATTTTGGTGGTCTTGGTCTTAGGCCTATCAGTACCATGTATATTTCTCTTGAGGCGGCTATATGGCCTTGAAAGTATGCAAAGGGAAATGGGCTTTATGTACGAATGTCAGTAAAATTTAATTTGATGTAGAGAGGCTAGGGTGGAAGATGAGGCCAGGGTGGTGGAGCAAGATGGTCTTTTTCTTTGCAAGAGTAGGCATTTGGAAATCCATATTAGAAGGGTTTTGTCTTTTCAAGTCTTCAACTGTTTGAGGTAATGAGTGGTTTAAGGTTTAATTATGTCATGAAATTTGTTCCGAAGACTCATCCTTATATGCTCATTTATTGAAGCTGTTCAAAATGACCTTCGTAAGGAAGAAGTTTCTTTTTTCAAGATTTGTTAATGCTTGGGAAGAATATATAGTCTTTAGATCTTGAGGGTAATGAGTCAATGTGCTGGTGGCTTGATAAAAGTGTTTTTTTCTTATTAAATTTTATGTTAGATTTTAGGTATATTAGGAAAAATTTCTTGTAGGATTTCCTAGCTTAGCTCCTCCTATAGCATTTCTTGTCAGGAAAAACCACAAAAGCTTAAAAAGGATTTTTTCAAGAAGGATTATTGTTGTTGCAAGTCATTGTAGTTTATGTCATAAAGAAGAGTTTTGTAATCATCCTTTCTCTTCTGTCCTCTGAAATTTTCTCATAATCTCATTGGCACTTTGTGATGAGTGGAGTGCAATGTTGTTCCACCAAAGATGCTCTTGTGGCTTTTGAAATGTAGGATTAGGGTTGAAATGTGGGGGTGGTTCCATTGGCAATCAGTTATGAGAGGCACTTGACGCTATACTTTTTCATTTTTCCTAAATTGAAAACAAATAAGCACTATCAGGAATCTAGCGTTACTAGTTCTAGTGCCAGAAGGTACATTGTATAACAATCTAGTATGGAGTATTATTTTGTTTGCAGCAGGTACCTGTAGGTCACTGTGTACATAAGCTTAAGCTGCATTTTGTTTTACTCTCTCTCTCTCTCTGTAATGCAATATACTTTCAGAAAATAAGACAAATAAAAAATAAAACAATGGTGAAGCTCAAGGTTATGATGGGCTTGTGAAGATTGAATACTTAATAAGGATTGGAAGATTGAATTCATTTAAAAAAAAAGAATAAAATTAGTTAAGCTAAATTTTCGTGTATATTAAAAGCTGTTAAGTCTGTTGTCTGAAGGTTCAGCCCCTTGCTTGTGCTGAATAATCTCTCGTGCTATTGTTGTGTTGTATTGTTGTGGTATTGGGAACCTAATTTGGGAATCTAATTTGTTTTAATGATTTCAAGAAGTAATTCTGGTGTCCTTTGGGTGTGTTAGTAAAAAGATCAGCAAAATATCTTTCTGATATATTATCATAATGACAATTAAATATTTAACTTATTGTTACCAAATTTGCAGTACCAATGACTCTGTTCTGGAAGAAATGAAGAAAGAGTACATGATACAGGAGGAGGCCAAGAGCTCTGCTAGAGTCTGAGCTTATATAATGAGATGTTTAATTTGAACTGAGGAGCCAGGGAAGAGCTAAAGTGCAGTGTGTCTTGATATCGTGTGTTGGAATATCAATGGTATGGCAGCTACTTACATCCTTTTCAAAGTCCCTTGCATAGTTATACATCAAAACTGAGCAAGAATGTGGGCAATTGCAAACCCTGCGTAGGATTTTAGTGTAATGATGCACTATTGGTTTTTAGGAATTTTGACAATTATGCACTGTAATTCAAATCCATTGGCGTTGAATTGAGCTTGGAGTTTGGAATAGATTGATAATTGGCCTAAATTTCTTTCTGTTTAGTTTTCCTCATCTTATTTGCGAGCATCTTTCAAATTCTTTGTAGCACCTGCGCACTGGATAAAGCTTATGTTACCTAGGCTTGAACGCCCCTAACCCTTCGTGTTTCTGTTTTTGTTATCACAAAGACTTGTATACAACAGATGCAATTGTATTTAACAAGTAGAGTCAACTTTGTCAAGGATGAAAAATACACCCGTTACATACAAGACATATTGTATGTTTTTGGTATGTGATGGCATTTGTACGTGTAAAACTTCCATTGACACGGTCTCTAGATCTTATCTTGTGGTGATGAATTTATGTTATGAAGGCTTTTCTTATGATGAATGCAACCCAGACGCATAACTATGGATACGGGTTGGCTATCTGTGATCCAGCACTACAGTTATAAACAGCATTTTAAAGACTTCATGTTTTATTGTTTTGAATCTACTGCTGCCAGTTTCACACTAGGGCACTACACAGATTCAAGTTCATTTAATTTCTCTTACCCTTGTGTTTACCAAACTGATACATCTCTGAGAATGGTGATGTATTGGTCAAATTATGTTTTTGAAATTGACGAGTTGTTTTCTTTTGTATTTCCAAATTCCAATGTTGTGTTTAAAAGTTAAGAATGATGTTACGAAGCTGCACAAAGAAACTTTAGCTTCATAGCTCCCTGTTGACTGTCAAGTATATAAGCATAAACCTCTCTTATAGTCCATTTCATAATCGCCTATGGAGGTTAGAACACAAATAAGACCTGGAGTTGGGTGACCTTAACTTCTAGCGAAAGCTGAAGGGCGATTGAAAGTAGGACACCTTATGGAGTTATGGACATATGTATGGGTATTCAGCGTGTTCTCGTCTATGCTGCAATGAGTAAGGTTTCATAATGTGTAATTTAAGTTGCAGTCTATATCTACAAAAAGAGTTGTATGGTTGGGACACGACACAAACAGATCTTAGAAAATCATCACTAGGTAATTTTTTGTGATCATCTATAAGCGCTTATCATCCTAATTAGTATAAAGTATGATTGTATGAATAATAAGTCCATGGCTACAAAACACGTTCCTTTTCCTCAATTTAACCTCATACTCTTTAACTGGCAAAATTCTACTCAATCTAAAAACATGATCAGATTCCACCCGAAAATTTAGGGTCTTGAATACAATTTTGTACATCCTGAAAAGCAACTGAATTGTGATTTGATTTACCGACTTGACCAAATGATTTGACAAGCGAGTGAAGAATGTCCAATAAAAAAGTCGACGTGACCCTGGCATTAACTCAACAATGGTTGGACTGGAGGCACTAGTTGTTCCCACAAAAACCAAAAACCTAAAGAAAAGGGCCACTGAGTTACTGAAAAGACTCGTGTTTAATCTGCTAGCATATGGATAACAGGAACATTATACAAAAGCAATCTAACTGAAGAATTAATATGCTTACATGCTGACAATCAGTCATATAGCAAAGATACTCAGCAGAAACTTCTTCAGAAAATATGCTACAGAGTCAAGATATAGGTAGAGTAAAAAGCTACTGTAAGAGATAATATGTCTTTGTCTTGCTCTCAAATACATAGTCAAAAGGAGAACAATATGCGGGAGCATAAAGCTACAGAGATTTGCATATCCGCGGTGGCAATGAAAGATTTGTTTTTGGTGAGGAAGAAAAGGATAGAAAGAATCCAATCATATATCAGACGATATGGGTATGCCAGAGCAGAAGGTATCGCTGTTAGCTCAACCTCAACAGGTCAAATCACAATCTTATAATCCTCATGGGCGGAAATCCATTTTCTGTACTTGGAAATTCATAGTTCTGCATATCATCCTTGGAGGAATAAAATCTATTTGGGACCCCTGAATATTGTACATGCTTAAAGTAGTAAATTAAAAGACTATAAGCTGGACTTGCCTTGTCACAGTCCATGAATGTTGCTTTAGCGTTTGCAAAGCAAATTTTCATGTTGACTCTAACAACTCTGTTCAGAATCCATGCATTTGATCAGAATATAACGTGCAGTCGTGCAAGCTTCCAGTCAGCTTAGCCAGTTCTTGAGGTCAGGATATCATAGATTCTATTAAAAAATAAACTTTTTCAAGCATTCTTAGAGAAATCTATGTAATATTAATTTAAGCCATCTTCTAAGTACTTCGTACCTGCATCACGAGCAAGGGAGAAAAAGTCTAGTTAAAAGAATTTTGAGTAAAGAATATATCTTCCAGATTTCAGACTGACTCTGCTAAAATTAAAAAGAAGAATATCAAAAGAATATATGGCCTTTTCAACCAAGAGATTACTCTGAATTAAGCAGGATTTCCCCCTTTGCCAGAATATTCATAATCATAATTCAAAATAGATGCATGGAATTATTGTGGCTAAATTTATAAACAAATAAACATCAAGCTCAATCAGTATGAAAATATCAGAGCCCTAGAAAAAATTGTCATGCATTGAATCATGAACCCTCTATGTGCTTAGGCAAAGTATTATCCTTGGACCTCGAATCTTATTTTCAAAGAACTAACACATATTATTCTTAGGCAAAGTCAGATTTGATTGTATTTCAATAATACAAGTGCTTCAGCACAGGCACAAGGATGACAGGTTTTCGTCCTCAGTCTCGTATTTGACCTGCAGCCTAAACCTAACAGTAGGAAAACAAAGTCTTTCTGGAAATGTGAAAAATGATTTGCACGAAAGATCAACCATCATGGAATAACTCCTAATTTATTTCCAGGTCAGAAAGTCAAAAGCTAAGCCAGAAGGTGATAATGCAAACCAATGGCTTAGAAAAGGTCCCAATAAGATGCTAGCAAACACCTCAAATCCAGAATGAAGGACAAATATAATTCCCTTAAATTCAAATAGCATATCACAAGAATTTACTCAAAGCATCTTAAGAATAAGAACTTTAAGCCTTGTATGTTTGAATGCATGCACTATTAAGTTGGCCATAAGCCGAATGGGCAATTGCCCCTAGAACCATATAGCTCCAAAAACTCATCAGATTCTGGTCAATCAGAACAAAGATAACACATCCGACTTTATAAACCATGTTTATCACACTTTCAAATGGCTATTGATGTAGAAAGATTAATTTTGGTTTCATTCTTGAAACCATTATCTTCCATGTTAGAATTTGATACAGTTGAGATTTAGGAATCATTCTCAAACAGTTATCTAACCCTCCCTCCCACTCCTACTCCCCAAATATAAAAGCAAAGAACATAAAAATCATCTTAAATAGGTTTTGTGATCAACAATATAAGTATATTCATGTTGTTAATACTTTTTAGGCCAGTAAAGCTTTACGGTATTATAGTGAATTAATTCAAACATCTAATAAATATGTTCTTTGAAACAGCTTGTTTGCAATTGATTAGACATCACCAAAACAGCCTTTTCCAATAATTAGCAAGGTTACACACATCTGATCCCATCAGTTCACACAAGGCGAGCCTCATCTGAGGCACTGTCGTAGACTCGTAGTTATTGTACAGTATGATAGGCTAGAATGATTGAGATTCATATTGTCAAAATCTTACTGTACATAGGCATTTGCTAATCGATAAACATCCAATATATATACGGTGCCAAAAGACAGAAACATTATCCTCCAGTTACAGCTTCCCACAGAAGCCTAAAGGATGATCAACAGATTCCATTTAGGGGCATTTGATAGACAAGTCCTAACAAGATGTGTTAGAGGTGGAATTACATTCTCTGTTCATCAACTTGTAACAGTCTCTTCCAATGAATTACTGATGTTTGGACCCACTGCATGAAATTATTTTCATTACTTATGGTGCATATGCACCAGTTACGCCAAATAACAAATCACCGGCTAAATCTCGTCTCTGTTGACAAGATTTTGGTGATTCCTTTCTAGCCATCCAAACAAACATATCAGTTAAATTCAAGTTTATCAGCAGCTAAGTATTGTTGGCTGTCAGTGCCGTGCTTGTACCATCAGATACTGTTATCATTATTCCATCATGTTGCCAAGGTTGATTAGATACTATGGAAACATCCAACCAAAGGTTTAACTACATACAAATAGTATCAACAAAAAGCTAGATGCTGGACACCCTAGACAAAATTTCAATCCACCTCACAAAAACGGTGAGCTCCCAATTTCCCACTTGTCAAATAAAGAGAGCATCAAGTTTTTTTCTAGTTTGAAGTATTCACATTGGTCATCTTTTTTGACCTCTTCCCCTATATAAGGACTCAATGAAATACTGACCTGCATAATAACACATATTCTCTTATTTGTAAAGTCAAAAAGAGAATGGCTGCCCTCTCTCTAGATCCGAGACTGAGTCTCAATGCAAGAAAACACCACCATCACGGTGCTTTAGTGGAAGAAATAGAAGGGCTCATCAGGGTATATAAAGATGGGCATGTTGAAAGGCTACCTATCATCCCAAATGTCCCTTGCAGCATTCCTTCTGAGCTAAGGGTGACTTCAAGGGATATTGTCTTGGACAGATCAACTAATCTGTGGGCACGTGTCTATGTTCCGCAAGGACAAAGGAACCTGCCTCTACTTGTCTACTTCCACGGAGGAGGTTTCTGTGTAGGTTCAGCAGCGTGGAACTGTTACCATGACTTCATATCCAACCTAGCATCTAAAGCAGGTTGTGTAGTCATGTCGGTAAACTACCGTCTAGCCCCTGAAAACCGTCTTCCTGCTGCCTATGAGGATGGTTACAACACCGTCATGTGGGTGAAGGAGCAAGCTACCAATGGCTCAAGAGAGCATTCTTGGTGGCTAAGCTGCTGCAATTTCTTAGGTTTCTTCCTAGCAGGTGACAGCGCAGGAGCTAACATAGCTCATAATGTCGTTCTAAGATTTGGGGACAGCAGATCAGCAAGGTCAACCCTTCTAAGGCCACTCTCTCACCGAGGCACTATCCTAATCCAACCTTTCTTTGGAGGTGAGGCACGGACTGCATCTGAAAAGGCCCCTCAACCATATGGATCAGCACTTACTTTATCAGCAGCTGATACCTATTGGCGGTTATCCCTCCCTATGGGCTCTACCCGGGAGCATCCATGGTGCAACCCTCTAGCCAAAGGTGCAGCTAAATTGAATAGTATAGAACTTCCAGCTACAATGGTGTTTGTGTCAGACATGGATATCTTGATGGATAGGAACAAGGAGTTCTGCTCTACCATGGCTAATGCAGATAAGAAGGTAAAAATGATGGTCTACAAGGGTGTGGGTCACGCATTTCAGATCCTACATAGCTCGTCACTCTCCAAAGCTCGCACACAAGAAATGATTGGCCACTTAAAAGCTTTCATTCACAGCTGAACAGAATAATCCCTGAGAATCTGTGATCATTACTTTTTCTAAGTTCATTCCTGCTTCAATTTAGGTCTTATAGTAGTATCTGTTATTTACCTATTACATGAAAATGCCAAACTTTGTACAGAATATGTATTGTGGAGTGATATGATTACTGAAATCTAGCATAATTTGCTGGATATTCCCATTGTTCATTATATTTACTTCATTCATTTAGATCCTAATATCAAAGTTTGAATCTTGGTGACATCAACTTAAGAATTCTTAGCACAAATAATTGGAGAATCATATTAAATCCATTATTTTCCGCAATAGTTACTTATGTTACAACGCCTACCCTAAGCAAGAGGGAAATATATAACAGGTGAAAAGCAAAAACAAGGGATCACACAAACCCCTATTACTATCCCATCTCACCCTCCGAAATTAATTAATCTTACACTCATGAACAATAAAAACAGCTAATTGAAACCTCTAATAGCAGCTCACAAAACAAAGTGCTAGTTGCTAATACAAAACATAAGCAAATTCATCCAATTAACAAAAATCCTGGCAATTAAAAAATGTAAACACACATGCAAACAATAATAATAAATCACAAAATTAACACAAAATAACAATAAAATTTCTAGTTAGATTACACACCTTTTGCTTGGTGATGAATTGGCAACTGCAGGACACTGTGAAGATATCAGCAGGGAAAAAAGATATTCGTACTAAGTATGAATAAATGGGACTTGTGTATGTTTTGTGTAGGAAGTTTAGCTCCCTACCCTGAGGAACGTTATGTTATTATCCCACTATAAAGAAGACTATATTAATGATAGAGTATATAAATCGAAGATAAGTTTCAACCATTTAAATTTTTAATTGAGTTAGTCCTTTATCATGATATTAGAGATAACATGACATAAAATAGAGTATATAAATCGATCTTAGGTTTCAAGGTCTTCAACCATCCGCTTAAACTTTTGGTTGAAGGCAAAAATGATGAATTATTCCAATTTTTTTTGGTTATACTTTGTACTTCAAAATTTTTTTGTTAGTATCTTCACATCTTCTAATGATTATGTTATTTGTCACTCTGTACTCGTACTAAAGACTTCATACTTCGTATTTGTTACTTTAAACTCATACTTAAATACTTCATATTTCGTATAAAGTACTCATACGGAATAATGATTGTTCGTAGTCAAAGTTTTCAAAGTTCAACACTACAAATTGCAATGAAACAATCTTTTAAATAAAAAGGAAGTAACTTCGACATTTTAAGTTTTAACCAGCTAATCTCGATTATATCCCCGTAACGCCACTCGAGAATCTAACATCCGTATAATAATGTTATATCCTTCTAATTGCGGATTTACGAAATAGTAGGAGATTAGGGGTGTTTGACAATTGACATTTTGTCTAGTTTTTGACTTTTTAGTTTGGTCAAACAACCAACAAATATGGTTGGTGGTTGGCTTTTTTTATTGGCTTTTAAGCTGACTTTTCTGCCAAAAGCCAAAAGCTAATAGGAGTAGCTTTTGCAATTGGCTTTTAGCTTGTTGGCCCACTTAATCTCTAATAAAGTTCTAACAACCACTAATAATTTTATTAAACACTTTTTTAAACAGTTTAAACAACTAACTTAAAAAGTCAATCCATACAACTAATACTTCTAGCGAGACAAACAAGCCTAACACTCAACCGCCGATTGCCAAACAATCACATTACCGGAGTTGTGGTTCGTTCGTCTAGCATTTCAAACTGAGAGTGAATATAACAATTCCATATTAGCTACTTCCTCAGCTTATGATTGCTCCTCTGCAATGGGAGCTCTTGTAAACTGAACATTACTCTCTTCTACATTGCAAATTCTTCGTCTTCATCTTTTCTCAGAATCTCAATCAAATCAAAACCTTGAACTTTCAACAATGGCGAAAAAGGTTACGATGAGAGAGAGTAATATTCCGCTCTCACAATTTGGCGTTCTCGTTGCTCAATTACAATCCATTGTCGCTTCTGCTGCTCACAAATCTCCCGATCCCCTTCTCTGTTTTGATCTTCTCTCCGATCTCATTTCCGCCATTAATGACGAACCTAAGGTTTCCTTTCTTTCTTTCTCCTTTTTATCTTTTCTCTGCTTGATTAGATCTATGTTGCTGCTAATTTGTTCAAAATCATGGAATTTCAGCATGTTTATGTTTATGTTGCAATCAATTTAATTATTTTTAGGTTGTTTAAGTTGAATTTTGAGATTTTATGTTGCAAATTATACTGGCATTTGGATTGTTTTAGAGAATTATTATGTTTTGATTGGGAATTCTTGCTGAAATTATGAATGGGCTTGATATTGATTAAATTAGGAACCTATTATGTTATGGCAAAGAAAATGTGAAGATGCATTGTTTTCGCTGCTGGTTTTGGGTGCCCGGAGGCCGGTGCGGCACTTGGCATCATTAGCTATGGTTAAAATTATCTGGAAAGGAGATCCTATTTCGATATACTCAAGGGCTAGTGCTCTTCAAGGGTTTCTTGCTGACGGGAAGAGAAGCGAACCTCAATGTGTTGCTGGTTTGTCAATGAACTCTGAATCTCGTGTTAATTACCTGTATATATATGGGTGATGTTGTTGTTCACCATTATTTCATTGGCAAAACAATGCTCCTATTTCTTAGTGTATGATTTTGCTTTGCAGTTGCATTTCACTTTGAACAAATGAAATGTGAACTTGGTTATTGGCATTGATTTTGCTTTACTAGAGAACAAGAGAAAAGCAAATAAATATATCGGGTAGCCTTGTTTTTGTTGGTTCCTTTTTCCCTTCGTCTAAGGCTGATAGAAATTAAAGACTTTGCTGAATGAGGAGGAAGCTGATTAATTAGAAAAATGTAACTTGAAAATATATATAAGATGATCAAAGAAGTAAAAGGTGAAGATTTCCACTTAACTTGATGCTGGTCACTAGTGTTCACTCCTAATAAATTGTGATTGAGGCCCTATATAGGATTTCAGATGCTTGCTTAATTATGGTGGGCATGTGGGCTTTGTCTCTTTAATTCAATTTCCCATCAACGAATAATTTTTGGGTATGTGTTGTTGTGGTCGTATCAAACATACTTTCTTCGCTTCATATTAGTTAATAAATTTTCTTTAGGCACCGTTGAGACGAATCTAATAGGTTCCCACATGACTATATATATATATATATTTTTTTTTTTTTTGGAAGAATAAAGCACACAAAGGAGTCAAAGTAACTTATGTTAATAGTGTCTTGAGTCAAAATGGGTCCACTAAAAAGATACGAATGAATTATATGGCTAATAGAAAGTACGAAAATTTCTTTGAAGGGAAAGTATGGAACAATTTATTTTCACAACGTTATTCCCTTCGCTTCTTTTTGATGTTCCCATTTGGAACGTCTTGTTCATAGATCCAAAACTATGACCATAAAATCTTACCCCGTATATTTGAAAACAAAATTTATCACGTGGGATCTTGCTAGTATGTTACAATGTGTAGTTTTGAGAAATTAATTTTCATACTTTTTTACCAATATGTTATTAATATATATGGATGATTTGAATATGAGATAAGGCATACGGGAACATCAAGATGAAATGGTGGAAATACTTTGACAAGAAACACCAAGAGAACTCAATAAAAGAGATTTATAGAGGACATGCTTGCCTGTCAGCAATGACACATTCATAATCTAAACTTCCCGGTGTAACAAATAGAGAACTTTGCCAAAACCTTGTCTTTGCAAAAGAGATGATGTATAGTTGTATCTATTTTGTTCATTACGAACCATACATCCATGGCACATTCTCAAGTAATTTATACTGGATATTTTTTTTCTTTTGTAGGTTTGAATTACTGCTTAGTCATGACCTATTTCTCATTTTCTGTTAAATCAAGGTGTTGCCCAGTGTTTGGGAGAATTATATCGACATTTTGGTAGGAAGATCACTTCTGGATTTTCAGAAACAACAAGTATTGCCTCGAAACTTATGAAGTCTCATGAGGTATTTAAATTTGTTGATATGTAAATTTTTATCTATTTATTTATGATTTTGACTACCACCACACTGAATTAGTCTTATATGCTATAAGCACCTCATTACCATTCCCTTAGTGTGTATTGTGGAACAAAGGTTCTGAATCAGATATATTAAGGCTATTGATGAATGAATGAGATGAAAATGATTTCTTAGGTTTTTCATAGGTATACAAGTATTCTCTTTTAATTTTTTTTGAAATTTGCCCATGGAAGGGAAAGCAGAGGGAGTTGAATGCTGAGTAATAATGTATTAGATCTACTTAGGCCTTTTAATTTTTCATGTTATTTTTGTTTTTTTAGATAGCATGAGACTGAGAGAATTCATCAATGATGGATTGATGAGAGAATTTTTCCTGTTTGAGGTACACACACCAAAAAAAAAAAAAAAACACTGCAATATGCAGCCATGCTGGTTGGCCCAACTTATCCTCGGGGAACATCTTTGTGGGAGTAATTTCATTTTTTTTGGATTGGTTTAACTAATAGATCAATAGATGTGTAATACTATGATATTCTTAGGATGTGTAAGTGGAATTACTCCTGGTACATATACTAGAAAGAGAAATTGTGAGGTTAGGAAAAGTGGAAAACCTGTTGTTATCCTCAAAGAGCCATTTGAAATGCTTGGTTTTCTGCAAATTCTGCTGGCATTTTATTCCAGAGTGACTAATTAACAATTTTATGTACTCCTAAATATATGCTTCCTTTTTTTTTTTTTTTTTTTTTTTTTTTTTTTTCTCTTTCCTTTAGGGGTGTACTCAAATGCTTTTAATGATGAAGTATGTCTCCAGGTTAACGTACTTAGATCATACAAGATGGATTGTTTGTATTGACACCACTATGGCACATTGTACACACATCTAGAGACATTGATCTACGAGGTCGTTTGTACAACATGATTTTGATGTTTTTGCTAACCTACATAGTACATTATGCTTGGGGACTTAGGCTATGGTGTAAGGAGCAACTTGTGTTTTCTTAAACTACACAAGTTTAAGAATCAAGAAGTTTGTCTGAAATAGTCTTAAGAAAAATATAGTTGTTTGGGATTCGGGCTGGTTTTTTCTATTTTACCGTAATTAACATAAAAATTTACAGGAGTATGTAAGGAAAGAGGCTCTACATATGCTTCGGAATGCTATGGAGGGTTGTGGTGGTGCTTCTGCTGCTACAGCATATACAGAGGCATTTCGACTCATCATGCGATTCGGTGTTGTTGATAAGTCACCTATTGTCAGAATAGCTGCTGCTAGATGTCTAAAGACATTTGCTAATGTTGGAGGACCAGGTTTGGGTACTGCAGAGCTTGATAGTTCAGCCTTTACTTGTGTTAAGGTAGATCCTCCTCCCTTGCTTTATATAATTGCCTCTTTATTCATTTACTAACTAATGCTTACCTCTATCAGGCTTTTAGTGATCCAAATTCATCTATCCGTGATGCCTTTGCTGAAGCATTGGGTGCAGTGCTTGCTCTTGAAATGAATCCCGAGGCACAGGTTTACAATTTTCAAGTCTTTGAGGGATATGGTTTTTATGTGTAGCTAGTTGTTAAAAAGAGATTCCGGCTGTCTTATACTATCGCAGGTGCAACTAAAAGGAAAAGGACAACTTACCTCAGCAAAGAAACTAGAAGATGGCTTGCAGAGGCACCTGGTATCTTCATTTGTGAAAGGTATGTTATTCCCTGGGGTTTTAAGCTGTATCTGCCAAAAGTCCACAGGAGGAAGGGGGGTAGAAGTTGAATTGTGTTTTTGTTTAGTTAAACCGAGCTGATGGAATGTTGCAAAAGCATAGATTATGCAAAAGAGAGGAAACTTCCTACCCTCCAACTAACTGCTACTGTATATACTAGTATTCATCAACTAAACAAACTAGTTGATGTGTGCAGGATGGCTAAATAAGACAATAACATATGTTTGAAATAATTGAACAAGTATATTGAGCAAGGTTAAACTAACCTTGACACTATGTTAACCAAGAATCAACAATGAATTTTGAGCATAACTAACCCTTTGTTTGGATTGAAGGAAATGGAGGGAAAGGATGGAAGGGAAATGGAGGGATGGGGTATCTTTCATTTGGATAACAAAGAGGATGGAAGGGAATTGGAGTGAAGAGAAATGGAGGGATTAAATTGTAAGAAATCAAGCTCTCCAACTATGGAGAGAATAGGAAGGAAAACTCATCATTCTTCCCTCCCCTCCCCTTCCCTTCCCTTTTCCTTTCCTTCCCTTTTCCTTTCCTTCCCCTTCTTTTCCTTCCCCTTTCTTTATTCAAACACACTGTAAAAGATCTACTACCCCCCCATGGCCTGTTGTTGCTGGTCACTGGCCTTGTTTTGGGTTGCTTGACTACTTGTCAATGTTTCTCTCTCTCTCTCTCTCTCTCTCTCTCTCTTTTTATGAGAATTTTGATGTGTAAGTCATGGGTGATACTTTCTCTTTCTTCCAGTTCTCCTGGCACCAGTACTGCTCTGTCTGTCTTGTCTATTACCAGTGTCCAGTGACAGATGGTACTAGAGTTTACAGGAGGATTATTTTTTCCTTTCTAGATTTGGGAAATTTTATTAGGTGTAGGGTCAATATATAGGAGAAAAAAAAGAAAATAATGTGTGAGTGAGAAGTAAACATATGAGGATCCTATTATGGCTGCCCTTATCTGATCCACAATTAGTTTTCTTTTTTTAGATAATTTGATTATAGTTGTAACATCTCTAGTTCATAATGCAGCAAGTGGTGTCCGGTCACGGGATGTGCGGATCAGCTTAACGTTAGCATGGGTCTCCTTCCTTCAGGTAGTTATTTATATATTATTTTGCTGAGTGAAGCTTATTTATGTGATTGGCCATCTTCAATCTTCTTATGTATGAGTAATTCAGATCAAAGTAAACTTCAAACTATTTCCTGCATCTTTTAAGGCGAAGCTCTAAAAAATTAAAACTTAAGCACCGTTGCATCAGCTTCCATTTAGACATTTACAAGCTTGACTTGTTCTTGGGTCTTGAGTTTTGTTGATTTGGTGTATCTTCAGTTCCCTACTTTTGTTATCTAGCAAAGTAGTATTTTAAATTTTTTAGTGGCTTGACAGCTGCTTGAGCTGTGTATGGAATTGATGGCTGCTGTTGTCTCTATCCTATTCTTTGATGTTGGCATGCTTTGGCTTAGTGATAATAATTTAATTGAAGGTGGCTTTTATAAAAAAGAATTGGACCATCTCACTTTTTGTTTAATAGTTCTGGTAAGCTCAATATTTTTGCATCCCATCCTCTCTATTTCATAGACTAAGTGATGGCCAGTTTATATCATGTGTTTCTTAACACACACATGCAGACATGCTAACAGGATTTTGGGGTGGGGATGGGGGGTGGGGTGGGGTGGGGTGGTAGAGTGATTAGATCTCCATTCATTCATAAAACAGTTCACAAGGAGATCTGATGGTTGACAGTGCTGCACTGTAACTGCTTATCATATTTTCTCTGTAGCTTGTATGTGTTTGAGCTTCTGCTTATGTGTTTGCTTAACTTCTTTTTGTTTGATGTTGCACTTGTGATCAATTGGCTTCTTGAACTACAAATTTCAGGCCATTCTTCTCAAGTATCTTCATCCAGATAGTGAACTTCAAGACTTCACTTCCCAAGTGATGGACATGCTTCGAGTGGATACATCTATTGATGCACAAGCTCTGGTAGTCCTTATCATACTTGCTAAACCTATCTGTCCTTGCCCTCGAGTTTTATCTTTCTTTGCAATCTTGCTTATCATTGTCTTTTAGATGGCCTGAAAATAACTTGGTTACAGAAGATTTAAGTTCAAGCCATGTTCTGGTTGGCAATTGTGATACTTGCTTCACTTACATAGTTTCATTCTGCTTGTTTTGGCTGTCCAGATATTATGCGGTTAGTAAGCTAGATTAATATGAACTCAAAAACTAAAAGAGACACATGCGTGAATTGATAGAATCATAAATCAATGGGAGAATGCATTGGATTTTGTGTCGGAAATCGTAATAAGTTCTTTTATCAAGTTCATGCTAAGAAGAAAAATTAGAACTGGGGTTCAGGAAAAACATGTGATATTAAGTATGAATGTCATGATCTTCTTTCTTTTCTCATTCTCATAATTTTGTTTTTGTACTGAAAAATGTTCCATCTTTTTTACTAGTTGAACAAAAAGCTAAAAACCTTGAAAGTTAGTTTCAAAACACTTCCTATTTACTAGTTTTCTTAGAGTTTTTGTTGCATGCAGCTTTTTTTTTTTTTGTTTTCCTGAGCTCAGAAGTGATATGGACATTATGGTTTCAAATTTAGTTAGTATTAACTATCAAGAAGTATTGTATACTCAATACAGTCAGGCAAGATGTTGATGCGTGCCCTGCTTTTTTTTTTTTTTTTTGGTATGCAACTTCTTGATATGAACAAGAAAGTGATGTCTGATGCCTATACTGGTTTCGACTATCATATGCTACTCACTGATAGATTAATGGGTTTTTGAAGGCATGTGTGCTATATATTCTTAGGGTTGGTGTGGTCGATCAGATGACAGAACCTACTCAAAGGAGCTTCTTAGTTATTCTGGGAAAGCAGGTCTGTTGGTTTAAACTAAGGTTTTTATTGGATGTCACTGATGTTTATTATTGTCTATTTTAAACATGCTTATATACATTCTGACATGTTGCAGCTTGAATCTCCTGATAGTAGCCCGCCAATGAAAGTTGCTGCTCTACGTACCTTGTCATATACTTTAAAAACTCTAGGAGAGGTGAGGCTTCGCGACAATCAGTGTAAATTTTCTTTTGTTGATGATCTGATTGTAGATTATGATGGATTAGTCCTCTTGAATGGCATATGTGTGAATAAAATTCGAAGGAAATCAAAAGTGTTTATATTTGGACAAGGGTTACGTGATTAAAGTAGTAGCATGTCTTGTAAATTCAGAGATGGAGAAGTAGAGTAAAGAGATATCTTAAACTCAGGGATTCTTAAAACATTAATAGTTGAAACCAATGGAGCATGGAGATGATGGTGGAGCATGGTTTCTTAAAAATATAAATTGTTTGTTTGAGTGTTTCAGATCTTCAGAAAGATGATTTCCCGTATTCAACTTCTCAGAATTATCTATCATTATAATTTGGAATTTGGATAGTATTTATTTGCAGGGGAGGTAGGGTCAGGTTTGTGAATTCCTTACTTATCAATATAACTGAAGTATTATATTTTGAATAAATAGTAAAGGAGAGTATAGGGTGTGGAAATGTGCTTGAGTTTCATCTGTTTCTTTTGTGGCTGTTCATGGATTTGGATATTAGGATATGTATATGTGTTATATCTGCTTACTTACGCGGCTGATAATATTTCAGACTTTCAATGACTGATCTTGTCCACTGTGTAGGTTCCTTTGGAGTTCAGGGAAGTTCTAGATGATACAGTTGTTGCTGCACTGTCACATCCTTCACAGATGGTAAATTTTTCATTTCTATCTTATATATTTCTTACATCTATTTTTATGTTGTGGGAAATAAATAATGTTTATGACCACAATGTGGTAAGGATTTCACATGACAGAAGCATACTTATTGCAATGTCACATGAAGGGTCACTGATTCTGCTGCTTGAATTCTACATCAGTCATTTCAGATTTATTGGCTAATTTTTGGCCTACACTGGTTATTTATAGAGCATATTGGCCAATAAGTTAGTTAAAGCCTCTAATGTCTTTTATTGCACTTCTAGCTGTTTGTAAATTAATTTTCAACGCTATTCAGTAGGGATTTTGACTTTGAGGTGTGAGAAACATTGAAGTTTATTTCCTAGTTTTTGGTTATTTGCTGTTGTGATTGTTTGAGATATTCCTTTCTAATAAGATCCACTTATGCCTCTATAGAGAAGCTAGAGATGTTGAACTTCTGATCCTCTCTATACTTAAATTTCTTTGGCTTTTTTAAATGTATATCTAATGTATTTTTTTTTTTTGAGTTTTTTTTTATATATATTTGTCTGACAAAATAAACGTTAGTCTATATGGCGATGTATTAGAGGTACTAGAAATTATTATTCATAACTTAGAGGTTGTTTGTGATGTGCTATATTGTATGTTCTATGTTAGTTTGTGAATATCTGCATGTAACCCATTAAAAAAGGACTATGATTTTCCATTGCCTACATGATTATCAGTGTTATTTCTTGCCTCTGCTTCTATAGCTTGCTCTTGCTTTGGCAATGTGTTTTATGTCAATATGATTTGGTCTGATCTGATTATTGAAAATTTTAATTTTTCGCAAAAACTGACATGCTTGTTAATTGTAGGTCCGTGTTGAGGCTGCTTTGAATTTGCGGGCATTGGCTGAAGTTGATCCTACTTGTGTCAGTGGGTTGGTCTCTTATGGTGTGACAATGCTCAGTGCCTTAAGAGAAAGTGTATCATTTGACAAGGTTAGAATTGAGGCAATCGTTTGCTTGTCAAGCTTTCTTCTATTGCAATTGTATAAATTTTGCTTTGAAGGTTGTGGTCATGCTGCTTCGATTGTTTTTTAGCTCATGCCTATGCAGTATTAATAGAAGACTTACCAAGGCATAGCTACATGTATTACTGCTTGCTAACATTTTTCAATCTGAAGTGGAAGTTGCACATCTAGACTTGATAATTGAAGAGAAATGTGATGCTTATGTTTGAGTAGGCTGCGATTATCTCTAGGTTCGATTTGGGAGAACATCATTTTTTTTGTGGGAGTTGCTGGAATCTGGCATATTGGTAAATGTGTGGAACCTGACCTATCTAGCTCTTCTTTTATGGCTATTTATTTTCAATCAGGTTTGGATTAATGACATTTTATTTCTGCTGACATGGTTGAGCTTGGAAATGTGATGATATTTCAGAATGCTTCTTGTGCTGGGGAAAATGCCTTATCTGTTTCCTTCCCTCATTTATACCACTTTTATTCACATAATGATACCTAATTTTGTTGTTTCAAAATCAAGAAACTGATATCTTTTGCATCTTGAATCTCTATACGAGGAGGACTTCAATATTTATAGTTAGATGAGTTGACTAAGACTGTATGCTGAAAGTGTCTACAAAATATCCTTTGTTATCCCTTTAGCTACCTATTTCTGGAAGTCAGCTGTCATGAATGAGGTTGAGGCCACTGCATTGCATGGACAATGTGCTTGAATAAGCTCAACACATTCTGCAGGTTCAGTGATCATACTAGTGTTCTCTTCAGATATGTGTGAATTTAGCAGAGTGGTGACTGGTAGACAAGGAATATCTCTTATTGCACTGTGAATTGGCAAAAGAAATTTGAATAGGATGCTTGCAATTACTGTTGTTCAGTCAGTCTGTTTACCTTCTATCTTCATGAACTTTCATGCCAGATATATTAGTTTTGTATGAAGGCTCTTTGGAGTTTAGCTTGTTCGGTATTTTTTTTTTTTTTTTTTTTTTTGAGTTTGTTTCTTGAGAGGATTAAGAAGTTTTATCTAGAAATAAGTGTACTAGGAGTGATGGTGTTTGGGAATTGAGATAGTGTAGTCTGCCTTTCCTTGCTTTGGTGCTACTCCTTTGGTGATTTCCTAACTCATGCTTCAAATACTGTAAAGCATTTTTGGTACTTATTTATCTAACATCTTCATTATGTCGATGTATGTTTGATTGCTTGGTATTCATAATGGAACAAGAGCCTACTACTTAGAAGAAGTTTCTTTATTTCTTTTGGATTTTGATTTTACTTGAGGGTTAAGTTACCCTTTTATTTCGACATATAGCTATTCTGTTTTAAAATTAAATTCCACAGTGTTGGAGTCTTCCATATTTTTACTGCTTTCTTCTCTGCTACACTTAATTTAAAAATTTCCTGGCTGTTCTAATAATAACTCACTTCTCTTAAACTGTTAATCGAGAAACTAAAATTTATCATTTTGCTCTGCAGGGAAACACCTTAAAACAGGATCTTGATTCCTTACATGGGCAAGCCACTTTACTTGCAGCTCTAGTTTCTATTTCGCCAAAGCTAGCTCTTGGTTATCCGGCTAGGTAATGCTCAATCAGTCAAGCTTGTATTACATCATGCTGGTGGTTAAAGTTTCCAGATGGCTATGGTTGTTGAAGTTTTTGATATTATTATGCTTAGTCTAATCCACTGTGTACTTGTGCTACTATTACAATTGCTACCCTTTTGATTAACTATTTTCTTGGCCAATGAAGTAGTGCACCCATATACATATTTTCCTTTTGGATCTAAAACAATGATAAACATATTTTAATTTATAAATTATATGCTGTATTTATGACTTGATGGCTAAGTTTAGCCACTTCAGAAAAATCAATATAATTATGAGCTATGTTAATGAATATCTAGATAATTATAGATTTGTTATAAAATATATTTGTAGCAAGCATGTAGACATATTGTCCTTTGCTTCCTTTCTACTGCACAAATTAATAAGCGCCTTTGTTTCTGTAGTAGTGGTCCCTTCTTCTGACTTTGTGCTGCATTGATAGGCTTAGCAAGTGCTTTTACAATTTTTTAGAAAAAGATTTTAATGTCTTTTTGTGCTGTCGTGCTTTTCAGACTGCCACACTCGGTGCTTGAAGTTTCACAGAATATGTTGACCAAGTCCAGTAGGAACCCTGGGGCTGCAACTACTGAGAAAGAAGCTGGATGGTTACTTCTAGCTTCACTTTTAGCATCTATTCCTATAGAGGTAAACTGTCATGCCCTTTAATCTTCCTTACCCCAATTTTCATTTTCTTAGCAATATGTTATATTTTTGTTCCTGCAGGAGCTTGAGGACCAGACCTTTGATATTCTTGCCCTATGGGCTCCCTTATTTAGTGGAAATCCGGAACTAGAAATTCGACAAAGTGGAGAATTGACATCTAAAATATGGTGAGCAACTTGGGTACAATTTTTTTTTTAATTTTAATTTTGATAGAAAACAGAAAAAGAGTACAGACAAAGGATAGCCTGTCCTCTTATCAAAAAATTAAGATTGACCCAGGTTCTTTGTACTTCCCCAATCAAGAAAATATTCTCTTGATTCTTGTAGCTGCAAGAGAAGTATGCAATGATGTACACTAACAGTAGCTGAGCTATCAAAACTAAAATATTGATATCCAGAATCACTTCTCAGTTTCTAGATGCTAATTATTTGATTTTTTCTATCGAATACTTAAAGAAAACTCATAAAGAAGAACTGATGATGTGGTGGATTGGTCTTAGGAAGTTGTTGAGATAATCATGGTAGGGACAGCCCAATAGTTCCTATCTGTCTGGTCCAGTAAAAGGGGGAATATTGTCTGGGAGTCTTTATTACTATGGGCTTGACCTATAGTTCATCTTTAACCTGGCTCAGATCAAGTTATCATTTGACCGAGTCAGAAAACATTAAAGATTGCTAACTAAGGGTTTGTTTGGCATCACTGTGCTTTTCTGGTTTTTGGTTTTTTGTTTTTTAAAATCATGATATATGTCATATAATGAATAAAAAATTAGTCAAACTTATTAAAATCATGATAATTTTGAAAACGGACAACAGAATAGTGGAAACACCTTTTTCTTGTTTTCTGTTTTTGATTTTTTATTTTCAAAAAAAACTGAAAACTGAAAAAAAAAAACAATGCCAAACAAGCCCCAAGTAATTAAATTTGTGTTAGAATATTCCACCTGTTAAATGATGATCAGAGAAGTTGTCAACTTGAAGGCAGAAGTTTGGTAGCTTTTATTCTTTTCTTGTTTTTCAAGGACATGTGTAGTTGAATTGTGTTGCATAATATACAAATTTTCAATTATTAACTTATGTTCTTTAGAAGCCTTTTTTTAAAATATTTTTTTCAGGGAGGACAATTTAGCATTGTTCTGGAAGAGTGATATTCTTTCTTTTTTTCTGGGAGTGGGGGTATAGGCAGTACAAGTAGCTAGAAGCTGATCAGAGAGCTCTTTTTCTCTCATGATTTGAGTTCATAAATAAGGAGATAAGCATGTACAAGCTGCAGCTGTTAAATTTTGTGTGATAGAATAAATTTCAGGAGTTGGCTCTGATTACCTTTATTGTTTCTTACTTGGTAAAAATAATAGGATGTGAAAATTGTGCTGAAGTTTGCCTGAAAAATGTGTTTTTCAGTGTATGGTCTGCAGCTATTGATGCACTTACAGCATTTGTTAGATGTTTTCTTTCTCCTAAAGCTGTGAATTATGGGATTCTACTTCAGCCAGTGCTAGTGTATCTTAGCAGGTATTTAGTATTCCCATTGTATTTCTTTTTTATTCAGCTCAAAATTTCTGTTTGCTATTTCTGTCCAATGTGCTGACTCTTATTTCTAACCATTCATTCTGAGCAGTGTATTATCACACATTTCTTTTATAGCTGCCAAAAACCTTCCTGGGACAAAAGCTTCCCTGGATGTTCTCGTCATAAGGACACTAATAACATTCCAGTCACTCTCTGATCCTATGACATATAGAAGTGATCATCCTAAGCTTCTCCAACTATGTACTGGTCCATTTAGGTAATGACAAGTAACATGTTTCTTATGATGTTTCTATCTATATTCTTGGATGTGAAATGTTTTTTATCCTTGCCTTTTGGTTTCCATTTGTGGTGCTGTATGCTCATTGTTGTTAAACTCGATCACAGGGATCCTTCTGCTTATGAAGAGAGCTCATGCTTGAGACTCCTGTTAGACAAAAGAGATGCTTGGTTGGGGCCATGGATTCCGGGAAGGTGCTCAGACTTTACATACATCTTATATGCACACACACCACTCTTGTGTCTACACTGTTCAGACTTCACTTTTAGACCATCCTCTTAACATATTCAATTTAACTTCACATGTCTTGGATTATGCATTTGTGCTATAGCTTTCTGATTGTGATTGTGCAGGGACTGGTTTGAAGATGAACTTCGTGCTTTTCAGGGTGGTAAAAATGGTCTGATGCCTTGCATCTGGGATCCTGAACTTCCTAGTTTTCCTGAGGTAACCTTCTTATCTGGTTTTATGCATTAGCAATCAATTCAGGTGACGTTTGTGAAATTTGACTTTTCTATACCTGATTTTAACGTATGTTGAAATATATGAACTTTCTAAAAATGAGAAGTTGGAAACTAAAGCTCTTTTGCATGAAGTGTGGTTAAATCAATCAATCAATCATACCCAAATCTTTTGTTTTAATATTACAATATCGAAAGCGAGAATTCAAGAAGGGAATGAAAAATCGACAATAAATGCTTGTCACTTAAAAAAGAACTATATCTCCGCATTACAATTGACATGTTTGGGAAAGCTTCATCAGCGTGAGCTGTGAACTTAAAAAGAAACTAAATACAACACCTACTCCCATTAATTTTTCAAAAACTATTGACTGAAAAATCCCATCATTTCTCTCCAACCGATTCACCCAAATCTCTTGCTGTTCTACTTTTGCTGGTTTAGATAATAGTTCTAATAGTGGTGGCCTACCTTTGTCAAACATGTTGTGGGGCTGTTCTGTTCACTGGGGTCATGCTGAAGGCATGGCAGTGATAGGGTTTGGGTTTCAAAGGGTTGGACTGCGGTGGGGTCACGGGGGGAAACCACATGGAGAGATAAAATGTAGTGGGCAGAGATAACAAGGGGCCGCAGGCCCTTGCCTGATAGCAGGGGGGTATGCCACTGCCTTTGTGGTTGGCTGGTTTTGTGTGCCCCTCCCGAGAAAAGGTTGTTTTTAAGGCTTGGTGGGGCAGATGGAGAGAGAAGAGGGCGAGAAGAGAATTGGATTCTGCTAGAGTGGGAAATGATATCTTGGGAGCTTGTTATATCTGTTGTCACCCATTATATATACAATCTAAATTTCCAAGATTGAGTTTTTTCATTCTTGCCTTTGTAGTTTTTCCAATTTGGATAAGTACGTCTTCTGTGATTCTGTTATTCCCTAGCAGTTTGCTTTGTTTTATATCCACCCTTTGTTTTCCATGTTTAACTTATTTGTCCGTTGGTTATCTTTTTTTTCTAACTTGAAGCCGGAGAGTGTGAGTAAAATGTTGGTCAACCAGAAGCTCCTGTGTTTTGGGACAATGTTTGCAGTTCAGGTACATATGGTTAGGTTAGCTTCGCTTCTCTTTGTCCTAGATGTTGCTTCTCTTTGTTCATTGACCGTAATACCTTTTTTTTTCCTGTCTTGCTTTCTCCTTTAGGATACTGGGGGGATGCAGTCACTATTAGGAGTGATTGAGCAATCCTTAAAAGCTGGGAAAAAACAATCATGGCATGCAACTCTTGTCAACAACATATGTGTGGGGTTGCTTGCTGGTTTGAAGGTTCTCAATATCTCCTTTGTGTAAATATCGCATTTTTTATATTTAAGCAACTGCTGTTTCAATTAAACCATTGTTGTGGATGTTGTCTGCAGGCTCTGCTTTCTTTCCGTCCTCAACCATTGAGCTCTGATATATTAAGTCTGCTGCAGAATATATTTCAGGTAAATTGGCGATTATTTGTTTTTCTTGCTTGGCTGTCTGTAAGCATTGTTCAAGAGCTTTACTTTTGTTGTATTTAACTGAATCTTTTATGCAGAATATTCTGTCAGAGGGTGATATATCAGCATCCGTGCGTAGGGCATCTTCAGAAGGTCTTGGGCTATTAAGTCGTCTTGGAAGTGATACATTTACTGCAAGGATGGTCAGTTTCACATCTGTCTATGCTGTTACTTGTTCATGGTTTTAACTTCATCTTGCCCCTTTTTTTATTATTTTTTTTTTCCTGACCCTTCTGCTGCTTCCTATCCTCTCTTTTCTTTTCTTTGTTGTTCTTTTGTTTTTTCCTTGTCGGTGGTTGGGTGTCACTACCAGACAAAAGCACTGCTTGGTGATCTAGCTGCTGCTACTGATTCAAACCATGCTGGCTCCATAGCTGTGGCACTTGGCTGCATCCATCGCAGGTGAAACAGAAATTTTAATTTTCATTCTTATCAAAAATTTCTTCTTTCTGCACCCAATGACATAAGCCCTTTTTATTTCAAGAGCATATCAAGCTTGCAGTTTTCTTTCAAATGCCTAGATTTTTTTTAATGGATTATTTAGGTCTTGGGAGCTTTTGAAAAACCACTAAGTGAGCTAGCTGCTCTGTGGTTTCAGCTTATAAGTCACCAAGGAACACTGATGCCAACTTTTAAACATATGGTTACTAAGCCACATCTTATTCTGTTGTCGTCACCTAATTGTCCAAAACTATGTAGGTTTTTCATACATCCCTTACTAAGTCCAGTTGACCAACACTTTTCACCCAAGATGTGTACCGTTACATGGTTTCTCCAGCTGAGAGCTAGCATGCATCTAATTCTACATAGCATTGGCTTCAAACGCTTATGTGAGCTATTTTCTATAGAAAAGTGTACTCTTTCCTCCGCTAGTCCTTCTACAATTTTCCGTCTACAAAGGTGGGGGTTATGCTCTAATGCCGTTGTATAAAAAATGTTTGTCTTTTCCACAACTCCATTGCTACTTTGCTAGTAACTGGATAAAAACATAGGATGGCGTTCAATGTAATTGCATCACAAAATCCCTCATCATCACTGCACCCCAGACTACAATGTGCATTGTGGTTCCAAATGAACAAATAGCTCTAAGTTATGGACATATATCAAAGATTATGAACATACTTGCAATTGTATGTTCATAATCTCTGAACTATCTTTTCATTATCCATGAACTAAATGTTGAATGTTCATTAATTTGAACTATTTGTTCATTTGGGACCATGATGCTCATCATTGTCCTGGGTGTAGGATATAGTTTTCAGTCTTTTCACTCTACTAGAGCTTGACAAGAATTCTATTATTTGAGTTATTTGGTGTAGAAAAGATAGAGTGTTTCTGCTATGCCTTTTCCTCTGTTATTCCTAGCTTTAGAATAGGTATTATGTACTTTTAGTCTTACGACCCTGTTAAAGTTCTAAACATTGTGGATGTGTTTTATTGCATAAATTTTCATTTCTTTAGCACCTATGCCAATGTAAATTTCAATATATATGTTTAATTATTTTTTCTTCAGTGCTGGCGGTATGGCATTGTCAAGTCTGGTACCTGCAACTGTTAGTTCGATTTCTGCTCTAGCAAAGAGTTCAGTGGCTGGATTACAGATCTGGTCCTTACACGGACTACTTTTGACAATAGAAGCTGCTGGTTTGTCATACATATCTCATGTTCAGGTATCTAACCTCTTGTAAGCTTGCACTGTGTAGGTTGACGCTATTTGCGCGATATCCTGTTATATTCCTATAACTGAAAGCTTCCTATATATGTCTGAACCAATGTGGCTCTAAGTGTTAATCTAAGTAGTAAAAAACTTTATCATTGTTATGTGATTCATTCTAGAGTTCTTGAACTCTTTCACTGTACTCCTTTTGTTTGGGAGTAGTTTTTTAGTTTTGCAACACTGGAATCTTCCTGTTGCACAGTCACTCTTCTATTATTAGCTGATTACTAGCAGTCTAGCACAGCAGCTTTGGCTGTTTAATCTTTATAAAGCTATAGTTCTTTATATTCAGTTTATCAGTGTCTATCAAAAGGCCTACTTGGTGTCCGAAACTATCTCATTCATGCCTTGGTCCACCCTTTATCATCATGTCTTAAGATGTCTTACTTTGTCTTGCCTTGGCCTTGCCACCTTGTCTTGGCCTTTCGTTGCCTTGCCATGCCTTGCTTTGGCCCTAAGGCAAGCCAAGACGCTAACCTCAATTGCTAATTATAGGTATTTTAATGTGTACATGCCTTGTGCCCACACGCCTAAAACATTTTCATGCCTTGGCTTTGAAGCAGCATCCAATGGCCTTAGGCGTTGTGCCTAACTTAGCAAGTTTTAGCACCAAAGGTGCATCGCTAATGTCTGCACAACTTGCTTCTCTATATATCTGATTGAATGTGTGGCTCAGATAACAATAGTTACTACACCTGTAGAAATTGAAAAATATAGATGTTTTTAGGGAATAAGGTTGGAGGTAGGGAAAGTAGTGCTGTGATTGTCTGTTTTTGAGTTCAAGGATAGAATTATACGGAGTACATGCCAGCATATGAGGGATTATGATTTTTGTTCATTGCACTACTCTAGAACATGGAAATTTACCGATGGGGTGCCATGTTAGTATAAATATTTCGTTATTTGCCTTTAGTTTATTCTTAAAGAACAGCAGGCCTAATCATCTACATCATGCGTATTACTTGGCTCTATCTCATGAATATGCCAATAATTATCCTATCATACAAATTTTAGGCTACTCTTAATCTTGGGCTGGAGATTTTATTGTCCGAGGAAAACGGATGGGTGGATCTTCAGCAAGGAATTGGTCGTCTTATAAATGCTATTGTCGCTGTACTTGGTCCCGAACTTGCTCCAGGCAGCATTTTTTTCTCACACTGCAAGGTACTAAAATGTTTTCGATGTAATTTGTAAATTTGGGATCTTTGGACTATATTTCTATTTGTAAGCAGTATACATCTAACCTAAGATGATTATTATGTTTTTCTGCTACTAATCTGTTAGGGTTCTTTCATGTGGCATGATAAATCATCTTTACCTTTCCTATCTCTCTGATTTAATGTCTGCACAACTTGCTTCTCTATATATCTGATTGAATGTGTGGCTCAGATAACAATAGTTACTACACCTGTAGAAATTGAAAAAAAAATCTGTGCATTCAGAAAAAACCTCTACCTCATTCCTAATATGGATTACTGCTCAGTACTAGAAGTGATCTATGTAAGAAGATTGCTTAGAAACCATTTTAGATAAGCTGAAAGTAGTAAATGGTAACAGAAATTATTACTGTCCGAAGATAATTCACTAAAAAGAAATGATGTATTAGTAAGGGACAGGGAAAGCAACTTACTACAATGTATTAATTAGGGTCTTTCATCTTGATCCATTTCTCTTATCTTTTCAATGATTAACTTGGTTCCTCGGATCATGTTAATGACGTATTTGTATTCAGTCTGTGATTGCAGAAATAAGCTCTTGCGAGGAAACTGCGACACTCCTTGAGTATGTGAATCTCCCTCACAGTTTCCCGTGGTTTATGTTTTGCTTTTCTTTTATTGGTGTTGATCCTCAATTGATATGTTTTGAAACTGAAAAGCACATGTTTATGAATATTCTCGGATGATCATTTTAGTCTGTTTCAGTGTTGAATTACTGATACATATATTGATATATTATAAAACAAATCTGGCAGGAATGTACGATTTACACAACAGCTTGTTCTTTTCGCACCCCAAGCTCTGTCTGTGCACTCTCATGTGCAAACTCTTCTTCCAACTCTCTCATCAAGACAGGTGCCCGTCTTTGATGTTTGTCTGCTCCCATCCCCCCCCCCCCTCTCTTCTTTGGCCTTATTGATACTGTTCTGAACTTGTAATTGCTCTTTTTCTTCTAAATCTGTAAATGCTGTTTGTGACAGCCAACGCTAAGGCATCTGGCTATATCAACCCTACGCCATCTCATAGAAAAGGATTCGGTAAGCTACGAAGACTACTTTGACATTGATGCATTATGCCAGTGGATGTCTGAAAAAGCTGGCAGAGCTCTCTCTCCGTGTCGTTTTTTTTTTTTTTTTTGGGAATAAGCATTGCATCCACAATTGTAGTGAGCCCCCTCTTTTACCGCTTCTGATAATCCCCATGTGTAAATATTTTCTTTTCTGTATAAATTATGGAATATTCCGCAGATTCTATTATTGTTTATAACACTTAGGACAAAAAGCTCTTACAGTCTTAAAACTACTCTAATACAAACCTTAGTTTACAGACCTTTCTTCCATCCATTGTAGTTGGATCCCTGTATTGTGCTAGTAGTCTGTGCTCTCAACATTCTATTGTTTTTCTACCTTTGCTAATTCTGCTGACTTGTGATACTTATATGCTGAATTGCTGATATTTTTCAGGTTTCTGTAATTCATGAACAAATCGAGGAAAATTTATTTCACATGCTGGATGAAGAAACAGATAGAGAGTAAGTGAGCACTATTTTTAACAAACTTTTTTTTTCCCCTAAGTTTCAGCTGACTGCATTCTGCTTCACGTGTAGAGTTGAGGTCTTGTGTTTTCTTGTCTGAATCTTCTCTTTGCTTGTAGTTTTTATAATGCCTGATTTCGTACCTTCATGCATCTTGTTGATGTTGCCACCATTATGCATCAGAATAATATTAGAATTTTGATCATGCAAGAGCAGAGAGCAAAATGGAGTTAAAATTTGGGTGGGTGGGGGGGGGGGGGGCAACTATCCTGATATTAGTATTAGTTTGTTATATGCATGTAAACTTCCAGTGTCTGTTCCTATACATATATGACCAATATTGTTCTTGTAGTTGTCATGATTTAGTTGGCATGTATAGTGATTCCATGTCTTGGAATATAAGGAATTATGGATCCTGATTGATTATAAATCTATATTCTATATGAATACTAGCCACATCAGCCCATCACTATATTATGGAGAGAAGGCTTAATCCATAGTTTAGAATATGGTTACTTTGTACCAGTTTTGAGTCCTATTGTTTCTAATAGGTTTAATTTTTAGTCTTGTCTATTTAGTCTATCACCATCATCGTCATCATTAATATGTAGACAATTTTATTACTATTATTGTTTCTTATGTTTTTACTAATTAGTATTAGTTAGTATTTAGTACTTCCTCCGTTTTGTAATAGTTGCAACTCATACTTTTTCACGGTATTTAAGAAAAGTGGGGTTCACATGGTTTAATATACTTTAAAATGGGTGAGAGGTTGTTAGTAGTATAATTTAGTGGGTCATGTACTTTAAATAAGGGAAATAGTACAACTTTTCCTCAAAATAACTTTCCAATTATAGTGTGTTGCAAGTATTCTGTCATTTCTATTATAGGGAAGTGTTGCAAGTATTGAAAAACGGAGGAAGTATGTTGTGATTTATGTTACATGGACTCGGGTACCCATGTCCAACACAGGTACATGTCCAAGCGCCCGACTCGGCTATTTTGTCAAATAATTCCATGGTTTTGAACTTAAAGTGAAGTGTCCATTTGTCATACCCATGTCCGAGTGCCGGAGGCCCGACATGGGCACTTGAGGTGAAATGAGGAGTCCATGTAACATAGGTACTTATGATGAATAAAGAAAAAAAAATATAATTTGCTTATCACTACTTTTCATAAATCCATTTCTGCTTTAGGATTTTATTTTTTGTGCATTTTTCAAAAGAGTTTATCTGTTTGTCTACTCTTTTAAAAGTTGAGGCACACTTGGAGCTTTGCATTGCTCCTAGTGATTTTTTTTTTTTTTGGGCTGGAATCGACACTAGTTTGCTGTTGGTTTTAATATGGTATGTTTTGCTTCCCAGTGGCATAACTATTTTGAATTTTACTGTATTCCGGAGGGTCTGGGGCATAGAGAGAAATAGAGAGCAAGCACGTGCATATACACATGCCAGAAGTTGTGTGGTGAGGGAGTGAGGGTTGGGGGTGGGTCGTTGGGGAGGGGGAGGAGTATTTTATGTTTGGAGATGCATAATTTTTTGCAGTTTCTGCTTTAATATGTATTACTTTTATTCATGTCACAGGATTGGGAGCTTAATACGATCCACAATTATGCGATTGCTTTATGCATCTGGTCCGACCTGCCCTTCTCATTGGATATCAGTATGCCGGAAACTGGTAAGTGGTAATGGAAATTCCCCTACTCCCTACAGATCTTGATATTTTGTTAGTAAGCACAAGTCTATACATAGTCAAATAGCACTGATTTTATGGAATTAATTTACAAAATATATATAGCAAGTACATTATATTTCAAGTCAGAGTCAACAAATTTTGGTCCAAGAAGTCAATCAGGAATTATCTCTAGAATCAAGGAATCAATAACTAATAAAAACCTTCAAGACCAATCATAAAATCTATAATAAACAACCAGAACACTTGGCATATGCTATGCTGAAGGCTGAATTCGCAGGAAATACTCAACAAGCTTGGATTGAAGGCTTACAAAACATAATAAATGATTGTTTAAAAGGTCAATAGGGTGTATTCTACACTTGGGATCTATTTTTTTCACCTTAAATATTTTATAAGGTCTAATGGGTTCTGATATCTGTAGATAAGGGCTTAAGTATTCAAAGGGATAACAAAAACAAACTGTATCAGGGTTGTAAGTTCAATCCATTTCAGTGGCGTATGTTTAACCCATTAAATACCATACGCACACACCTCCAAAGCACCTGCTATGGTTCTTCTATTATCAATCCATTTCAGTGGCGTATGTATGACCCATCAAGAAGCTGCATACAACCAAAGCTTTTCAACCCAAATTCTCCTCACAATAAAGGAAGAGGTAAGGACCAGGATCTAGTTGGCCCTTGAAACTGATAAAAACATTTGGAGACAAGGCTGGTTTTGACCCTTGTAGCAGAAAGCATCATGAGTGTTTCAATCTTTCTGAACTGCTGTCTGCACAATAGCCTTAACTATCATGGAAAACTTTGTCTTCCAAATGATTTTGGATGCCGAAAAACTAGTGGATTCAGAAATTTTAGTTAGTGTGTGCACAAAAATTAGAACGCTGCCTGTATCAGAAGGTTTTGCTTAAGTCTACCCAAAGAAAACATAGATTATAGGTACCCTGATAGAGAGAGGCATTATCTCAAACATTCAAACTTGTTGCTCGAACATCATAGGTCAGAGATTCATCATCAAAGGTTGTTATGATTTTTGTTTAATTTAATAAAATTCCCTTTTTAAACCAAGAATATGAACATCCAAGTGTGTGTATTTTCCTTTTTCTGATGATGCATGATTTGGCTGTCTTTAATATATCATTTGGGATTCTTTACATCGTCCTTTTACTAATTCATTCTTTTCCAGGTGCTTGCAACATCATCTAGAGATTCTGTAATCAATAACAGCACTGAGAAAGATCTGACTAATGCTTCAGAAGTTGACACAGGGTTAGATGTTGGAGAAGATGATGAAAATATGGTCGCCAGTGGTAAATCCATGCCAAATGAGGACTATTCTGTAGATGCTTTTAGTGTAAATACAAAAAGGGAAAAGAATCTTAGATACAAGACAAGGGTGTTTGCTGCTGAGTATGTCCTTTTGCTTTTGGCTAATATCTTGTGCTTTTATCAGTTGTTGCTGCTATAGTAAATTTTAAATTACATAGCTGATAAGCTAATGTGAATGATTAATGAGATTTGCAATAAGAAGGTAAGAATATTTTAGAATATGAAACCATCCACGTAAAGTTGTAAGGCTGCTTTTACCTCTCTTGCCCTCAGATTCCAAAAGGGATTTAAGGTTGTGATTCTACTCACATGGAAAGAACTGCTGATGTGTCACAAAATCACTGAGTGAATATGTATTCTTACTTCATACAAGCAATATCCGCGCACTTCTCCATGCCTTTTATCTGTTGTAGTTGAATTTCAGGTGCTTAAGTCATTTGCCAACAGCTGCTGGAAAGGATCCTGCACATTTTGATCTATCATTGGCTAGGAAACAGAAAAAGGGACCATCCTCTGGTGATTGGCTTGTTCTTCAATTACAGGAGCTAGTATCATTAGCTTATCAGGTGCTGTTGTTAAAACTGTAGTTGTTGGGCTTTTGCATTTTACCTAGCTCCAACTCTAATAGCTTTATTGAAATCTGTCAAATTTTCAGATCAGTACCATCAAGTTTGAGTCCATGCAGCCCATTGGTGTAGGACTTCTATCTACAATCATGGACAAGGTAGGGCATGCACAAAGCTGATAGCTTTCTGTCAAAAACTTAGAATAAGCAATGGCATTTGGGGAAAAAAGGGGAAATGTTAGGCACTTAATCACAACACCATAATTGAATTTTATTGTGCCAAGGCTGTAAGAAAATATCATATAGAAGTGTATGCAAACTTGCAAAGCATTTATGGTCACTGTTGCACAAGAGGGCTAAAAGATCTTATTATGGGTTTTTTTTATTTTTTTTTATTTTTATATATTAATCTTTGGGTCATGTCAAAAAGGATATATACACAAACTAGTCATTCTAACTGCAGTAATTAGTTACTCTTCTCGTCCTATAATTGTTATTATACATATGGAATGAAAATAAAGTTAAGAGAATATCATTTATTGTCTCCACCATTCAATTAGATTTGAAAAGAGGCAATTTTTATGATTTTATGATATATTTAATTATTTAACTCAGTATCAGTAGAAGCTTGACAAGTACTTTAGGACGTCTATTGACAACTATTGTAGGACGGAGGGAATATCAATTTCTTAGTGTATGTCAATTGCAACGGGCTATCAAAGTGTGGCAGTCAATTTGGCGCCAAAAAAAAAAAAAAAAAAAAAAAAAAATCGAAACTAGCTGTTGCTTTACCCACTTCTACTTTCTTCCTATTTTGTTAAACAACTTTTGCCATTACGTCACAATTAATCCACCTTTTTCTAACACACCCACTTTTCCCTCTCTTACTTTATCTACCTTATTCTTAAACCCACCCACTGATTTTCCATTTTCCTTGGTCTGCAAATCTTTTCTTAGTGTGTTGAACAAAAAAAATGTGTGTACAAAATCAAGAAGGGGTTGTAACTTGGTATGCTCATATTGAAGCACCAGGCTCCAAGAATACAACAGTTGTGAAAGAGGCTGGAAAACAATGTCATCTTGTTGCTTTTATTAGCAATAAAATGGTGACTAATAATTAGTGCATTCCTGAAGCTCATATTGTCTTGTTTACTGAATGCACGTTTTCTTTATCATTATCAGTTTGGAGAAGCACCTGATCCTGAACTCCCGGGAGGGCTTCTATTAGAACAATACCAGGTACGTCACATGGAATAATCCCCACAAGTGCACCATGCTATTGCTTCCCTTTTAATTTTACCAGGTTCCTCTGATAAAAAATGATTTTTTTTTTCTTTTTTTTTTTAAATGCTGAAAACCATTAATTAAATCAATTTCTTATAAAAAAAAATCACCTTTTAAACACCTTTTTAAAAAAAATAATCCACCTTTTATCATCAGTTCTCTTCTTCTCATTCCCTTAAGGAAGATAATTATTATGTAGTGCATTCATAAGTGCAAAATGGTCAATTCAGGTGGTAACAAGCAAGGATATAACAAAGGGTGATATGGAAATAATAAAGAAATCTAACTGACTTTAAAAAATGGTTTTGGACAAAAGCTTAATCGACATGATAAATTAACGCTGTGACTGTGAACTTACTTTGTCAGGCTCAACTTGTATCTGCCCTTCGTTCTGCTTTGAACATGTCTTCAAGCCCTATTCTTCTAGAGGCAGGCTTGCAATTGGCAACTAAGGTTCAGACTAAAACATTTGCCTTACACTGTCTTTATTTCTATCATTTTCTTTAATTTTAAGGATATGTAATTTTTTTTCCAGATATTGACTAGTGGTATAATCCGTGGAGATCAAGCTGCCGTTAAGAGAATATTTTCATTGATCTCCAGACCACTGGATGACTTTGAAGACCTTTATTATCCTTCTTTTGCAGAATGGGTGTCCTGCAAGGTTTGATTTAGTTGCATTACATTAGTTGAAGATTATCTACAAAATTTCATTTTCTTATTTCTGAATTATGTTGTCTGGTTTGATCTAGCTTAGTTTATGACAAATGTTAATTTTGTGGTTATAGATCAAAATAAGATTGCTTGCTGCACATGCTTCTCTAAAATGTTATACATACACATTATTGAGGGGAAACCATGCTGACGTTCCAGATGAGTATATGGCGCTGCTTCCTCTATTTTCCAAAAGCTCCTCTATATTAGGAAAACGCTGGATCGGGGTTCTGAAGGACTACTGTTATCTTTGCTTTAACCTTCACTTCAAGAAAAGTGTAAGTCAGAATTTTGTGATCAAAGCTCTACTGCTTCATTCTTGAAGTCCTATTGTTAAACATTATTTCCCTAAATTTCAGTTCTGACCATAATCTAATGTTGCAGTGGAAACCATTTCTTGAGGGAATCAAGTCACCGCTGGTTGCTTCAAATTTGAAACTATGTCTAGACGAATCTTGGCCCGTTATTTTGCAAGCAGTTGCTTTAGATGCTGTTCCTGTAGATATCAGTGTGAACAAGTCATTGGACCAAACTGAGGATAAAATGATGAAGAACCTTGTGTCTGGATACAGTATGGTTGGACTGAATTCTGAAGAATTCAAGTTCTTATGGGGATTATCTTTGCTTCTTCTTTTTCAGGGACAAAATGCTACTGTTGATAAGCAAATATTGCCAATAGCTTTAGATAAATCTATATCCGTTGAGTCACAGTTTGAAGAAACAAAGCCCCTAACGCTGAAGTTATGTGAGATTTTGCTTCCAGTTTTTCGATCTTTATGTGCTGAAAAGTTCTTCAGCATGGGGTTCCTTACAACGGAAATTTGTAGAGAATTACTGCAGGTATGTTGATTCTCTTTTCATCTCTCTTCTCTATTTCCTTTGTGTTCTTTGAAATTCCTTTTGGTGCATAAGGCTTTTTACAGATAGACAGGGTGCGCTTGTGGTTTTCATACATTCTCAATTTAAGTTTGCATTTGGGCTATTTAACGAGGATGTGGCAAACTGGTAATCAATTGTTGAATTTTAGAGTTATAATGTGAGACATGTCATAATACTGGGTTAAGTAGGATGTAGAATATGACCTGCATTTCTGGGTAGGATTGGCATCCGCCGCTAGCCATTCTTTTGATATGTAAACAATTTGTCCCACTTTGTATTCTAAGTCCTTCTGAAGGTATCTTGTCAACTTCCAGTTGTTAGTTATCAACTTCCAATAGTATGGATTGGATTATCTGAGCGATCAACGGACTGTGACATGGACAATGTAAGAAAATTTCAGGCATTTGATAAATGATAAGGATTGGATTATGTAACACTTTGTAGGGAAAGCACTGTATTGGCCTATTGAGACTGAGGAGTATGTGGTCAACATGCCAAAGTATAATTTTGTGCATTTTTGGCAATTTCCTTTCTTGCATTGTTATTTTGTTTTCTTAGAAGTCTTAACATTTTTTCGGGAGAATTGCACAACTTTTATTAATAAGGATGGTTTACTTTGTTTCTAAATCTTGTTCTTTTTTTTTCCAAATTTACTTTGGTTTTGGCACCCTTCTTTGTATGGCTGGAAGGACATTTACCTCTCTTATTTTGAGAGAATGAGGTATTTGATCGTAAGGGATGGAGGAGGAAGATTTTTCTGGATGACTATACAGAATAATCACTTTTGGTTCATGTAGCCGACCCCACCTATGGGATTAAGGCTTTGATTGATTGATTGATTGACTGATTTTGAGAGAAAGAGAGACATTTTCTTACTAATGCCTCAAAAAATTCGTCCAAGGCTTGCCTAGGTATAAACTTCCATAATATGCACATTTGAGGAATTTCAGGTCTAGCATTTGAGAGTAATCCCTAGATCTATGAAGTGACAGTGCAATCTACCATTTATAAAACTTTGGCTTTTGTTCATGAGGAGAGGCAATTTGGTTGTGGACTTGTGGCTAGGGTTCCTGGAGTCGACTCCAGTGTGGCTGCTGTTTTTTTTTTTTTTTTTTTTTTTTTTCTCTATGCTGTTTATTTATTTCTTCTCTCATTTTTGTGCTGAAATTTGAGGCTGAGTGATGTACAGTGTGTTCTTGTGTAAAAACTTTGTCAAGTGAAACTAAAAGGATAATGTTTCTCCGTTTTTGACTTGCAACATTAAAGTGAATGGACAAAATGAGTAAAATAATTAAATAACATAATGCCTTGATATAACTCAAAACTTCCCTCTTACTCGTGGTTGAACATTTCCTGTTCAACTTATCAGTATACCTTCTTTATTTTCTTCCTTAAACCACGTGACAAAGAGGCACGTTGCAAGTTTATCTGAATAGTACAATTTTATAATGTCAAGTCCGTACATATGTGCTTGTGCTAAAAACATTAAGCTTTTGACAAATTGGGCACTAGATGTACTAATGCATGAACTCTGTACCTAAGACCTGGTAACATAGAACACAAGTAATTTCCTGTATTGGTATATAGTATCTGAACTCTGTTCTAACTTCTGCTCAATTCAGGCCCTCACTTATGCTAGTGTTGAGGAAGATTCATGGAATACACTTGCTGTATCTGCTTTATTTGAGGTAGTCAAAGCTCTAATCATGTTTTGTTTGTATTGATCTCATTAGTTCCTTATCTTCCTTTTATTTGTTCCTTAAATCTTTTTACTCTGTTTTAGCTAGTAACTAATTGGTCATATAGTTGACCTTCAATTTCACAACAAATGCTACTTCCTTATAAGTAGAATATTGTGAAGTTTGGTTGACAAAACTTCTTTACCCACAAACACACCATGACCACCCTTTCAAATCCTATTAACTTCTGATAACTTGTCAGGTTTCAATGCCTATGCAATTTATCAGAAATGGAGAGGGTAAGTAATTGATCAATGATCATCACATGACAAATATTTCAAAATTGTACAGGTCCGTGATAGAATACTATGTCGAGTAACAATGTGGAAAGATATAACCAAAAAGATAGTAGTGAAAATAGAAAGAATTTAAATTTTGTCTAGATATCATATGGGTGCAGTTGTGAGGATACTGAAAGGCATTGGAAGCTATCCAACCAATATAAATCTAGCTTTCATTTTCTAAGAACACTTGCCTTTAGATGAAGTTATTCTTGATGATTGTTCTGAATGATTTCACATTCAACCATACCATCTTGTGTCCATTTTCTCCTTCGTTTGGTGGGCTGGGGACTGTTACATATTTTATATATGGTATGGTTTTACATTTGTTAAACTTCCTGTCAACTATTTTAGGCAGGGAACTTAATAAGACTCTGGGGATTTAGTTACTTTAATGTTATTTGGTGCCATTGTTTCTTTTTGCAGTCTAATACCTGTTTATTTGAACAGATTGTTCATAACAGTCCAGATGATTTTCTCAAGATTGATAGCTTTGTCAGTCTAGCGATGGAGTTATGTTTGGCTTATCTTTACAAAACCTTTGCAGGGTAATGAATATTTAACGTATTTTCGAACTTTTCTATGATTCAATCAAACTCCATAACTAACCTCTTATTTTCCTTTTCAGTACCGGTGATATCCTACATGACGAATCCAGTAGGGAGGGTCTGATATCTGAGCTATTTACCATTGCAAAGATTCTGTTGAATCGTGTTGTAAATGCAGTATGTTATTTCTGTCTTCCTGAAGTAATTAAATTTCGCTTATGCTATTGCTATTGATATTTCAGCTGTTATATATTAATTCCATTGTGCACAGAACCAATTAAATTTGATCCTGGCATTCATGATAGCTGGTTACAAGTGTGCTCGAAGTGCTGCAACAGAAGCAAGCTTCTCAAAGATTGTTGAGTTTGTTGTAAAAATTTGTGTGTTGTTGAACAGCTTTGTTGAAGGTAATGATTTTCCATTTGAATTTTAGTTATCCTTGTACTTCAGTTAGATTTATATTATACAATTATTCTTGGACTCTCCAATCACCTACGTTGTACCACTGTTGAGACTGGTATGGACACGGGGTCTGACTCAAAAAACAAAAGAAACGTGATTTATCCCTCAAAAGGAATCCAAATTCCAGGAAAGGCATAAAATAAAATGTGATTTTACTTTTCAGTAAGATTTCATTTGAGTCATAGCTCAATTTCAAGATGATTCGGTGATGATTTCCTTTACTTTTAAGTTAGATAATTCTTACTGTGTAAAGGTGGGCTTTCTATGCTTCCTTAATCTCTCATTTAATGACCCAGAACCACAATTTAACTGTAAATGAAAGTCCATAAATTATATCTGATAGGACCGCATTCAAAAACCTCAGAAAGTGAGGTATTAATTGGCGTGAATTGAAACGAAACCTTAGGGCCAATCATACTTGTGGCTATAGTGTTGCATTTGTATTTAAATCATATTGTGAAAGGAGAAGGTTTATTGTTTTTCAAGGGTAAGCTATGAAGAGAAAAGGTTTACTGTTTGTTAAGGGAGTATTGACTGGTCAAAGAGATAACTTAATAGTAGTAAATTTTACTGTATTCCACTTTTCCCTATTATATCCCTTCATATCATTACCCTTTTTTTTGGGACCTTTCATAGCTTTACTTCTTTTCCTCTCCTTAAATAAGCAAACAAGTGATGTAAAAACAAACATGAAAGATACCTTAGAAAAAAGAAATAAACTTGCTTGTGTTTCCATTGCCACATAGTGCAAATTTGGACACCTACTAACAGTCCTTGTAGTTATAAATTATAATCCTTTCAAGGCAAACTCTTGGATCCATACCCGGGTTTGACGCCTGCATCCTTGACTGAGTAACATTTGTCTACAAATATTATATTAGTGGATAGATTCTAAATTAGTAATAATCATAGTTTTGTTACGTTTATGTTTAAGAAATTTGTTATGATATTTACTTTTGTATTTACATATAGACATTTGATTCTTGAGCTTGTGGTCTCATAGCCTTTTCTTATTAAGGCCTGCTAATGATATATCACTGTATAATTATGCAGATAAATCTGTTCTAACGCTTGATGCTGTCCATCATTTACAAAGTATCGTTGGCGCTTGTCAAAACTTTACCAGTGATTTTGCTATAGATTGCATTGAGGCGATACATCTGTTGGAAAATAGAAGGTCCAATGTACGCAGGCTTCTGCATGCAAAGCTTGCTTTTTGCCTGGAGCAAATGTTATCCTTTGCTGACCTGGTATATAAGATGGAACTGTGTCCAGAGAAAAAGAGTACTAAGAATGTAGCTACTTTCCTTGGTTGCACTAGATCTATTCGGCTTGTTATTATGGATGCTAATTTACAGGTAAGGGAATTTATTGTATTTATGCCTAGCAAGCAAGTTTGCAGCCAGTATTAACTGCATGTATATAATTCATGGTGGGGACTTTTCTCTCAGGTACAAGCGATTGGATTGCAAGTGCTCAAAAACATGGTTCAAAAAGGTATTAATTTGAAAGTCAGCTCCTTCCCATTGCTGCTAATTGGAGAACTGTTCAGCGACATCTTCATGGTCATCCAGGAAATTATAAGGGTATTGTGGTTGACCTATTTTACTTCTTATTTGGAATTTGGTATGTCACGAGTCTGATTTATTAGTGTTGCTTTTGTGGCTAGAAACCTGTAACCAGAGAGTCAGCTGCTCTTGCTGGGGAGTGTTTGAGAATCTTGGTACTTATGCAAACACTTCCAAAGGACGTAGAGTGTCAAAAAGGTCTTATGAGTTTAATTCTGGAAGCAGTTGTCATGATACTGTCTAGCACTGAAAATAGTCCTTCTGAGGTATTACCATGGAAGCTTTTGATTAGATTCTTTAGAATTGCATGTTTAATGTTAGTATTGACAAGTATAACTCACAGTTGTTCTAATCTTTAATTAATTGCATTTATTGTAGGAAACAATTGACTTAAGAAACACTGCTATCAGACTTGTCTCTCATGTTGCTCAAGTTCCCTCTGCCGCAGAACACCTGAAAGAGGTTCTGCTTGGAATGCCTGTGACACTTAGGCAACAGATCCAGGTAGGAATAGCTCCTGAAGCTAGCTTACACATCTTGCACCTTTTTGATCTTTTGGTTTAAAATATATACTTAGCTCAAGGTTGATTTTCTCCTCTTAAAGGTATCAGTTCTCCAAAGTCTAATATGTTAATATTGAAATTTAAGTGGAATGAGGAGTTACGTGGATGTCTTTTAGTGAGGTGAGGAGAATCAGATATGGATACAGCTTCCTATATATTAAAGTGTAATGGTTGGTGGGAGTTTATTTGGTGCGTGTGCTGTGGAATATGCCTCCCTGGCTTAAATGTATCCAACCCAGCCAATGCCGGGTATTAGAATAAAGAGAGCCCTCGTCCCTGGCAAATTGACTTGCTGATTAACACAAATTCAGCATATGTTTAACTTTCTGCGATAAGACCCCTCAGTAGATACCTATCCATATGTTTAACAAGCCATGAAGTTGGTTACGTGAATATGCAGCTTTCATCTTTACTGTGATGGGTGTTCAAAAGTGTAATAAGTTTCAATTCGTGAAGTTATACACTATGAAGTATATACATAAATCATGCCCTTGTGAATACGTTCTCAGAGTCAGCAATGTGATCCCCTCTTGTTATTGAAGAATGTATCATTATAGGAGTCATGCAAAGGCTTTCATCTTCTTTTTTTTTTTTTTTTTTTTTTTTTTTTTCTGGTCATGCTCAATTGGGTTTTGGCATTTCATTTTCATTGTGCTTCTGTCACAGAATATTATCCGTGCATCCGTTACACAAGAACACCAGACAACACAGGCCAAACCTAACGCGGGAATATTGGAAATCAAATTGCCACATCAATCATATGAAAGTAAAGAGGGAAATTCTCCTGCAAGTTCCCCACATCAAACTGACGACGATTTTGAAGATGACGATGACTGGGATGCTTTTCAGTCATTTGCTGCAGCAACTAATGCAACTACTGTGGATTCTGTATCAAATGTTGAGAGCCCAGCACCTTCTACTAATTTACAAGAGACTGTTTCTGAACCTCTCCAAAATGATAAAGAAGAGATGCTTCAAGGATCACCTCAGAAAATTGATGTGCTTGAGTCTGAAAGTAATGACTTATCTTCTGAAGCATTTGAAAGTGGTGAATCCCATGACTTAAGTAATATTTCTGGAGGTGCGTCCATTCCGAATGACAATCTTGCCTCATCAGATTCTCAGCAACCTAGCAACAGTTCAATAGAAGTAAATGAAATCAATGTTGTGATGGAAGATCTGATGAACAAGGAAAGTCCAAGTGATTTGATGAGCCGTCAAGTGCCTGCTGATCCATTACTAGCTGACAACTTCCTCAATTCAGGTCTTCAGCTGCCAGAAAAAGCCAATTTTGAGGCTTCCAATTTAGAAGCAGACCAATTGGATGCTGATCAGTCCCTGGAATCTGCTGGTGAATCTGTACTTGAGGGTTCTGCTGACAATGAGAGTATTGTGACTCCTGATGATGTCGGCAGCTGCTCAGAAGTATCTGTTAACCAAGATAGTGTGATGACAAGTAAAGCATCAGATGAAAACTTCCTCAATTCTGCTCTTCAGACCCCAGAAAATTTAGCAGACCTAGAGGCTTCCCATTTAGAAGTAGACAAATTACATAGTGATCAGTCTTCAGATTCTGCCAATGATTCAGTACTCAAGGCTTCTGCTGACAATGAAAGTATTGTGGCTCCTGAAAATGTCAACAGCTGCTCAGAGTTTTCTGGAGCTGAAGACAGTGATATGGCAAGTGAAGCGGAACCCCGACACCCATGAGACAGAGCAGAATGTGTATTTTTTTTCTTTTGTAGAAAAAATATTTAAATTACAGAGTATTTTTCTAAAAAGATTCAGGGTGGGATTTTGTTCCATGATAAACTGATCTGCTGATCTACCCACCCGGCTACACTCTAGAAGAATACTCGAGAGATTGTATATGATTTCCACCCTTCTGAAATATGAGAAAAAGGTATCAGATTAATCTAAGAGATGACAGTAATATCACTAATTTGATTCCTCAAATAAGAATAAGCACAAAGTAACGATATATAATTCACGCTGTTTACATGATAGATGGTCCGTTGATCCTTTCTCCTGCACCTCTGAAATAATCGTAAAATATTCGTACAACAGCTACAAGTAGATTGAGAAAACCAGTTTTTGCCAATCATTTTATGCAAGGTATAGATATAGCAATCAGCAAACGAGAAAGAGCATATACAGGAGTGCAGGACCATTACTTATGAACTCTGGACGTACCACCACAATCTCATTCTCACCAGTGCTCATAGCTTCTAAAGCAAACCACGGCGACTACTGCTTGCCTTTGAGATGAACCCTTGACGTGATACTGATTGCTTAGTGACTACTCAACCTTCTGTTCGTAATTGGTAGCTGATTTGTGCCTTGTGTTTGTTACGTTCGTGCACCACTCTTGATTGATGATAACAATGAACCATCAATTAAGAATTTAAAACTAAGAGTCGGTGAATCATATGACTAATATCAACCAATAGCAAAAACTGTCACTCATTCTCGAAAAATAACGTTCCTATAAGGACTATAACTATCACATTTACTATTGAAATTGTCAATTTTAACAAATTACACACTCCCTGCATTAGCATAGATACATTCTACGGAGTAATTTAAAAAAGAATAACCGAAACCCAAAAAATGACATTAGGCCATTAAGATATTGCTTATCACTCTAGTAGGCTTTTCATTAGAAAGCCACTAGATTAGTGCCCGTGCGATGCACGGTAATTGTAATATTTTTTTCCTAATTAATTTGTGATATAATATAAAAATAAGGTAACTCGTGTGAAATAAACAAATGCAATATATATAAAAAAGATTAAATAATAAGGCAAAAATTATTTAAACTACGATTGCAAAAAATAATATATTATTTTTGATTAGTTGTGCTGAAAATATTTCAAAATAGTATACATTATATTACATTAATGATGCATGTTATTCCCAATAAAATTATATAATGTAGATGTTGTATGGCATTTTATTAATGAATTAATTTAGTTACAAAAAACCTATACAATGTACTTCTAAAATATAAGCTAAGTAGAAAAATTAAAATAAATAAATAAATAAATAAACAAATAAATAAATAAATAAACATGATATAGCTGACATCATATATTTGTATTGGCGGAATTTTTTTAAATGATAGCATGATATATGTCCAATATAATCGATGTAAGCATGACATGTTTTAATAATAGTTAATAGATTTTTATAAGGAAAAAAAAGGTTATAAGTTGGTAAAATTATCACATAAATATTTAATAGAAAACTAACTCAATTATTATTATTTCATAAGATTTCAAATCAACACCCTCAATAGAAATGTTTATTTTTGTTCCATTAAACCCCACTGTTGTATAACCATATAATGATAATTTAAAATGTTAAAATTATTTTTTGGCTCCATTATTTTGTACTTTCGACCATATTTCAACCTTTTAAATTATAGTTTATTCTCATTTAATTAAAATGTCTCAAAATATAATGTAACTACTTAAAGTAATACTAGCGGAGTAGCCCAGCATTCTGCAACCTTTTCGAGTAGTAGAAGCAGCCATTGAAGAAGAAGAAGCTATTTCAATGGAGGAAAAACCCAAACTACTCCTTCTCTACGCTTCTCAGACCGGTAATGCCATGGACGCTGCTGAGCGCATCGCCCGTGAAGCTGAGCGCAGAAGCTGCCCTGTCTCTCTCTACTCCATCGACCAATTTGATCCCGTAATTTTCATGTCTCTCTTCTTTTCTGCTGTTCTTTCAATTTCATGCTTTCTTTTAGCTACAATTGGTTTGTTAATTGCTTAATTGTTGAATTGAATGTTGAAATTGGTTAGGTATTATTTGAAATTATATCGATTGATTAATTGACTAATCGAAACCCTAGCTTTTGTTACTGTTTGTTACAAAAAAAAGAATTTTGTTATGATATTTTATTTGAATTATTGATATTTTTTTCATAATTTGAGTGGCTTTAGGCACGTAAATTGCATGAACTATTTGCAGAATATTCTTTAGTTGGGGAAGGGAATTAATGGTAATATGTGGTTGATTAAGGAAATTTTGCTTTAATGAACTGTTTGGTTAATGAGTTATTATTACTGTGTACATGAGATTGCCTAAACATAAATTGGGCATAGACTCAATTCAGAGCTTTGCCAAAATCATTGCCCGAGTGTGTGTGCTCGAGCGCGTGTGTGATTCATAGACTAAGATTTAAGAGTGGAATTTCAGGTCTAGATAGTTTAGTGTTTACTACATTCTTTAACTATTATGACATTATGAATGTTAACTCTTTGATCTATGATTGTTTCTTGTCATAGAGTTTGCTGCCCAGTCAAAGAGCTGTAATTTTTGTTGTCTCTACCACAGGACAGGGTGACACTCCTGATTCAATGAAGGTTAGTAGTAGATACAGAACACTTTTCTGAGGTGAGAATTTGTATTCTTTTCATTTTGGTGATGATTGATGAGTAATAATGTTGGAAAATAAAATATAGGTGTTTTGGAGGTTTCTATTGCAAAGGCACCTTACTCAAGATTGGCTGGAAGGAGTACACCATGCGGTTTTTGGATTGGGAGACTCAGGATATCAGAAATACAATGTAATACTTCTAGGGCTCTCTTTATCGTTGGGGAACTACGGTACCTCTTTCTCTCTTGGTAGGGTTGTTGGCATCTGCTTATGGTGTATGTTTAGTTGTTGATTCTAGCCTATGTATCATGTGTAAGTGTGACTTTATAATGCAATTGTAAAGCATAGTGCTTAAAAAGGTTAGCACATGAGTGGAGCATAAAGGAGCACTCCAATGGTGATTGGGTGTTATCATTAATATATCACAACATCCCTAATGAACATGCAGTCCATTGTCTACTGTAGGCCAGTACATTAAGAAAAGAACTGCCTACTTATGCCCGTACATAAATTAGATTAAGGAATCAACTTGTGTATCTGCTAGCTATTTTCTATTGCCTTAAACATTGCCTTTAGCTGCACCCATTGAATGCATTTAGTTTCTATGATAATTGCACTTTGAGAGTTTGAGAGTCAGATAATTTGTTTTCAGGCATTGATAGGAACTTTATTTTCTTTCCCAACTGCTGTAGTTTGTTGCAAAGAAGCTGGACAAAAGGCTTTCAGGTCTTGGTGGAACACCTATTATTGAAAGAGGTCTTGGAGACGATCAGCATCCTTCAGGGTAGGGTTGGATCGATATCATTTGTTGATTCCAAACTGTACATCTATCTCTCTATGACTGATTAAGTTATAAACAAATCAGATCATGTCGTTCATGTTATGACCCATCTTTAGTTGCATCATCTAAAGTTGTTAAATCTCACAGCTCGTAGTTTTACTGTGACTCATTCAGTCAATCTAATGACAGAATTTCTTCCTTCATTGATAAATGATAGGTATGAGGGATCTTTAGATCCTTGGATGTCTTCATTATGGAGTTCATTGAATCATATATATCCAAGCCTCTTTCCAAATGGAGTAGATGTAGTTCCAGATATGAAACTTATGAATCAATCTAAAGTTTCTGTAACATATCATGTCAACGATGTGGCGAGTTTACTATACTCAACTTCTTCAGGTAACCTGTTTCTGCTTCTTTAAATTGCTTTTATCTTTTAGAGTTTTTTTCCTGTCTCAATCTAATATAGTTCTGATCTACTCGATGCTTTATTGGGAGAGGGAGTACACTATATTTTGTCCGTCCATGGGAAAATCTACTGCTCTCCTGAGTCCTGTCTCACTCAGATCAATAGTTAATATTCATTATCTCTGAAGCTTTGAAGATTTATGGCTTTATAATTATTTTCATAATGCTTCCCCTGTATAAGAGTCATTGTTTGTTGTTTTTATGCCAGGTTTTGAGTCCAGGGCATTGCTAATTGAAAGCGCTCGCTTGATCTCTCCTGCAAGATTTCCTGCAGATAAGAGTAGGCCTCAGTGCTGGTTAAAAATGGTATTCCCACTTCTATTTTCATCTGAATGTAATATGTATGATTATTCTCATGGTGATGAGATATTCTAAAAGGATCTCCGCCCTAGTGGACTTCGCTTTTTGAATTTTATGTTGAATTTGGTTTTTTGTAAGATCTCTTTTTGGTGTTGGTTATAGGCTATTCTTATGTCTTAGATGTCTCAAATAGACAAGCATTGAGACTCGAGAGCTTTATATTCGTCCTTGGTTTTCTTCCCTTCTTAATTTATTATTGCCTTCTTCCAACAGTATTTCTAGCCTACAGAAGGAGCCTGGAAAAGGTTTAGTAAGAAGTATGTTAAACATCTCACTACAATACAGTATGATAAGTATGGAGATATAGTAGATATAGTATATCTGTAATAGACTAATAGTTAGTGTGGAGGAAATTATGTATACATGCACTCGCTGGGGTTTTTGTATGGGTTTTTTTTTCTAAGTTCTTATTTTTACTCCTTGATTGGTTGTATATTTTTCTTTCAGACAAGAAATTGTTCACTAACACAAGCAAGCTGTGGGAGGGATGTTCGCCATCTTGAATTTCAATTTCATTCAAATGTAAGTTTAATTAAAGTTATACTTTTGTTTAGAAAGGTAGCCTTAGTATAAATAAAGGGTTTTGATGTTGAAGCAATTCAATCATATTTCAGGCAGTTGGATATGAAGTTGGCGATGTGCTTGAGATAATTCCATCTCAAAATCCTGATGCTGTAGATGCATTCATACGTCGTTGTAACTTGGACCCTGAAGCATTCATCACAGTATGTAATTTTGACCACTTAGGTCCTTTTGTTCTTTTGAACTTTGTGAACTTTGAAGATGGAAAATGAACTTTAAGCTGTTACAGAGTACATATTCATTTTCTAGGAAGTGGGGAATGTTATTTTGTTAAACATGGGGCCTATGTAAGCACACTCTTCCACTTCCTATGAAGTTCTACTTTCCATGAGTTTTGGTGTTAAACAAACAAACATAACATTGACATTATGGAGTGCAGAACTAAAATAGGTTGTGGCCGTCATAAACTGAAGTTTTATGACAGCTTAATCCCTCTGATGAATTTTGCTTGCCCTTGACAATGAACAATAGAAACTGATTGGCTTTATTTCCTTTATAATTCCAGCAGAAAAGGTTTAGATATAGTAGAAAATTAACTAAATGATTGGAGTAAAGATGATATTTAACTGTACAGATGCAGCCCCTGCCCTAATCAAGTCTATAAATAAATGGAAACATTATCATCAATGCAGGTTCAGTTGAGAGATTCAAGCAATGCTGCTGCTGCAGCATCTAGAGTGCCCATCAGACTAAGAACATTTGTGGAGTCAACCATGGATGTTGACTCAGCTTCCCCCAGACGTTATTTCTTTGAGGTACTAAAAGTTCGGCCTGGAAGTTGTGACAGATGTTTGCCCACTGTCATTCATTTTTTGAACACTCAGTTTTGGTATATATTGTCTCCATGCCTTATAATAAGTGCACTGATAGGAATGCTTTAAAAGAACATTGTGGTGGGATTGGTTTTCTGAAAAATGATAATAGTAGAGGCTGTTGAGAAAGTGACAGGATTCCACAGAAATTGGAACAAACTTTTAAATCAGAGTGGAGTTAAAAGTAAAACAAACTGGAGGGTAAGCGCACATCCATATAGAACAACTAACACTATGTTTAAAAAAACAGCAGTGAAGGGAAAGGGAGGGGAAGGAAAAAGAGGGAAGGGAGAAGGTGACCTTCCCATTTTCCTTACAAATCTCTCCAACAATAAAGGGATTTGGTTTATTAAAAGGGGAAAGAAAATGGATCCTTCCAATTCCCTCCTTTTCCCTCCTTGCATTAGATGATGCATCCCTCCTTTTCTCTTCTCTTCCTTTCCCTCCATTTCTCTTTATTTTAACATAGTGTAAAGGAGGTCAAGCTTGCGCTGCATAAAGTTGGCTTTCTTTAGTTTCCACAGTTTTTTCCTTCTATTATAATTTTTATCTTCAATTCCTAATATTGCCATTGCCTCACTTGTTCTGCTAGGGTTGGTTGATATGGAAACCCATTAAGCTATCCTCTATTGCTCTTAACATATATCCCTTTCTTGTTATTACAGACCATACCACGTTGTCAAGGAATTGTTTCTCATTTTAAAAATACAGAAAACACTAGAGTGTGGATACATCTTGTATCCAGTCACCTTTCCTATTTGATAAGGGTTTATATCATGACTATCTGAAAGTACACTTCAATGCAGGCCCCCACTATATATGTAATTTCAGACATAAGGCTACTTCATTACTGCAATTATAAGGCTGCATATTTACAACTCGCTACCCTTCCCAAGGTAGTGGGAGCCTCTTTAAAGGCAGCAGGGTAATGCTGGTGTTAGTATTAATTATTTTGATAGATTCTAAATATCTTGTGTTGCAGGTGATGAGTTACTTTGCCACTGCTGAGCATGAAAAGGAAAGACTGGAATATTTTGCATCAGCAGAGGGCCGAGATGATTTATATCAGTATAACCAAAAGGAAAGAAGATCTGTCCTTGAGGTGAGTTGTTTCTTTTGTTCGTTAGCTCGGAAGCAAACTTGACATATCCCTATCATCTACTGTCTCCACAATTTCTTCCTCAAGTATTTTCATAAACTTAGTCGATGGATTTTAGGTTCTGGAGGATTTCCCATCTGTCCAAATGCCATTTGAATGGTTGGTCCAGCTAACGCCCCCTCTGAAAAGCAGAGCCTTTTCCATTTCTTCCTCTCCTGTCGCTCATCCTAATGAAGTGCACTTGACTGTGAGTGTGGTGACATGGACGACACCATATAAGAGGAAGAGGTCTGGTCTCTGCTCAAAGTGGCTTGCTGCACTTGATCCTCAACAAGGTGTTTGCTCTATCACTATAAAAAAATAAAATCATTTAAATTGCTTATGACTTATTTGTCAAGATGTAAAATGCTAATTTTTCTAAAATTATGTAAACAGGGGTTTTTGTTCCAGTATGGTTCCAGAAAGGGCTTCTTCCTGTCCCATCTCCATCATTACCACTTATTCTCATAGGACCAGGCACAGGTTGTGCTCCTTTTAGAGGGTTTGTGGCAGAAAGAGCTGTACAGAGTCAACATGGTCCAACTGCTCCCATTCTCTTCTTTTTTGGTTGCCGGAATAAAGAAGATGATTTCTTATATAGTGATTTTTGGTTGCTCCATTCACGCGATGGAGGGGTTCTTTCAGAAGAAAAAGGTGGGGGCTTTTATGTTGCATTCTCGAGAGACCAGCCACAGAAAGTTTATGTACAACATAAGATGCAGGAGCACGGGCAGAAAATCTGGGATTTACTCAGTAAAGGAGCTTCTGTGTACGTTGCTGGTTCCTCAACCAAAATGCCTTCTGATGTTATGTCAACTTTCGAAGAGATCATTAGCAAACAAAGTGGGGTTCCAAAGGAAGCTGCTGTGAGATGGCTCAGGGCATTGGAGAAGGCTGGTAGATACCATGTTGAAGCATGGTCCTGAGACATCATTACTTCTTTTTTTTTTTTTTTTATATATATAATAATAATTCATTTTTTACATCAAAAAAAAAATATAAAAAAAAAATTGTTACTATCAAAAAAAATAATTGTTACTTGGATACTGTTGAATTCATGTTTTAGCATTTACCATAGAATATTTGAAGGTTATATAATACACGAAATCGACTCACTATCAGAGATTTCGAGACCTTATCTTGAAAAATCAAGCTATGGTATGGAATGCATCCCAAGGCTATACAATGTAAATTGTACTCATATAAGGTCACTAGCCGGTTACATAAAGGTCATGGTGCTCTTGAGTTAATGAAGGGAAAGATTGGCCTCTTTCATTTTTGGACCCAAAAATGTCAAAAATTATCTAAAACTAAAGTTTATAATTCATGCTTCTGAACCAATTTCTGGAATTTTTTCCAAATTTGAAATGAATGTGGGAATGTCTTTCAAGGTCATACAAATTGGTTTGGAACCATAACAGAGTTACCAATAGGTCTATAAAAAAATGAACTAGGTTCGATTACATGGTTATTTCGGAATATAAGCATTTAAAGTCAAGAGCTACAAGAGATGATTCTAAAGAGTACGAGAGATGGGTCAAGGCATGAAAGAAATTATCTTGAGCACTAGCAGACATCCTAAACCCCTTTGGGACCTCCAAAAACACCTTGATGCATAACCTAACCAAGTCCACAAATGTTCTCCTTAAGCCAATTTTTTTTTTTTTTTTTTTTTTTTTGACAAAAGATCTCCTTAAGCCAAATTTGAATGCTGTATTACAGGAATTTGAAGCCAATTACACAAATACTTGAGTTAGACAAGATTAGTCTCAATACCACAAGATATGTTTTGGTGCTCCCAACATCACCACCTTTGATAGCTAAATCATGTTTAATAAATGACACCACCCCTTCTCAATTGCGATATCACTTACGACAATGTGTTGCACCCTTCCTTATACTCTATGTTCTCTTGGCTACTCCGTATTAGTCAAAAACTCAAAGGTAATAGTGTTGGATGCACCTATGCTATAGTTAGACACTTGGCCTCTTAAAAGATATGCTATTATTAAACCATCTATGCTAATTATCTTATGCTCTTATTTTACACACACATTAATATTATATTACAAAAATATAGGAGACACATGCTATGTACAAATTATTAAATTTCTGTAAAAATTAACAGTGGTGCAACTTAAAAATTAGTAGTTGCACAACTATAAAACTAGTTACCTTGAGGCAACACCCGAACTATTCATTAGTTTTGGCATTTTACTTAAAAATAAAACGATGATATGAAAAAAGAAAAGAAAAAACCAGAAAACACCTACTGAGAAAATTTCCTTATCCTACAAGTGATATATCTCAGTGAAACACACCTTCCTCATCTCTCTATCTCCTTCTCTCTCTTTCTTCATTTTTTGAACTCAAAAAATGCTTTCAATGGCGGTTCAACCTAACATCAACGCCATTGTTAAACCTTCATCATACCCATCTCCAAAACTATCACTTAAACCCTTTAAAGCTCCCGCCTTTGCAAACCCAAAACCCTTTTCTTCTTCATCTTCATTTCCTCAATTGAACAAGAAATTGAGGAATTCCAGTTTTTCTCTCTCTGCTGCTCCTGAAACCATTTCTGATATCGCCATTGCTGGAGATGAGGTTGACATTGAAGATGACTTGCTAATCACCAAAGAGGTTAGGCTACTCTTTTCTTTTTCATTTTTTTTTTTCTGCTGAATTTTAGCCTATTTCATGAAATTTTGGTATTCAATTCTTGTGTAATTGGATAATTTGATGCGGGGTTTTGTTTGAATTCTGTTTTGGGCATGAATTGATTTTGTTGGGAGAGTGATTTTGATATTTTGCTTGATTTTTGGTTATTCAGAATTGGTTTAATGGAGGTTTTGATGTGTTTGGAATATATTTTTGGGCATTTATTTTTTATGCTTGTTTGATAGTACTTTTAGAGACTATAATGAAGAAATCTAGTTTCTTGAGGAAAAAATCATGAATAATTGTACTGGATTATAGATGTTTTTTTTTTTTTTTTGAGAAAGGATTATAGATGTTTGTACATTTTACTTTAACAATTTTATATGATAATGAATTTATTACAATAGTCATCGTGTATTGAGCTATATAATGACAAGGGAAACTAGATCATTTCTAAATTTTTATGCTTAATTTCATGTTCGGGTTAAAAATACAGGTTGTTATTTCTGTTACCCGGCCACAAAATTAAGAATTACTGTAATTAAGAAATGAAGGTTTCTTGTGAACTAATAGCTAATAATGTTCCTTGATCATAAGATATACTTCAAAATTGGTATGATGGGCAGATTGTGTGTTGTGTTTAAGTTGTGACTGATTTGAATTCGTCATTGTGCTGTCAATGTAGAAGCTCAAAGTGGCTGTGAAGCCAATGGATAAACCGAGGCTAGTATTGAAATTCATATGGATGGAGAAAAACATTGGTCTTGCCCTCGACCAAACCATACCGGGACATGGCACGATTCCATTAAGTCCCTACTACTTTTGGCCTCGGAAAGATGCTTGGGAAGAGCTCAAGGTACTGCTAGAGAATAAGCCCTGGATATCTCAGAAACAAATGATTATTCTTCTTAATCAAGCAACTGATATCATCAACTTGTGGCAACAAAGTGGTGGTAATATTGCATCTTAGAGTACATGTTATATGGTATATTCTTGTTAGTAGGCGTATGTTGTATCTCGTGTTTGTAGGAGTTCTCAACTAGAAGAATTGCTACTATTTCACTCTTATATCTAGTTGATTGATCAAACATAAGCATGCTATATTACTTTGAATTTACGTGTCTATTTTCTAAGGTTCAAATTTCACAGGAACTTCTTTTTGATTTGTTCAATACTTCTAAATAGTGTTTGGTCATACCTTATATAATATCTAGTTGATTGATCAAACATGAAGATATCATATCACTTTGAATTTAAGTGTCTGTTTTCTAGGTTCAATTCACACGAGAAGCACACAGAAACTTCTCTTTGGGTTGTTCTACACTTCTAATTGTGTAAGGTCATACGAAGTATGCCACGAAGTATTGGAAATTACATCCTCGTGGACAAACATAGCTGTTCTAACAATATAAGTATAGTTATCAAACTGTTTATTGATTTTTGGTATATTTTGGATTTGGGTCTGGTAATCAGGTATGAACTATTTTTGTCATGCCTATGTAATAGACGCCATTCGGTCCATACTCATAGCTGCTATACCCTTTGGCTGCTATAGATGGCTTATCAGATGCCTGGTTTATCACATGTACTGGTAATAATACCAAGATCACTGGTAATAGCTTGTGATTTGTGAGATGCCAAACTCATGCCTTATGTGGGAATTCTTGCTGCTTTTGTTTGTTTAGCCAAATGAAACTTTGGGAGAAGTAATCCTGCTTCGATATACAAGATTGGGTCACTACCTGTTCTTTGTTCTATACTCTTTGAGTCTTTCAAGTTTCTGTGTTTAATTATAGAGATGGAGTGAACTTTTGAGAGAACTAAGCAAATGGAGTATGTGCTAAGGTTAAAACCTGTTAAGATTATGAGCTTGTTATATAGATCTCCTTGATGTTCGCGCATTTTGATGCATACTTTCAAATATTAAGAGTATATTTTTTTTTAATGATTTCACTAGTAGATAATTGAAGATATTAATGCTTAAAGTTGTGCATTGGGATGCAATGATGCATAAAGCTAGAACTGTTGCAAAAACAAATAACGGAAGAAGTATTTAGCATCGCATTATTATAGAACAAAACAGATGGCTAGACCTATCTTTCCTAACCCATGTAAGAGGTACTAAATTATACGTTTATAATTATTAATATCATACAAAAATATACAAGTGTTTATTGATTATCATAAGGAGGATATTCAAGTTACTCAATATGAGTAACAAAATATGTTATCATAAGAGAACTGAAAAGGCTTAAAAACACAGCGATAGCTTCTACTACGTACTCTGTGTAAGATTGTGGTTATAATATACAGTTTCACGTCCAAACGGTGGAGCTTCCACGGTTGCATGTTAGCTTGTTCCGAGTCAAGATCAACCATAGAGAAACCCCCTTTAAGTTGCAGTGCATTTCAACCTCACTCTTCAATTTTCGATCACAAATATGTAGGTTAGAACACTCCAAATCCTCTAATCTTGAATTGAGGATTTCCCTTTTTTTAAAAAAAGAAAAAAGAAGATTAGCCCTGTTTTTGCCTTCGACGGTTCAGTCAGAAATGGTTTTTTTAGATGCATATTTTAGGAATGGGGTTATTACGATCATCTCAGCGTAACTGCAAACTGATGCCATTGTTGGATGCAATTTCCCTAAGAAAGCTCATTTGGGTTTCCAAACTTGGTTTTCTTCTTGATAGCTTCTGTATAATCTGTAACAAAAATCAACGTTCCTTAAATTGATCAAAGCCTATACCATACACCTAGGAACACAGAAAAGCGAAAAAAAGGTACAAGTTATCGCGCGTATGATTATCACATTTTTGGTATGTTAAAAGATACACAGCTAAAGAGAGAGCCTAGGTGCACATATAATTCGGTTTACCATAGTTATGCCAACTCTTTGGTTGGTTAAACAATAAAAATATCTTATGTGAAATTAATAGTGCTAATTACCTTTTCATTGACACCAAAATTTCTAGGAGAATCAAGTGATTGAGACACAAATTCCTGCCCAAACTTTGAACTGAAAAAATCTCGGATGTGCAGTAGTTCAGGGAAAACTCCAAACCTTGAAGACGCGTAAATTAAGCTTCCTATGGCCTCCTTTAGATCATCTGGGCAATCCCTGAAACAACAGATTACAGAATATATTTAGAAATCAAGAACAACAAAAAGCTTGAGCAAATTCTCTTACAGAATATACAGTATTATTCCATTGATTACAAACCATAAAACAGGAGAATGAACACTAACTTGTTTTTTTCAATCAATGACATGTTTTGCTTAAGAAGATGGCAGTAAGATTCTATCATGTCAAAAGCATCCAACATGTTCTTGCTCTTTATCACATGCTCAACCTGTTGATCAGATGAAGATTATCATAAGACTAGCTCATGAATATGTGTTAATGATCAATAAATCTAAAGAACTAAAAGCTCCGTCCAAATTCAGTTGTCATTTTTAAAAGCACAGTTTACACCATCAACGTAATAATTAATTCCAGACAGAGGGAGTAGTTCTAGGGGCATCCAAAAATAGTAAGAGGTAGCCTGATTAGAATAGTACTCGAAGAAGAGCTTGTTCTTGATGACCGAGATTGAGGAGTTGGATAACATCGGACTGAGAAATGGAGAAGAGTGCTTGTTGCCGATTCTTGAGATACGAGTTCCTAGTGATAGCATGCTCTAGCAAACTACTTAACTTTGAAGATTTTCTTCCTAGTAAAACATCCAATGCTTTTCCCATCTTGCTTTCAAGTTTTGTTTTCGAGTTATGAAAGACTTTCCTTGTGCTCGAGAGCTTGATATGTTATATATTTGGAGGATCAAAAGATATTTATATAAGCATGGATCACTCTAGGATAATAGAAGCGGGTCAAGGAAGAACAAACTGGGTCAAAAATTGAAGGGGACTTTGATGGTTTCAAGTGAGAGGGTGCCGTGAAAATACATACATTGGGTATAAATAGTAAGAAAAAGATGCCAATTTTGAACTGCCATTGACCCTAGAACATTATGACCGTGGCATAGTATATCAACAAATATTCAAATTGATGACCACCAATTCATTTTTATGGCGGGTTTCACGTAATTACCGGTTAAAAGTTGTCCTTCCTCCTGAAAATAATAGTCACATATACAATTATTAGAGGGGTCAGTAGTTGTCATATTTTATTCAAATATAATGCTTTGAAGTAGTAATTTAAAATTGGATCACAAAAACAAAGAGTTTTAAAGATTGAATGATGAGAATGCTTCAACAATTCTTAGTTTAAAGATTGTAATAGAATGGATTTTTTTTTTTTTTTTTTTTGTGTACTTGGTCTATTAAAGCACAAAACTGAAGTTGAATGAACAAACCCCATTTTAATAATGGTTCCTGAACACCAATAAGGATTAATTAAACTTGATTTTGTAAGTAGCAAATATAAGACTTGACCCCTACCCATGTGATGACTCGGTACATGGTCGTTATGTTATGAAAGTCTAATCAACTACTTCCTCTGTCTTTCAAAGATTGAATAATTTATGAGTACATCATGCTAGAAGTGTTGCTGTTTACGGATCGTATAATTAGGTTTGGAAGAATTCTTCACTAAAGTTAGGGGAAAAGGCAAGGTTCCTTGTTACCAAGAAAGTGAATCTGCTCAAATAATGGCTTAAGAGAATCGTATTCAAAGTAGGTCTATCCGTCTATATATGCTCCAATGCCCCGGTAGAAAGGCACCTAAGGTTATTCCATAGGCAGTGCCAATCGGGATCGACGAGATGAAGCCAGCTAGCCAAGTATGGATTTACGAACTACCATAGAGAAATAAACACGAGCACCCAAGTATAATGGAAAAGCAAAAGAAAAGAAAAAACTCTTCAATTAGCTTAAGCTATATATTTTATGAGATAAGGCAAATCAAAGGTTTAAATGGTACATAAAACTGAACAAATTAACATCTAGCCGATTTGATATATCCCAGGTGTGCAACTAATCCAAATAACCGTCTCACGCGCCCGACAATTATAAACGCAAATCTTCTATTGGCACGCAGTAAAAACGGAGTATGCCGAACGATGAGAATCAACACAACCATTAAAACTCAGGAAAGGCCTTCATCATCCTCGTTTTCAAACTCGTCCATGTGGTCTAGGAGATAATTTGCAGCCAGCTCCTCATTCTTGTTGCAAGCAAAGTAGACTTGTAGGACGGTGGCCCGTCTAAAACCCATACCTTCAAGCTGCAACACCCAAAAAAAATGTAAATAAGCAGAATCAGAGCATCGAATACTACTCAAATCATCGAATACTATAAACCCTGGCCTATGTAAACTACCTTCTGATTAAAGGTAAACAGAAACCAGTAAAAGAATCAGTTGTTCACTTTTCATCAAATATTTCATTAAAAAGTATAAACATTCTTCAGCAACAAAGAGAGGAGAGATAGGGCGAGGAAGGGTGGGGAAAATGAAACCTGCATGTGGTTTGGAATGAGGCACATGCGTCTTGCGATGACAAGTATAGCCCAAAACAGTAGACGAATGATAAGAGGAAAAGTGCACCAATAGTCACAAAAACGATTCACTTCCATGATTCTGTTTCTAAAAAAAGCCATGTACCACAATATCCAAATCTTTTCCTAAAGGTCATAGCAGACTATTTATAATTATCATACTTTCTATTAACATAGGACACACAAACTTGTTACTTCGACAGTTCTACGGACATCATAAAAAAAGGTTAAGCAATTATAGTTTACCAGCTTTCTGATCACCATAAGTTGGTTTTCATGAGATATAAAATGATATTAAAAACCAGCAGGTAGTAGCAAGTGAGCTTTTTTATATTTTTCTATCTTTTAACTGCTTAATCCACGTGAGCCCCAAAATTATTCAGAACACTTGTGCCAAATTAGAGACCCATCCTAAAATTCACTGACACGTAAAATGAAGCAAAAACCTCTTCAATTCTATTTATGACATAATTTTACAATATAAAAAAATAATAAGAAAAAAACATACGCGTTCAATGGCTTCACGTTCCTCTGGTGTCACAGACACAGTCGGTGGCATTGAAGAGGCTAACTGTGAGAGAAGGTTCCTACTCCAAACATATAAAAAGAGTCAGAACCCATTAGATTTTTGGAATGAAAAGAAAATAGTAAAGATCCATAAATACCCTTCCCCTTCAACAGGTTCATTAATCAGGCGAAGAAAATCAGACTGGTGTTCTTGAATTAGCCGCATCAGTTGCGGATTCTGCTTCCCCAGTTCTTGAAGCATGGGCTGAACATGGTCGAAAAAACATATTAGACCTAAAATAAATTTATATTTTTTGAAAAACATTAAAAAAAAATTAAATAAATAAACTGAAACTAGAGCACACCTGCAATATCTGGGGATTGGCTTGCACCATAGCTCGCAACGCTTGAAACTAAATCAAAGACATAATGATTCAGGATCAAGGAATTACACAATTCAGCAAATATACTAAACATATATTGGCTATTACCTGCTGACTATTACGGAGAAAATCTAATGAGCCAGCGCCAGCATTTGAACCCACACTGGGAACACCCTAGGTGAAAACAAAAACAAATGATAATATAGGATTATTATGGACCAGAAATAATAGTATTATTTAAAAAGTAATGCATATGATAACCCAATGGCATACCTGTGGAAAGAGATCTAATGGACTTGCGTTAGGACCACCACTTGCTGGTACAGCTGCTTGAGGAGCCTGACCAAGAGGGTTCCCAACCTGAGCAAGAGGGTTCCCAGCTGGAGCAAGAGGATTTGCAGCCTGCCCACCAGTAGTAGCCGTAGGAGTTCTGGGCACTGGAGCAACTTCAGCTTGCTCAGGAATTCCCTGAAAATGACAAACCAAGATTTCTATATCAGCAAGAACCAAGGAGAGAAAATAGTAACAATAAAAATGACAGCAAATCATGCTGCATCAATTAGGGAAAACAGCCTTCCTGTAAGTATATAAATAATAAATCAAAAAGAAAACCCCCAGCTGCAGTAAAAGAATCATATCAGAGTCCAATTCATGGCACAATGCCCAAGCAGAAGATTCTTTATCAAAAGAACCAAATAAGAGGCACTACTGAAGTCAAATGAAGCAACAAAATGGATTTGCAAACATAATCCTGAACCATAAGATCTTTGCAAGAATTTTAGAGTGAATAAAGCAGAGTGTATGCTCGTTTATGAGTTAAAGTGGGGGGGGGGGGGGAACATCAAAGAAAAATCAGTAGAATATAGACATACAGAGTACAAATATTCGACAGCCCTCTCTGGGTTGTTATAAGCAGCACGTAGAGCACGAACAACAGTATCCCTGTCCCAACTTCCTCCACCCATGTCAAGAATTTGCTGAATGGTGTTCTCCAAATTGCTTCCCGCAACTAAATTAGACGCAGCCTGGCCATAGACATTTGCATCCCCTCTGCATACAAATAGTTAAGTTAGTATCTATAGATAAATTCCACAAATTAGTGATTTTGAAGGAAACACTGCTGAGATGGTCTAAGAAAGGGTTAAAACTCACGAAGCAGCAGCTGCAGCAGTCACGGCAGCTGCAGCAGCTGCAGCAGTCACGGCAGCTGCAGCAGCAGCAGCAGCAGTAGGTTCTGTAGCTATCTGGGACCTAACATAACAAAATAGCATTTGTAAGCACAGCAGCAAAAATAGTGTATCATACAAGCCTAGCAACTTCCAGTATTGAATAAAAATAATAATTGGTACACCAAAGCCTGGAAATTAAAAGGAAAATACTTGAGGAACTTACTGAGCTTGAGGTGCAACTGGTGCGGGCACAGCAGCTGCAGGTGTAGGGGTTGTTGTGCTCTGAGGCTGAGCCTACAAATATGAGCCACTTATTATATCATAGGACAAACATTTAACTACAAAAAATAAAAAGTCAAAAATACCAGAAAGCATATCACAAAAGCTAAAGGCAAGGTAGATTCACCTACACCACATCAAATAGAAGGATAAGACAAGAAGCATGCAAATTCACAATAATGACAATAATAACATTACTACACGTCACCATTCACTCACCAAAAACACCATAATATAGCTACAAGTCTACAGTCTGAATCTTTAAAGCTCCCTAGACAACCCCCTCTACATGTCAAATTGTTAACTTTGCCAAAGAGGAACAACATTCAGCAGCCAATTACAGAATCAAACCATCCAGGAAAAAATCCAATCACTGCGACAACTATAGTCATCAAAGCAAGATCAATTGAATATATTTAGGCCCCATTCATGTTTTAATGCAGACACATGAGTGAGATTTACTTGATACTTCAACACAAAACATAGAAGTTTCCTTGACAACATGTCACTAAACCACAGGTAAGCACCATATTACAGTTCAGATTCAGAAAAATAAAAATCAGGTAATGTTAACTATGTCATCACACCACTTTATATAATTTCCAGGCTAACCTGAGTAGCAGGTGCTGCGGACACGGAAGAAGCTCCAGCTGCAGCTGGCTTCTGCAATTAATAATATATACATTAAAGAATAACCATTAAATTTCAAGCCAAATCATCCAGACAGCACAGTTAGCACGAGGCATTTTGGGATGTCCCAAATTTAAGTTAATACCTACTTTTAAAAGCTTTTAATCTCTTATGCTCAAGAAGTTGGAAATTATCCATACATGCTGATAATTATAAACGATGGATTAACAATTGACCAGTTTGAACAAGTGTCTATCATAATACAAAACTACCATAAATCTCTCACATGCCACCTAGCAGTGATGCCACAAGGAGTTCTTTTCATATAATTACCAACTAAAAAAAATATAAAAAGTTCAAAATTATACTAACAAAAAATTGAATTGGGCTGTTAAGGGATCTTCAAAATAAACATAAGAAATACTTTAATGACACAAAAGGTACTGCATTTAGCAATGCACTGACAGAATTGACCACAAATCTCCAGCAACCATAATAAAAAGTATAAAGTTAGCAAGGCGTCTACATAAAACAACAAACACCGCCACTCATGTAACATTCAACAATGCCCCTAAAATCCTAAGCCTAAGGTAAGACTATAGGGTGAAGAATCATTATTATTCATCACAATTTTCTATCATGCTTGTGATTATACAAAAAATAGCACTAATCAAGAAAATTTCAACATGCATTAATATTTAATACCAACAATGTGAAGAGCCTACCTTACTTAACATGATAACAAGGAAACTGTTATCAGCGACACCATTTTCTCCCAAAGTTGTTTCATCTTTGAGAACCTTTCCCTGATGGATGAGCATTTGTGAAGTAGCAGGATAGACATCTGCACCTTGTGCTTTCTCAATACTTCTCTTTACATTTGCAACCTAAACACAAAATTGTTGGTCAAGACCCATCAAAAACACAAAAATAAAAAGAGCCTCATATTAGATTCAAAGACAAGATTAATAGTATAGCTTATCCATTCAAAAGCATATCAAGAAAGACACCAGAAAAAGAAAAAAAAATCGTGCTTTCGACTTTCAGCACTTGCTCAAACTACTGTTCATCACGATAAACATCCACGGCTACATTGACATGCTACTAAAAACAACCCATAAGACCACCAGTAATGGTAATTGACTGTGATTCGCAGTCGACGACATTAGCTAAATTCCAACACTCCAACCAGAAGACATGCAGATACATCTAACCACAAATCAACCCAGTACAATATCCTCACTCGGAACGACAACAGCCAAACTAAAAATCTTTCGCGTAAAACAACCCTTTTCTACAACCGAACTTCAAAACCCTACCTTCCATATCACACTCACAATCGCAAAAACCTCACCAAAAATCCATAACAACACACTGTTTGATTACTCCACCACTTAATTTAACAAACCTATAAACCCTAATCAAATCAATCAAAAACCCAACCAAAAGTAAACACGCAATTCAATAAAACCTAATTCTCCCAACAACAAGAAACCCTTGAATTGACGGATTCGAACACTAATTAACGACGAAAAACACTAAATTCAAAAACGAAACCCTAAATTAGATCTAAACCACACAAATTCGCAAACAAAATTGAGTAGGGTTGTTTCACTACAAAATCAATGAATATAATTAAAACAACAAAAATCAAAAGAAAAGGGATTTACAGAATCATCGGAATTAGCTTCGATCTCGAAGTTAGTGCCCTTAAGAGTCTTGACGAAGATTTTCATCTTTCGATGAAGGAGAACCCTTCCGTCGTCGTCGTCGCCGGAGGAGAGAGAAAGAGAGAGAGTTGGAAACGCCTTTTATTAGAGAAAAAAAAAATGAAAAGATTTTCTCTCTCTAGATTAATTAAATTGAATATATTTATAGGCGGTGATGTCAAATGTGATGATAGAGTGTGTGGGATAGTGATTAGGTGATATACTTGCCTTGCGCAGTAGGATTCTTATTATTGAAAAAAAAAAAATAACTAAATTAAAAATATTGAGCAAATGTGGGTTAACCATTGCCCCGTAGAAATTGCTCCTCTCAGACACTTTGTCTCTTGATTAATAAATTTGACTCGTCGCTCTTTCCTAAAAAAAAAAAAAGATAATTTCTTGGGTGTTTTTAAAATGAGTAGCATAAATTAATGATTTTGCATGGTGCTTGGTTCTACTTTTTTTTCTACTTCGGTAGGTTTTTTTTAGCTACATTAACCGAGTAGAATTCAGAAAAACAAAATGAAAATTTTCTGATACTAGTACGTGGTTTAAGATTTTAACACGTAATTGTGTTTCATAAAAATTGCGCAAAAAAATAAAAATAAAAATACGGCATTTTATTAAGGGGTGAAAGAGTACTTAGTTGATGTTTTTTACATTTAAAAAAAAAAGGTACGATAAATACTTTACATTCATTATAAAATTGTTCTAAAATGATCAAAAGTTATCCGTGATGAATAAATAAAATAAAAAATCTTTTATGTAAATAAAAGCTACTCCAATATACTTGTATCATAGTACTTTATGTTTTATTTATTAAGTAACCCTCTTTAAATTAGTAAAATTTGAATATTAGGCAATGAAAGTAACTATATTACCCTTATAAAACTTCCCATTTTCTATATACATTAAAATCATATTAGGTTAAAAGTTACCTTAAAATTGTTCGATATACACTAGTATCATTGTAAATTAGGTGTACACAAAAGTTTTACGAAGTACTTCGTATTTCCTAAAAACTCCACTTACACTGTAATTTCATTTTCATATGCTATCCAAAGTGTTCATGGAGTAGCAAACTCAGGCTTGTTTGCTCAACGTACAATGGGGTTCAGCTGTAGTTTACATTCAACTACAATCCTCATTGATTTGCAAAATCTTGTGGATATGTTCAAATATCCCGAGGTTGAGGTGATGGAGTAGTGGTATTGCTCCCACCTCGTATCCTTAAGGTGTAGGGACCAAAACTCATGGGACTCATTTGAGGGATTTCCTTATCTCCCCCTCTCAAATGAGCCCTCCCCTCCTAGTGCAGTGGCTTTTTAATCTTGCTTTTCTACTAATTTTCAGTTTAACTATTTAAATAGAAAAAAAAAATGTACAAACACATAGATTGTGATTATTATAAATAGGAAGTAGACATTAAAACCCCTTACGTAAAGTTTTACTCCTATCAAATTCAACACTTGATGGTGTTTGGTTGACATGAAATTTCAACTATCTTTAGATGTGTTAGGTTTTCTCCATATTAAGAGCTCTACCAATGGTGGGCTAAAAATATGCTCATGGGCATAATTGTGAGCAAGAAGGGAGAAATAAGGGTTACAATGGTGGGCTGAAATGACAAAGCCCGTGGGCAAGTGTTAAAATGCCCAAGTCTTGGGCAGAATTTATGATGAACAGTGCAAGCGTGGGCCCCACTTAAATCAGAAAAAAAAAAAAAAGAATTTTTGGACTGACGCGTGCAGAGCTTCAGCGAATGGGAAAACGACATGTGGCAGGCTGCAACGAATTAACTAATCAGAAAATAGAGTCGTTACACAACGGTTATATATATTAAATCTGATTTTCTGAAAATTCTATTTATTAAATATATATATATATATATATATATATATATATATATATACACCAACGGTCATAAAATTTAATTCTCTATAAATAGACATGCATTTTGGTATATTTTGGCATAATTTCATAAATAACAAAAGTCCTCTATATTCTTTATTTTTCTAAATATTCAGAAATTAGAAGAAGATTTTTGCTGTATTTCACCGATTTTCAGGTAAATATTAATTTTTTTTTGCATTATATTATGTATTATATGTTTTGTTTATATATTGTTGAACGTGAATGTTGTATATTTAATAAATTAAGTGGTATTAGATTATTATTTTTTGATTTGTTGTCATTTTAATTTGTTGTTTAAATGTAGTTAAAATTGTTGCAAGCTGTATATTAGTAAATTAAGTGTTGTGAAAGTTAGGTTATGTACATATGTTAAAAAAATGGTTAAAATAATGTTGTGAATGTCATGTCTTATTACAATCTTTTTAAACATATTTATTTTTTGTTTTGTGATGCAGAATCTTTTAATGAATCCGAACAACCCAAATTTCCGTCAACAATTTTCTGGTTTTAGTGATGATTTCCTAACTAATCCCGAGTTTCAATTGTTCTTGCAAAGAATGGGAAATACGTCTTTGCAACCACCTCCACAGCATCAGACACCCATTGAATTTCCCCTAGAAAACTATGATAATGAAGAACGTACACCTGTAACTGATCATGGTAGCAATACCCAATTCGATGACAGTCAAGAGGAAAACGTACCATAGACGCCGCAGTATCCTCCACAAGTTCCCAGAATGCAATCCAACTAGGTTGCTGCACGAGCGACTCGTGTTTGGTCTGTTCCGGAAGATGAAGCTCTGATTGGGTTGTACTTGCAGATTAGCGAAGATGCTATTAAAGGTACGAACCAGAAAGCAACTGACCTATGGCGCAATGTACACGCAACATATCAAATGGCTCAGGCAGAGAAGTCGAATATACTTCCGCCAAGACCTATGAAGAGTCTGTCGTCGCACTGGAGAAGGTTGGCAGCAGACACACTACAGTGGATATCTTGCTATGATGAAGCGGGTAGACTTCTGGAGGGAGGGAGTGGTTACAACGAAGCTGACGGTGTAAAAAGTGCATCGAAGCTTTTTCATTTGGCCACCGGTCACAATTTCAGTTTTCCTCACGCAGTTGAAATGCTTAATAAAGATCCAAAGTGGAGGCCAAAGCTGAGATGGTCCTTGTCAAAGGAGGAAAGAAAAGTTGTTTGTGATGTTGAGGAGCAAGGTAGTGCTGGAAGTAGGAAGAGGTCGAGAGATGATGTAGGGGATGAAACCCCTACAGATGGTTTTTCATCTGGAGGAATACGACGACCCGATGGTGTGAAGAAAGCAAAGGCCAAGCGTAAAGGGAAAGCAGTGGCTACAGAAAGTGGTTCGTCTGACCTTGGAGAACGAATGAAGGAATTCGCTACAATTTGCGAAAGGGAGGCCATTCTGATGGAAGAGAGGATAAAAATTGAAAGAGATAAGGAACAGAGGAAACGAGAGGAACTTGACATTCATAAGATGAGAACCATGTTTGATATGCTGCAAACTCTGAAGAATTCGCCTACGCCACTCACTCCTCAAGAAGAGACGTACAAGAATGTTTTACTTGGTAAATTACAAGGCTTTTAAGCATGTTATTATAGTTGGTCTACGTTTGTATTACTCAAGTTTTTAATTATGCTATTGTAGTTGGTCTATGTTTGTATTAGTTAAGTTTTTAATTATGCGCAATGTAGTCTTTTATTTTTGAAGAGTTAACTTGTATTAGTGGTGTGTTTAATTTCAATGTCAGATGTAAACTAGTATTCTGATTTTCCAATATTGAATGACAAGTTGTTTAACAAGTTGATTTCAATTGTCATTGTTACCGACATAACTGCATTCACTTTTTTCATTGTGTAGTCACTTTTTTCTGAATTCACTTTGTCAGAATGCTTTAACTTTTTGTCATTGTTAACGACATAATTGCACTCAAGATTTGTCATTGTCAACTAGCATAGTATACCTATTCCGTGGTTGAAAATTTGATTCCTTTAATTGGTGTGGTCATTCAGATTTGTAACCACATATTCATTTGATATATTTGCTATATATAGTAAGCATGACACATATCCACAACCACACCAATTCAGAAACTTACATTATTAATACAAGATTTATTCCAGACCATCATCAAGTTCAAGTTCAAGTTCAAGTTCATCTTCTTCATATACTGAAGAATATGATCAACTCGTTGATGAACTCTTCACATTCCAACCCCCAACTTTCCTCATGCCCCAAACACAATCCCAACCCACTACAGAAACACCCAGAGGGGGTACGAATAGAAGAGATAGGGAAATGGGACATGCCAGGCTCTTTAATGATTATTTTTCCGATAATCCTATGTACAACACCAACCAATTTAGAAGAAGATTTCGAATGAAACGACCTTTGTTTTTACGTATAATGAACAAGGTCATTCAAGGTGATGTTTACTTCCAGCAGCGTAGGGATGCAGCTGGAAGGTTAGGCTTATCACCTCTGCAAAAATGCACAGCCGCGATAAGAATGTTAGTCTACGGCTTGGCTGCAGACGCCGTGGATGAATATGTTCGAATCAGTTAGTCAACCGCTCGAGTTGCCCTTCAACGTTTTTGTGCCGGGGTCATTGATCAGTTCGGAACCGAGTACCTGTGAAACCCTACAACTGATGATTTGGCCCGAATACTGCATCAAAATGAGCTACGTGGTTTTCCAGGCATGATAGGCAGCATTGATTGCATGCATTGGGAATGGAAGAACTGTCCAACGGCTTGGAAAACGCAGTACGCCGGTAGAAATAAGAAAGCAACGCTAATACTGGAAGCCGTTGCGGATCAGGATTTATGGATCTGGCATTCCTTCTTTGGTATTCCCGGATCTTGTAATGATCTTAATGTGTTGTACCGTTCACCAGTGTTCGATGAGGTTCTGCATGGTCGAGCTCCTCTGGTAAATTTTACAGTTAACGGCCATGAATACAACATGGCTTATTACTTAGCCGACGACATTTATCCAAAGTGGACAACTTTTATTCAGGGTATCACACACCCTCAAGTTCAGAAGGATAAAATGTTCGCTGACCACCAGGCTGCTGCTCGGAAGGACGTTGAAAGAGTTTTCGGTGTTTTGCAAGCTCGATTTGCAATAATACGAAAACCGTCACTGGCGTACGATGAGGACATATTGTGGGACATATTGAAAGCATGTATCATTATGCACAACATGATTGTTGAAGATGAGCGCCACAACTACACTCGAGCCGAAGTTCTGAGAAGCTTCTACGAAGAAGATCAACAAGATTTAACAACAGCATCAACGTCTACAACGCCACCAATTGAATTCAACGTAGGCCGACCTACCAACTTTGACTTTAACTCATTTCTACAACGAAAAGCTTCCCTTCATGATAGAGAAACTCATCTATCTCTGAAAAGTGATTTAGTCGAACATATTTGGTTACAATACGGACCAACTAATTAAGGAAAAATTAGCACGACTTAAATAAGGCCAACTACTATGGCCTACCTACTTTTCCGTACGCAGTCGTATTTTTTTTTAATTGTTTTGTTTATTTTATTCCCTAAGTTTAATTACGCATGACGTTTCAAATGTAATCGGTTTTTAGTACTGTACCGCTTTTTAAAATAAATAAAAACATTTACGAAATTTTTAGCGTTTTGTTACAGTTATTTCATCTAACGTACATAATTTAACGACATATTTTACCGATAAAAACGACACAAATAAAAAAAAATAAGTTACACAAATTTAGACTAGTTTTTATTTATTTGGAGTAATATTGTTAAAATATAAATGAAATTAATAAATAAAGAAGTGTTGTGTAGGAGAGAGAAAGTAATGGTAAGGTATTGAAAAAGTAAGAAAGAGAGTGGTGGGCAAACATTATTTTTTATCATCATTGAGAGAGAAATTGTGAAAAAAAATTGCCCATGGGCAAAACTGATTTGTTGAGAGAGAAAGTGGGTAGAGAGATATTAAACAAGCATTATTTTTGCCCACCATTGAAAGTGGTCTAAGAGGAATATCTAATGCAATTTTAGTTTTTTCATGGTTAACATTCCCATAAATTTTTATTGACTAGAGAGGCTTAATTGTCTATTTTTCATGGTGTTTGGAAAGGTTAAATGCTCACGAATTTCCAATTTCTTCACTATATTTTTTTTTTTCCTTTTGTTTTTCTTAATTTTTTTTTTCTTAAAAAATTATTTTTATAGTCAACCAAACAAGCATTTTTAAATTTACTCGACACAACCCTTCAAACCCCAAAATGCCCCTCCGGCAACTACACTCGATTAGTCGACATTCTCTCCCAAACTCCAAATAACAGAAATTACATAACAAAATTTTGTTGGTTGAATCTAGCGTACTGTTGAAACAGTTCTGAGCTTCTCTCCTCCATTGAAGCAGCTTCTGAAGTAAGATCTCCTTTGTTAAATCATCAAATGTCAATTAATTTCACAATATAGTGTTATTAATCGTCAGTTTTATCCAATTTAGGGTTCTTCTGTGTTGGATTGATTATTGAAGCAGCTTGTTGCTTAAATGTTGTGGAATTGTGAATTTGCAATTGTTACTTGCTAATATCTGATTTTTATGCTTTTTGTTTCAAATAATAATGATGTTAATGATGTATGTTTCATCAAATTTGTGAAATTTTAATTGAAGAGAATCACGATATGTTGTTCCAAAAAACACAAATCTTTTCAAGACTTTGATTTTGAATATGTTGGTCCTTTTGTACTGTTATCTGATGTTGATTTGTACATTTTCTGTGTTGTCTCAATTATGTTGTGCAAAAATTGGCATTAGACTATTGACATAGATTGATATTTGCAACAGTATCCCATATACAGTAATAGCATTCCATAATCATAGGACTAAATGACTGATGATATTTCTATGTCATTTCACTCTCTCTCTCTCTTTTATTATTTATTTATTTATTTATTTATTTTATTTAATGAATGAGATTAATTATTTAGCTCCAGTTGTGTTGATTCGAGTTTCGTATGTTGTATTTTTTCCCCCTTGGAAATACTATATTTCAACACATTGAATCTCTTTACTTATAGGCCTTTCTTGAAAAACCATGATGGATTTGTCGGGGAAAATGTAAAAAACCGGTGTTTTGTCTGGTGAGCTAGGCAGTGTGAGATGGGGAACAAAAAGGAAAGAAAGGTCATTATTATTGATCAGAATGACAAAAATCCATGGTGGTGGTCACTTAACAAAGGTTTCGGAGCCTCTTTCTTGTGCATCTCCCTTTTTGCATTGTTAGTTAGGCTAGCTGTTTCCCTTCATCCTTACTCTGGTGCTGGAAATCCCCCAAAATTTGGCGATTTTGAAGCCCAGAGGCATTGGATGGAGATTACTACTAATCTTCCTGTTAAGGAATGGTATCATAATAGCACTGCCAATGACTTGAGCTACTGGGGCCTCGACTACCCTCCACTGACTGCCTATCAAAGCTATGTTCATGGCATCTTCTTAAAGTCAGTCCTCCCTGAATCTGTTTCCCTTTTCACTTCTCGTGGTCACGAGTCTTATTTTGGGTGAGTTGTTTCTGGCAGATTCCTCAGTATTACACAGCTCTCTGAGGATTTGCTTTTTGAACTGATTGTTTCTCCATTTCCTGTAGAAAGTTGCTGATGAGATGGACAGTCTTATCTTCTGACATATTGGTGTTCCTTCCTGCCGTATTTTACTTTGTTCTATCATATAGCGCTAGCCGCTCTCGCAGGCATCAGAGTGATGTAGCTTGGCTTGTGGCAATGATTTTACTGAATCCATGTCTTATTGCAATAGACCATGGCCATTTCCAGGTTCATCTCCCCTTTCCTGTCATATTTTCGATACTGAATGTTAATTAGTATTGACTCATCAAGTTATGTTATTTATTTTCCAGTTTGTATCGACTCATCAACTTTATGTCATTTTCCAGTTCAACAGTATCAGCTTGGGTCTCACTATTGGTGCTGTTGCAGCTGTTATCTCCAGTAGAGAGCTGGTAGCTTGTACTTTGTTCACTCTTGCTTTGAGCCATAAGCAGGTGCTTCGTTATCCCTTAGTCCAGACATCCTATGTGAGCAGGGCCTGAACTTAGTTGGCCCCAGTTCAGGCCCCAGTGAAACCAGTCTAACCTTTTTTTCTGTTTAATTTAAGTGAATTGTTCGTGAAGGGATTGAAATTACAAACAAGCAATGGTCTAATGTTTGAAACCTTCATATTATGCATTTATGCCATGGTTCAAACTTCCTCCTTCCCGCTATTTTCCCAAACAACTATATTTTCTTTTTGAGTGATGACTTGAGTTTATGCATTTCTTGTAAAGTTCAAAAGTAACACAGGGATGCTGGTTATCCTTTTGTTTTACATGTTTGCTGTTAGTGATCTATTTCCCTTGATTTTAGTTAATTTGTATAAAGGAGAAATTGGGTCGCCATTCTTCTTAAGAAGATGTAGTGTGCTCATTAAAATATGAATCAGTTGATTTATTATAGGAGATACAGAGTGCAGTGAAAAAATTGATTAAGAATCTTATTCAAATTTTCTTTGCTTGATTAAGAATGAGCCTTTGCATTCAACCCTGTTTGGCATAGGCAAGAACTTGTTAAGTAGGTCTCTGCGTTCAGGGGCGGATCTTTGTTTGGGCTGGCAAGGGCCCACCCTCCCCCCCCCCCCCTAAGTATTTTTGAGTTGTTGATTATAAATAATATAATGTCTAATAATTGCAAATAAAAAAGTTGTGGCATAGTGGTTAAGTATTGTTATTTTTGAGCAAAAGGTTAGGGGATCAAACCTTGGCCCCCCTAACATCCGCCACTGTCTGCGTTTAAATTAAATTGACTTGTGTTACAGCTGTCTTTCTTGTGTTTTGAAGTCATGTATTCATTGTTTTCTGACAGATGAGTGCATATTTTGCTCCAGCATTTTTCAGTCATCTCCTTGGTAGATGCTTAAGGCGTCGCAATCCTTTCCTTGAAGTGTCAAAACTGGCCTTGGTTGTCATTGGAACATTTGCTGTAGTTTGGTGGCCATATCTGCATTCAAAAGAAGCCTTTTTAGAAGTATGAAGCAGTAAATCTTCTCATGCCCTTCTGCTAATTACTTGTTGGATGGTATTTATCGCTGTTTATACTTCATTATTATGGATGAATGCACAGTGATCTCTTCTTTTTCACTTGTAAACTCTTCTGTTGATTAAATTGTGTTGCTTGTGGTGGAAGCAGCATGCTTTTGTTTAACAGTAAAATTTTGTTTGTAATTGCCCTGTCGTATGCAACGCATAAAGTTTCTTGGAATTTCCAACCATTTTTTTATTTTATTTTATATATATATATATATAAAGGTTAAGAATTTGTAGTATTTTGAAGAGTGGTTTGACTCTGGCTTACATTTGATTGGATAATGGATACTATCCTCTCTCCTTGAAACCCATGATGAAAATCTTCCTTGCTTTTCCCTTTGGAAGAAACCTCTACGATGAAACATAAGATAAAGAGAACGTTTTTTTTTGCGAATTGGTTTCTTGGTGACAAACATTTTATAACATTGTGTGACCAAGTGACTACTTCTTAATCAATGAGACCGCGGTCTTCTTATTAAATTTTTAAAATGTGTAGGTTCTGGCCCGTCTTGCTCCCTTTGAGAGGGGAATTTATGAGGATTATGTTGCCAACTTTTGGTGCACTACATCAATTCTAATTAAGTGGAAGAAACTTTTTGATAACCAGTCCTTGAGGCTTATAAGCCTTGTAGCCACCGTGTCAACTTGTTTGCCTTCAATGGTTCAGCAGATAAAGGATCCAAGCAACAAAGGATTCCTCTATGGCTTACTTAATAGTTCCTTCTCATTTTACTTGTTTTCATTTCAAGGTATGCTTTAATTTACTTTCATCTTATTGACCATTGCATTTTGATGATTTTAGCACTTATTGCTGAACATCTTATATTTGTGGCTATAATTCTGCAGTCCACGAGAAGTCAATTTTACTGCCTCTTCTGCCAGCAAGTCTATTGGCTCTTGAAGAACCTTTGGTTTTCAGATGGTTAACTCATTTTGGGTTATTCTCGATGTTTCCACTCCTATGTCGTGACCGGCTTGTTTTGGCATACATCGCACTCTTCTCTCTCTTCTACCTCCTCTTTTATGCTCCCAGGAAGAAAGACTCAGGGAAGATCAGATCATTTTTCACCTTCAAATCATTAGTCACGAGCCTTCTTGTTTTTTGCTCATTCGTGCTCCACGTAGTTTACATGATTATGGATCCTCCAAAAAGGTATCCTTTCCTATTTGAAGCTATGATTATGTCTGTTTGCTTCTCCCAGTTTGTTTGGCTCGCTCTTTATACCAATACGAAGCAATGGCAGCTGCATAAACAGCCTACTTCATTAGAAAAGGATAAGAAACTTCGTTGATCTCGTTTATGATGGATTGTTTCTAATATTACATGTAACATGCCTTTTTAATGATATATTGTTGATGAATTTAAGTTTAAGCGTTACAGATATTTCTGATTTGGAGCATCAGGTTTTTGATTTTTATGATTTCTTTGTACAGACATACCCTTGTTTCTTTAGTTCCAGACAATTTATTGACAGTGTACTAGGCTTATCATCTTGTATGAAATTTCTATTCCATGTACATTTTAAAAGTCGCTATTTCACAAACATCCAAGGAGAATTAACCTTACTGCCAACTTCTCTTAGTGAGAGTTGCTTGGTCGCATTATGATTGTTTGCTTCCTTTAGCTATACTTCGAAGTATTGTAACAATTAAAGGTATTTATGCGGTATTGATTCTCAGTTCAGTAAGAGTATAATTAGTGTACACTACTTGCAATCACAATGATCCTCTGATGAAGCTACTGACAATAGCGGGTATGGTAGGTGTTGTAATGAAATTGTTTATGTATTTGCTTGAAGCAAGTTGTTTTTGAAGATGTGTGAGTAAAGTTAAGCTGGTTGAGACGAAGATGATCTATTGTCGACTTGTCATAGACGTAATGGTAAAACCTCAAACCGACGAGCTTTGATTGATAAAAGTTATGATAGCCTTACTCTACCTTTAGTGGATAAGGAATAGGGACTAGTGGACTACTGACTTAGGAGCTACAAAGAGCAATCCGGAGCTGATCCTTAAGATTTTAACAAACTAAACTAGTATATGTCGACAAATAGCTATGCCCGGCTATCTCGTGTCCTCGTTGTAAGTTGGGGACCAACTAGATGTTTGCAACTAGTAACTCCTATCCGTCCTAGACAAGTGCACAATAACTCTTAAAGAAAGAATGTGTACCCTGTTTATTAAATGACATATAAATGTTACGTAGAAGAACGATGAAAAGTGGAAGTCAAAAACCTGCGTCCTTAACAAATTCAATGCATTCGTCTCATCCATTCATCGCATTACATTCTTCCGTCAAAAGGGGCAAAAGTTTAAATGTATAGTGACAACACCTTGCACATTCAATTTATGCAAAAACTAGCTGTGAACTACTCCGTATGAAATTTTTTCGAACAATTTTTTAATGATATACAAGTACTCCGTAACTATTTATTGACGTGGACAATATTCGGATTATTTAGCATGACTGTATGAGATTGATTTTTATTAATTCGTATATTAGGAAAATGGTTTGATGAAATAAATAAAAGTATAATTGAATATAAGATTTGAATATTATGGAAAATATTTTTTATTGTTTTTTACGACGAACATTTTAGGATATTACGGAGTAATATGTAATCACAAAGTTTTATATGTTGCTGGCCATATCGCAGTCGGGGTTACTTGGTCGGTCAAGGGTTACTCGATAAGGGATCACTCGATCGATAAGGGGTTACTCAGTCAGGGTTACCCGGTCAATGTTTTGTGTTTTGGTGTGTGTCAACTGACCACACGATGTGGCCAGCCACACAAGTAATTGTTTAAAGTGTTGGTTGATTGCTTTTTCTTCTTCTTCTTCTTCTTCTTCTTCTTCAAAGATTTACTGATAAAAATCCGTATCTTAGATGTACGGTATAACTTTATAGATTGATTTGATAACAGATACTCCCTCCGTCACAATATATAATTCTTGTTTGTGATTTTTCACGATATTTAAAAAATGGAAAAGAAAGTGAATGAAGTACATTGGAAAAAAGGTAGACAAAAGTACAAGACAAGTGGATAATTTATGGGGAAAAAGTGAAAAGTACAATTATAGATAAAAGTTAGGGAGAGAAAATGGAATAAAATATAAGACAAGTGGATAATTGAAGAGTAAATTAGGAAGTTCAATGAATAAAGTAACAAAAATAAGGGTATAATGGTCTTTACATACTATCCACAAATAGAAATAAAGACAATATTTTAGGTCTCCAAAATAAAAAAACAGAAACTATAATATGAGACGGAAGAAGTATTAATATAATGGTAAAAATAACTCGCAATAGTTCCTTTACCTTTTAGGTTTGAGGTTGAGACTTGAGAGTTTCAACTTCAAGTCTTGGATTAAAATTCTCTTTTTTATGTTAAAGGAGTCCACAAAAGCTAAACCTTACGAGGAAAGGCAAAATATGTACCGTAATATTGTAATTGAGTCAAATAATTGTACGCAGTACTTTTTTTTTTTTCTTTCTCCTGCAAAGAACTATTTCGACTGTTCCAGGTACATATAAATAAATACACGACTACTCATATAAAATTTACTATTAATTTATGAGATATAAAATATTTAAAAGTTGTAACTAATACTTAACAGAGGTAGTACTATAATTAGCTATTCTAATTGGTTGCAACGTGTAAGATGGACTTCTTTATTAAAATACGACTAGAACGTATTTGTGATACATCAAATTTATAAAGAAAGATGAATGTCTTTTTTTTTTTTTTCAATAATCGAGTGACTTGTGATTGTATAGTGCATTAGTGTTGGGCCTGAGTTGCAGTTGTATCTTGTATTGTCCAAAAAAAAAGCAGCAAACTCTTAATACGAGTATACAGGAGATTAGGAGGGTAGCAAATCGCCAAATCCGCAAGCGGGGTAAACAGTTGGCCCAATTCTTTAATTTTTTTTTAATTTTTTTTTTAAAAAAAACAACTATAAAATCTCATTGTTCATAGACTGTACCCAACTTGTATAGTGTATAATTATACCCATTTTACCACGTATAAAATACTGATAAAAATCATTACCTTTTCTAAAATTGACACTTTACTTTATATTCGTGAATATTTACTAAGTGTTTAACATCAATTACTTCACGTGAATGTCAATTAGTTTAACACAACACATCCATGCAAAAAAAAAAAAAAAATAATAATAAAAAAAATAAATTAGAATTAGTTGGATAAAGTTTTAGGTGTAGTATACCAATACTTAAAACCCGAAATCAAATCTCATCCACATCATTAGCCTTTAAGACTCTTTTAACACCAAAAAAAAAAACCTCATTTTTTTTGTTATAAAGCTTTTAATTATTTTGAGCTCATTTAAGTCATTTTGGAGGCAAATAGTGTATTGATATTTAAAATTATCAAGTAATATAATTCTAAATTATACGGAGTAATAGAATAAAAGAAAAATCTAATAAAATGATTGGGAAACATAGAACCAATAAATGCCTCTAATGAAACTTCACCCCGACAAGTAAATTTGATAATATAATGTTTCTTTCTACCAACTTATATATATAATGTGTGAATGTGTGATGACTTCTATTAAATTTTCTATTTTTAAAGAATAAAGAGTTTAAATTTAATTAAGAACGAAAATTTAAATATATTTTTAGGCAATTTAGTCATTACATTATGACATTATGTAGGTCCACATGTCCATAACTATACAAGGTTTTATTTATTTATTTATTTAAGATTATTATTTATTTATTTAAGATTAATATTTTTATTATCATTATAATAATTGTTATTTTTTAGGCAGCGATGATGATTATTATTATTATTATTATTATTATTATTATTATTATTATTGATTTTGGTGGAATTTATCAGCCATCTCTCATGATTCAACACCCAGCGGTTTGAAGATCCAACGACCAAGTGACAAGTAACCAATTAAAGTTAATTTTTCTTATTTTGTTATTTTTGTAAAAACTTGTATTTATAGTATTATAGTTGAAACTAGTATCATAAATAAAAAAAAAAAAATGTGAAAAGGCATTAAAACTACAAGCGTTGACGTGTTATAATTAGTATTGTTGGACCACTGAATTAAAGTGAATTCAATCAATTTAGTACCTGATTTTGAGCGTGATTAAAAGTTTAAATAAATACTCCTCCTACCAAACTGAGGTATTCGATTTGAGTACACTACTGCAGAAAAAAAAAAAGCGTTGGTTATTCACATTTATTGGCATATATACAAGTGGACCAATAAATACTTTGAAAAAAACAGGAACCAATTAGAAAATTTTGAAAAACAAATGGACCAATAGAAATTCGATGTTAAGCTCAATGAAATTTCTGGAAGGAAAAGTAAAGATTTCTGCCATATTGATTTACTCCGTATTAAAAGTTAAATTAGAATAAAAAATAATAGTCAATCCACAAATTATGAGTAGGAGACTAGGTGGACATATGCGGATTATTACATATACTCAAGAGCATTTTGTAATGTAGGGTGCTCCCATCAACACGAGGAAGTGGTGTGAACTTCATGTATTGGTGGCAGTCTAGAGGTGTCAATCGGTTTTTCGGTTTGGTTTTCGGTTCGGTTTATCAGATTTCGATTTGTAACGGATCGGTTTATAACGGGTTTAAATAATTAACGGGTCGGTTCAGTTCGGTTTTAAATAAAATCGGGTCAGTTCGATTTGGGTTTTTTTAACTATGGTTTATATTCGGGTTCGGTTCTAGTCAGATCGGTCTGTAATCGGTTCGGTTCATAATTGGTTCGGGTTGAATTCAACAGTTCGAAAATGGATTTTTTCGGTTTTAAGCGGGTTTCGGGTCAAAACAAATTGGGTCCTAATCGGGTCGGGTTGTAATCGGTTCAGGTCATAATCGGTTCGGGTTAACTTGGTCAGTTTGAAAACGGGGTTTTCCAATTTAAAACGGTTTTCGAGTCAAAACAGATCGGGTCCTAATCGGGTCGGGTTATAATCGGGTCGGGTTATAATCGGTTCCGGTTGAACTCAGTCGATTTAAAACGAGTTTTGGTTCAAAACAACTTGGGTTAAATCCTAACTCACAAAGTCACAATTAATTAATAAGGGTCATAAAAACAAGTTGGGTTGATTGAATAGTGAGTTAAACAAATCAAGTGAGTTAGGATATAATTGAGCAGGTTATGAAGAATTGGGTAAAATCCTAACTCACAAAGTCACAATTAATTAATAAGGGTCACAAAACAAGCTGGGTTGATTGAATAGTGAGTTAAACAAATCAAGTGAGTTAGGATATGATTGAGCAGGTTATAAAGAATTGGGTTTAGTAGGTCATATAGTACATATAACAAGTTATGACTCATACATTTATACTCATACACAGAATTCAAATCAAATGACTTAGGTTACGACTCATACACGAATTCAAATTAGATCAAATTAAAATCGAGTTATGAGTTAAACAAGTTAGGTTGAATAGGTAACGAAAATTAGAACAAGTTGAAATTTGGTTTCAGTCATAAATATGCTCGGTTAATTAATATGAGTTAAAAATAAGTTGGGTTAATTGAATAATGAGTTGAAATGAGTCAATTGACTCAAGTCATAATCAAGTCTGGTCATATAGATAATGGATTTATCGGGTCATAAAATATTGAAATGTACGGGTACTAAACATGTCAAAATTGAATAAAGGTTTAAAGACAACATTGATTGAGTAATGAATTAGAACGAATTGAGTTGTAAACTTGTAATTGGTCAGGTTATAAACACGTTATATATTTATAGTAATAATTATAATTTATACTTTAATTTTATTAGTCATAGACTTGAATTTATATTTTGTTTTAACTAGCAAGTTAGTAAGTTACTAATAACAGTAAGCTAGTAATAGTTAGTTAGTTAGTTTGCTATAATCTCTTTAATAGTATTAAATTGAGTTATAATTCATTAATTCTCATTGGCCACTCGATAAAAACACGGATTAGAATCCATACCCCCTCATCAAAACACCCTCACAACCGCTGATTAAACTCATCTTTAATCCAATGTCCTTATTCATCTTCCCAATAATGAAACCTAATACGTAGTAAAAAAAAATCCCCTCAAAAAAAAATAAAAATAAATAAACCTAATAAAAAAAAAAAAACCTAATCAAAATCGGCAAACTTTAACTCTGCTTCAATTTTTTTCATTCAAACCCTATAATCACGGTTATCCTCTTCAACTCTCCTTCAATTATAACTTTAATAGCACGGTTCATCACCAATTCACCACCCAATCAGGCGATCAGCAAGAACTCACAAGGAACGCGCCTCCGCTACCCACCAATACGCAGGTAATAATTGAACTTTGAAAACCCTTTTTCTTGTCTCTTCTTTGTGTTGCTAAATTTTGCTTGAATCTATAAAAACCCAGAAGTAAATTCTTGAATATAATGCAATTTTATGTAATTCCCACAAAATTTGGTAGTGAAAGTAAATTTTGGGTCTTTGAGACATAATGTCGAACAGGTGGTGTGCATATTGTATTAGATGTATACATGAATTCTTAGGTTTTAATTTGTGACAGCTTTAAGTGATAAATTAATTACATGTTTATAGCTTTAAGTGATAAATTTGGGTTGCTCAAAACAGGTTAGTCATTGTGAATAAGGAGCCCATTGCCGGAGAAGTGGTGCGGTATGCTCTCAAAACAGAGGGGTGGCAGCGTGTGTAGTTGTGTACAAGAGAGTGGTAGGTTGAGAGGGGGAGGGTGTTTGCTGGGATGTTGGGTGATGTGAAACAGAGAGCATTTGATTTTTATAGCTAGAAAGAGAATAGGTAGAAAAATAATATGTTGCATCATCTAGAAGTAATACAAAGGTGGGTTGTGGGTATGTAAAGTATGTCCAAGGAGAAATTAAAAATGATGTGATAAACTGATAAAAGTGATGATACCAATATTGATGAAGATGTTCTTGAAATTGGTAAAGAAGTGTCAACTGAAACTGATAGTGCAGCATCAAATTAGTATTTTTTTGTCTCTTCCACTTGGTGCCACTAACTTGCTGGTTATGCTCTTGTTTCTTTTTTTTTTCTTTTTTTTAGGCTTTTGCTCTATTTTTTTGCCATGGAATATTTATGATTTCTTATGTTAGTTATAGTTATGATTTCTTATTCACAATTTATTTTAGTTACTCCGTCTTTAATTTTAGGGGAAGAGATGTTTGCTTTGTTTTACACCGTGTTTTTTACTCTTTAAATTACTTCTTCCTAGGGAAGAGTTAGAGTTGCAATTGAGCAAGGCACGTACTTATACATCTGTTGATCTTGATGTACAGCTGATTTTTGGTTGAGGTTCCTGATGCATCTGTTTCTGCTGCTATTTTTGGTTGCTGCTACTCCACTGCCTTGTGGATGTTCCTCCTAGTGATTGAGTGTGGTTGCTGCTGCTGCTCGACTGCATTGTGGATAATTTTTGTTTTATATAATTTCTGCTTAGTTTTCTAAAGTAAATTTGCTAAGTGGTTGGTGTTTTTGTTTACTGATTTGTGGATCTTACTACTACCTAATAAACAGGTTACTATTGTCACAGGACTTCGTATAAATTCTATGGTTGATACACTCTTGTTTTGAGAGAATCTGATACTTGGGGACCTTGTGTTTTTGATCTGTCACCAAAAATGACAAAGAATTGCTTTATTTATCTACAATGAAAGTCTTAGAACTCTTTAAACTAAAGCTAATGAGAGCCATTCATTTGTGATTTAGCCTTTATCAGCCATTAGGCATTAGATTATTCAGTTATCAACTTACCATACATCGACAAAATTAATTTTTCATAGGTGATTTTATTAATATGTTACTAGTTTTGTTTCACCTCAAGATACTTTAGTTACACTTTACTTAGTTTCTCAATTTACTTTAGTTAGTCTCTCAATTAACTTTTTACTCTTACCAAGTTAATAAATTATGAAATAGTCATGTTGTCGTCTATTTACTAAAGTATCATGATTTGAGTGTTTTTTTTTTTTTTTTTTTAATTTTTTTTTATTATAATAAATATAATCTAAAGTTAGCTATAATTTTCAGATTTTTTAAATACAATATATATTATACAATATATATTATCCAATAAGCCATTACTCATAAAAGGAATTTATATAGGGTTAACGATTTGGTCATAATAGGTTATGGACTTATGGGTTATAACTTGATCAGTCATAATCGGTCACAGGTTGTAAACAGTTCGGTCATAACCGGTTATAGGTTGTAAACGGTTCGGTCGCAATCGGTTACAGGTTGTAAACGGTTCGGTCATAACTGGTTATGGGTTATAAACGGTTCGGGTTAATCAGGTTTTTGTCGGGTTTTAACAGTTTCGGTTTACACTAGGTCGGGTCATTATCGGGTTCGGCAGTACTCGGTTCGGGCTGTTCTCGGTTTCGGGTTGCATCGATTCGCTTGAAAAACGGGTACGGTTTCTTAACAGTTTTCAAACATTTGGATCGGTTCAGTTTCAGGTTTTATAAAATCAGGCCGGGTCAGTTTACGGTTATAACATAACGGGTTGTTAACAGTTCGGTTCCTTTTCGGAAGAGTTCGGAACAGTTCGGAGTCACCAGTTCGGGTCGGTTTTTGACAGCTCTTATTGGTGCATAATGAACATGTGTTATCTAAAGAGGTATATATCTCATGTCGACTTGTAGTTCATTATTTGCAACGTTATTTAATTTATAGTATAAACATGTACATTCATTCTTATTAATTGAGTTTTGATTGTTATTGTTTTGGTGATTGCAAAAATGTTCAACTTTATGTTATACACTTGTTAATGGTTATGCATTAGCAAAAAAAATAAAAAAAAAAAAATAAAAAAATAAAATAAAATCACCTTGTATGTTTGATGATTTTTTCCTTCCTCACATTATAATTGATTGTAATGAACTTGTAGTAGTAAAGAAATTCATATGAATGTAAAGTCTCACCAATTAGCCAAAACTCAATTTGTTTTTGGAATAATTATATACTCCCAAATAATGTGCACAACAATCCTAAACGAAATATTGTCTATTAATATAGTGTAGGGTCGTAGCCTCCGTGAGAATTGTGTAATGCGAGGTTAAGAGAGTACGAGATCCATCAATCCTTAAGCAAGGTGCCGAGATGACCTTTTGGTTGTGCCTAATTTGTTAATTTGTACATGTCACTTGAATATTTAAGGGGTCATATATATACTCAATTACTCAGTGGTCAACATAGGGTTACATTTTTATTTTTAAAAACAATAAAGAAGTAAAATGAAAATCACCTTCAATTACTTTGTTATGTGAAAAGAAATTAATACGAAGTACTTTGTGCCAGAAATATAAATTTATCTGTGTATGTAGTGTTATGATGAGAGTGCAAATTGTACTTTTATTTATTTATTTATTTTATCAGTGCTTCATAGTATGTGACAAGTGGCTAGTACTTAAATGTACTAAATGATTTTTGTAAAAAAAAAAAAAAAAAAAAAAAAAGGACAAAAAATTTAAACGAGACACTTGTCATACAATGAGATTGAAAGTGAAATTTGTCCACTCACTCTTTTCACTCTTTGGTTATTTGAAAGTGATGAATCTCAACTTTGTTAAGAGTACCATCCATGAAACATAATTCAACCTCTATTATCCTCCTTTTTTTTTTTTTTTTTTTTTGACGCACTCTATCATCTGACACAACTTTATTGTCCTCTAACTTACTAAAATAGGTTTTATTAAAAAACAAAGAAAATAAATATTTTTATCTAATTAAAGCATATTTGTGTTATTTTTTGTCTAAAAAGTCTTAAATTTGTCATTTTGTGTTATTCAAACTTGTTTGAGCTTTTATTGTCTAAAATAAATCAAAATATATAAGCTAAAATATTTTGATCCTAATAGTTAGAGACCAAGTAAATACTCGCTAAGTTTAAAGAATTAAGTTAAGTCTATCAAAACTTTATGAGATTAAATTTTAAACTTAAAACTTGTTTGACCTTTTATTGTCTAAAATAAATCAAAATATATAAGCTAAAATATTTTGTCCTAATAGCTAGAGACTAAGTAAATACTCGCTAAGTTTGAAGAATAAAGTTATGTTTATCAAAACTTTATGAGATTAAATTTTGAACTTAAAATAATTGTTGCGCATTTAAACTTTGAACCAAATAAATGTAGATAAATGCTTTGATTAAATAAATTATATTTAAGTGATGATAGGATGTATATGTAATGGAAATTAATTAGTAGATTCATTTTTTGCTTTTTATGAATAAATCTTCTTATCTAAAAGATACAAATAAATAAATATTACAAGTTGGTGTGATTATATAATAAAATAGAAGTATATTACTAGATGATATCTTTAAACATGTAAACGGCACTTGAAATGTTTTAACATTTGTTAGCTTTGAGTTTTATGAATATTATGGACCATTTAAGACTTTATTTATTTATTTTTAGGACATATTAATCTTAAGCCTGAAATTCGACTCAACATCAAAGTAGTCTGTAAATTTTTTATTTATATTAAATCAATGTTCATATGTAACCAACTAGTAACCTCATATTTACAAGTCAAAGAAGGCGTTACCTTGATCCAATATGCAATTAAGCTACTTGATGTGTATAATAATGTAATTAGCCATATATAATATTAACCTAACTAGATAATCAACCACATGCTGATTACACTCCACCTACAAGAAAAAGGACAAAAAGCTTTGTGTTTTTTCTATGAGCATAAGTCTTTTTGTAAGTCTTTAGAGAGTTTATTAAGTTTGTGTTGTTTTTCGTTATTAAGTGTGCAGGGTAAACGGTAATATTTCAACCATTTTATAGGCCGATAATTCAAATCTATTGCTATTTTTTAATTGCACCTGAATGCATGTTAAGCCCTGGATCAATTCTTTATTTTTTGAAGGATGTATGACATATTCACATGCAATTCACACGTAACATCAATATATAGTTGATAATCGTGGCAAGAAATTGGTTGGCCTTTTCATTTTTGTTATTCAACAATTGTATAAAACAGGAATAGATTATAATGACGAGCAAATCATGCATGTGATAAAAAGCAACTAAAAGTCTATTTTTAGGGGTTCACCCGATAAGTAAGATGAGAAATGCAAGAATTATTAATGCCCGAATTCGTGAAAGAAAGCTAGCTTAATTATCAACATGACTTTGTATTTTCTTTGTCCATGCCACCATGCAAACTCACAAGACTCTTTGATGGATATAAATCTTACCAATTTTTTCATGCCTACTTATTATTGCCTCCTCATTTGGTTAAGATTTCTTACTCAGTATTAGTTAGATACTATGTATATAGTATACTTGTACTTGTATAAGTTAAATAACGTTATATGAAGAATAAATGGATCTGAACAACCCTGTTAAGAAGGAGTTGTGGTTGCATAGTCGGTCTTCTAAAGAGCCTATAAGTTTCCTTTCCATAACCAAATGTTAACTTGATTAGAATTACTAATTGATTTTGTTTTTCTTCTTCTCCAATACGAGACGTGGACAATTCACTAGTGCATTCACAACTGAACATATAACACAAAATGTCAATAACTAATAATTTATATGATTTTTTTAGTATAGCTAATTAAGTGACAATAATTAGTGACATTAGTCATAACCTACATTATGAAAATTTATTCCTTTTGATTAAATTGACTCTCTCTCTCTCTCTTAGACTTATAGTTTATTTTATATATAATAATGTGAAAATATAGTCCTTGTCCAATCTAATTATTCATGCATGCTTTTAGATTTGAATTCCTTATAGGTACATAGTCCCTATCCAATCTAATTATTCGTATGATTTAGGTTTGAATTAATTCATACGGAGTAAAATTATATGTAAACTTAATAATACTAGTCTTCCTTTGATCCATAAATCCCATCAAAAATTCAATCAATTTTTATTATCAAAATTACTACGGCAGGAGTAATTATATTACTCAAATTAAAGCTTCTTGTATATTTATGTCAGATGACTCAAACCTTAAAAATACATAAAAAAAAATTAATGACAACTTCCTGGTTATGGTAATTTTACCTTATTAAACATATCACTTTATCTTTAATGTGAATGACAGAAAAAGTATATACACAACACAATGCATACACTTATGATATTAATGAAAATCATGCATATGCCATATTATTATTGCGGTCTTTCTCAACTAGACGAATTATATATTTCTATTTATGATAATTTTGTTATAGACGCATACCAAACATATTAAATTTTTTGTCGAACAATTCGCTACACGTTGAAGTTATACCAACTTATTATTAGAACATTACATGTAACGTGGCACTACTTAAAGCATAGACCAATAAATAAAAAAGAAATATACTTTGCATATACAATAATTATATATATATATATATAAAAGTAATATAACAAGTAATATAAAAGTAAATCCTTGTTGATGGAAAGCTAGGACCCGGGTATTAATCGATATGATCACAAGTTATTGGACAACGTAGTGCCAAAGGTAATCGCATGTTACATGAAATTTAAATTTTAAATTTGATATAATTGTTGATTTTAAATGAGTTATTAGAGATATTATAATTTGTTGAGAAATAAAATTATACTATTACTACTGTAT